GGGTGCAGCACTGTTAATTTTTTCATTTATGACAACATAGCTAATTTGAACCAAGCCGCAACAAAAAGCTGTGATGCAACTGTTAAAGTAGGATTGTTTACATTTAAGTTTATGTTTTTAATTTGATGTTTTGATATTGTGTGAATATTCGATAATTTACTTTTTTGTTGTTATATGTGCTATACTATAGCTTCCGTAAATTAAAAGAACCAAATTTTCTCAAACCGTGTCCTCTTCCATTGCAAACACAAAGCATTAGTATAACTGCAATAAGCATTTCATTCTTATACGCCAACCCCGTACAAAGGGCGGGTATTCAGCTAGTAATCAATAATAATTGATAATAATCAATAAACGAAAAACCAATTGTATTTTTGATGTCATGCTTTTTATTACACTCTCCATTTCATTGCTTAAGTTCATTCTCATAGTATTAGGTGCATTTGGAGATCAATGTAGATGTAAAATTATAATGTAAATAATTGGCTTTGACCTTGAAATAATTAAATTAAATAAATAGCAATAGCATATTTTTTTTTCTCCTCAAAAGTGAAAAAATGCTGAAAACTTGTGGTCGCCAAAAAATTGAAGAGTTTTGCTAAGTTAACCTGACGAATAACAACCATTTCTAGTTTTATATAATTTGTGAAAGAACAAATACGTTATTTCAAGCAAAAACCTTCAATTTATTAAAATATCATTGCTTTTAAAACAATTTATAAATCTGTCATCAATAATTTGTTTGAATCAGTGACTTGATGAACACCCATCTAACTGTATATGATATATTTTATGACCTAAAATTTACAAGTTTTAAATTATTATCACTTTCAAAAGCATTTTATAACAATGCAACTACTGAATATATTTTCCTCTATAAAAAGGCCATTGACAACACAGCTTGATTCTTAAAAACGTGAGTTTTTTACATCAGAGAAATGCGTACAAGCCAACAATGGAGTGATAAGAAAGACTAGGGAGGATGATCAGTGATTGGTTCGTTCAGTCATGCCACTGCGACGTCTATAAATAACAGCTGATGATGGTCAAACTACCGGCTGCGCATCAGCAAACGATAGCGTCCGTCATAACGGCACTAGCTGAGTAGCTGGCCTACTTGCGTCTATTAACTGATAAGACTGGTTACACCGGATAAAATTATGATGTAATAAATGGAAAAACATCCTCAACAGTTCAAAAATCTAGACTTTGGAAAGTCTATTCTACCAGTGAATATTTTGAAGTAGATTGTACTGACTGGAAAATTTTATAATTTTGAGTTGTAACATTTTAGCAAATTTCCCATAGTGGGAATAAGCTATTACCGTAGGTCTCATGGTAAGACCTGGACCCGGGACCGATTTACTTTTTTGTTTTGAGGTCAAAAACACCATCCGTTCAAATTCATATATATATATATATATGTATATTAAAAATCAAAAACATATTTAACTAAGTGCCCTTTTAGTAATTATTTTATTTTAAAAGGGTACTTTGTTAAATATGTTTTTGATTTTTATTATATTAGTAGCCCTAAACATGCAAGAAAATAATGTATATATTTATATATGTGACCGTTAGCACAATAACTTGAGCAAAAATTGTCCGATTTTGATTAAATTTGGTTTAAGCGTGTAAACCTACATTTATTCAAACGAGTTCGCATACCAGCATGATCGGACTATGGGAACAGGGGTTTATGGGGGTTTTATGGGGTAAAATAACCCTATTTTCCCCTGTAGCAGCAAACCTGAGTATTCATTTAAATAGGAAATAAATTTGACAATTTTAAGGGAAAAATTTAGTGCAATTCTAGCCAGATAGTATGGAAATTTGCTTAGTCTGCAGGTTTGCTGCGGCGTGGGTATTTTATCATTCTAATCCAATAATCTAAAACAAGTGCATGTACGGACAAACTATTTTTTCCATCCGAGGATGTTTGATTTTTTTAATATGGGGTATTTGGCCACGAGAAATCGATTGGAGTTGGTCACAAGACTGGGAAAAATCCAGTTTCCGTCCTACAGCCCTTGAAAGTACCCATGTTATCGTCAATACCTTTTTGTAGCTGAAGTTAACAAAAACAGCTGATACAGATTGTTTTTACTGTCATCATTTTGATTTACCAGTAAACAAAAATAACTGTATTGGTTAGTTTGGACTAAACGTTTTAAAGAATAGTTATATTAAGTTTGGTGTTTACATAAAATATTACTGTTTAACGTTTTCAAGGTTAATTTACAAGATTAAGAATGAAACGCAGAAGACCTCCGAAGCGAATACATAACCCGAAAGGGAGAGGAGCTACAATTGTTTTTCTGGAACAAATTTCACCTCTTCGTCTACAACCGAGCCAGTTCCAAACAGCTCATAAATATCACCAAATGTCTCAAACCCTTGGCCAAGTCGGGCATCGAAGCATGAAAGGAGAGGAATAATTAAGATCTTAAAGCCGAGAAAAATAATGAATAAGAGGCCGATCATATTGAGCAGGATTGTCGACGAACCGCTGCTCGATGTTTGGAAGAACATCAGCGCACTGCAATTTCTCAAACCTCTAAGTCGCCATGTCAGTGAATTTTGGATATTCACGATTGGAACCGTTTGACGTGGCATGAATGCACACAATGTGTGTCCGAACTGATCCGCGCTCAGAAGGTAGTTATTTAACATCCAAACTGATCCAGAAATCTGGCATGAAATTGGTTCGCTTAAAACATCCAGTTTGATCCGTGAGGCGGTAGCCGTCTACTCCCTGTAGCCTACAGTTAGCCTTAAACACACTATTCCGTAGCATTTCATTATTACTGCCCATTATAAATTCAAAACGCATAAAACTAATAGTATTCAGTTTATATAAGTGTACAGTTATGTCATTGTCAGTGGTTAATATTAAAACAAAATGTTATTACTCAAGTCACTGTACTGCAAATAATCTAAATGCTATGATCTATGAAACGGGTGTAATTAGACACACATTACACAGTTGATATTATTTCAGTGACTATATGTTTTTGGTTTGTAATAAAACTATTTTTGTAAATGATAAAATGTTTATGATCATATTATTTTAACTGGTAATCCCAATTAACCACAACCGAGCAAGGCTTGGCCCCCGGTACTACACTTTATTTAATGAATTTTAACTATGCCTATTCAACAAAAGTTGCCTGCTAGAAAATTAACAAAATATTTGTAAAAAAATTTATTTATAGTGCACAGCAAAAGACTATCTCCTTTTATTAAAATAATTTAACATTCATCAAATAACTTAAGAGGTTAAGGACACTCACAATTCCTTAATAACTTAAATATTAGTTAATAAAGCCAAAACTATTATTCTAGCTTAGTAAACGCAAATACATAATTGTTTCCATTCACTAAATTTAGGCGGTATGAGGGGAAGGTCCCCCACCACTTTTTTGCTTATGTATGTTGCAGCTGATTGGCGAATTGAATAGTTTATATTTACTCGTTAATTCAGATGTTGAGGTATTGTTTTAACGGTAGGTTGAAGTGGAGAGGATTTCTTCTACTAAAACAGCCTAAATTTTGAGAACAGAGTATAATCAACAATCTTAAAAATTATTTAAACATGGTTATTAAAACTTCATATCAACAATCGAGCTTGACAAATCTTTCCTGACGATTAATTAATAGCTAAGTTTTCAAATGAAATTGGTATGAAACCAAGATTTAACGCAAAGAAATTTATTTTCCTCAAACACGAATAGTTTGATAAAAAAAAAAAAAAAAAAAAAATAATACTCTGGCTGCTCTCAGTAATGGTTCTTGTTTTGTTTCTGTTGAGCAAACAAAAAATAAAACCTGCATCGCAATGCAGCCTGTACGCCCATGACTCTTCCGACAGATAGTTGTGTGTACTCGCTTTTATTTATAGCTGGTGTTTATTTGCATGACAAACATATTTACTTCCTGTTCGCAACATCTTTCGATATTCTCTAATTTTACATCATGTTTTCGGTTGTTTTTTGTCTTCTTAGTTAGGATTTCATATACTTTCTTCATATAATTTGTTCACATTTAATAATCAGACAATATTTATGGTTGTCTTAAGGATTTTTCCTAAGTCTAGCCTCATGTTATAGGTAATACACAGACTATTCTTTGAAAAACATCTTAATAAATTTCACAATGACAGATAGATAACACTATAAACACTTAACAATTTAGTTATTAATTTTTTTTTTTATATTCTAATACAACTATTATGTATATTATGCACAGACATACAGTATTAGCTAAATAGCTGATTCAAAGCCAACACTTCCAATTCAATGAACGTCTATATTTGGATAAGTATACTAAGTATACAGTATACTAAGGTTTAGGAAAATTGTATTTCAAAATACACTAGACACTGGATGCATTTATGACCTCATTTAGGCCTACTTGCCAAACTGAGTTTTAAGCCATTTTGTAACACCTGTCAAAACATTTATAACATATGGAGCATCAAACACGATCAGACCGTAGTCATTTGGTTCATCATGCATGAGGCAAAGTAAAAAAATATGCATCCTTTTTAATTAGTTCTGTTGCAAGACAAATTTTAATTTTATAGAAGTGTGAAAAAGTTATGTTTATTATGCAGTTATTTACAATCTTTTAGTGAGGAAACCCCTGTTGATTTGGGAATACATAGTAAATTAAGATCTAATTTTTGCACTTCAGAATTGATAAGTTTGTAAGAAGCGATTGAGGTTTGTTACAGAAATATTTATGTACCAGAATATTTACGATTGCTAAACATAAATTCAAACAAACTAAAACTTTCAATAGTAATCCTACTTTTTTTATTTAAAGGTGGCAAAATAACGAGGGTTCTGCTTAAGGAATGTTTTTGGGGATACTATTTTAAAATCAAAGCAAAGCATCAAACTAAAAACACCCATCTCTGTTCTAAGGAGGGTAAATATTAATTCCATCTGTCCAATATTCAAAAATCTATTTGGGAACACACAAATCATAACTTTTACCTTCTCAGGGGATTCACCATTATTTTTATGTTCCTTTTTAGAAGTTTTGCTTTCATTATTTGTTTCATTATTTATGTACTCCTTAACAAGAGTGGCATCATTATCTTTTGCCTTCTGTAATCAGATTAAAATCAATAAAAATACCCTAACACTGATGAAAGGGAAGATTTCAAAGGAAATATTCTTATTACATTCACACCTTGGGTGATCGGAGAAGAACGTGTATATTCCATGGTAGATCCTAGCATCCTAGCATGTGAAGGTGGTGCTAAGATAAAAAATATGCTAAGATGTTATAATTAACTAGGCTAATTTCATCCAACCAAAAAACGAGTGAGGCATATTTTCCAGAAACAGAAATTGAAGTAATTTCCACTAGTATGAGATATCTGTTGATATGTGTCATCCTTAAATGTAAAAAATAGTACTGAAATAAGATTTGTAATTTCAAGAATGCAAAATTTGTTTATTTATCAAAATGTATTTTACTTGTTAAGAACACGTTGTCTTTTACTGAAATCACATTACATATTTGGATGGAGAGTTACGGACAATTGAGATGATTAATTGATTAGTCTAAATTGGATTGTGACAGTAAACAACAATTAGGGACTGCTTGTAACTTAATTGACGGTCTTTTGAGTGTGTCATGTCAATTTTAATGTTATGAAAACAAATTAATTTTACCATTAATCTAATAATTTGTAATAAACATGATGTAGTAGGCCTAATGAGGCAGCAACAACTTAATTCAAGTTTTGTCGTTTTTTTTATATTTGTACAGTATAGCCTACAATTAAAGTTGTGCTTTTTAATCAAATTTTAATTATTGATATGGAACGAGCACTAGTAAAAATATCTCAAATCAATTAACTTACTTAATATAAAAATGAATTTAGTTAGAGCAAAGAAGAGTCAAACAAAACAAAAGGTTTTGTCATGAAAAATGTAAAGAAAAAAATAATGTTATATAGGTATAATGTGTTGTGTATTTTCTGTTAACATACCACCACTGTTTTTTTCTTTTCATTTGATTTATCCACTACTTGAATCTAATTGGCAAAAGAACATGTTCCGCATACTTTACAACAATGTATGTTACCTTGAGAATTCCTGGTAACATTCAAACCGCTTAGCAATAATTTGATAGCACGATTCACCACAAACCAGTCTAGACAAACTTAATAAGCAATAAACGAATGATGATCAATTTTTACGATTTGGTAAATCAATGCAATTCTAAGAAACAAAGGTTGGTTTGTACAGCTTGAGGTTATAAATAATCAACCTTAAATTGGTATTACGACTTGACACCCAATGAATGTTAACTGGAAGTCAATTATCGAATTGAAAGTAAAAGTAGGGAAATTCGTTAAAATTAATCGAGGAGAATCAATGTATAAGGACCAATGTAGGCCTACTTGAATACTATGCCGAAGTATTATTTTAAGCAAACTAAATTGTATGTATAAAAAAGATTTAAACAATTACCTAATTAGGTACCTATGTCTTGTCATAGAAGAAAAACTATTAGGAGGCTAACTTAATGTAACAGTGGAGCCCAAGCAAACATGTTGAAATATGATCTAAAACTTGAGCTTCTAAATTATCACAAAATATGTAGGCTAAAACTGATTTAGATCCGTCAACAAACAAACATTTATTACAAAAGAGAGCCGTAAGTAATGGAAGCACAGTACGTGCACACTATGGATGGAAAACCTCTCAAATCATAACTTAGAACTCAATTCCAATAAAGTAGGCCTACCGGTACTTGTTTCCTTGATTGTGAATGCATGGGATAAACAACAAGCATTTTATCTTTTTTCACAAAAAGCGTGGAAGTTAGCATAAATTTGGAAAGAAATGTTGTCAAGAAAATTTGATGTACCCTAGACCTAAATAAATTATGAAAAAGGAAGAAAAAAAAATTAATAACAGTAGGCTACCTATGGTAATGAAAGCTTTTTTCCCAATTTTATCAAATAAAAAAATTATTTAGGAATACTATAGTGTATAGTTAGACGTAAGATTAATATTCTGTGTAACGACCATTACAAAACTTTTAGAGAATCACACTAATTGCAATTAATTGGTAATTGCTTTTACGCTTGAAGAAACAATTGAGATTTACCATTTAAATTTCAAATTAACCATCCATTTATTAACTTACATATATGAAGGAATAAAACTCTTGCTTTATTTGTAGGCCAACTTAGAGAATATCTTCAAGAAGAATGGCCACATACACTTAATTATAGGTAAATATAGCCAAATCAAAAACTGACGGCACTAATAACTTAAGTAGGAAAAAAATATTGAGACTCACCATTGAATGTTCCAAGTTATGATGAGATGAGTTCAGATCTGTGATTTCCTCTCCGTCTACCTCTCTTGGCCGTTTACGTGACATGTTTAATCTTGTGCATTAACAGTTCCATGCAGATACCTAATAGTCTAAAAATAAAAAAAGCTTGTTACCGTAGTAGGCCTTAAGTTACATGATTTTCACACGTGGCACTGTGAAAGCTTAATTTACTTGATGCCATCTTAATAACAAAGTTGCATTATGAAGTAAGTTATCACTTTTTAGTTTTTACATTACAAACAATCCTCTTTAAGAAATTTTACTGTAGTAAGATTTTGTCTTAACAGTACAGTTATTCTGGTTAAACGTTAGACTAGGTTATGTTCTTCCGTGATGGTAAGGCTAGCAAGTTTCTGAACTCCTGCCGGACTTTTCACTTTTCACCACATTCAAATTTCATCTTGGGCTGCCATTCATGTTATTGTGGCGAGCTCACAGAAACCCATTAAATTTACTGCTATTGCAGCAGTTCATCCTTCTGTGTATAGTCAATGGTTAGACTTATACAAATAAGAGGGCCTCAGTTTAGATTATTTTTAGAAATGTCAGATTTTTAAAATTAGGTAGGCCTACTTAGGCCCCTAGCCTATTTTATTATAAACCAAGCTGTTAATTAGTCAATTGCTATAGGCCTAGCTTATAACTTCCGAGTGGAGTTGAGCCTTTTTTACAGCACCGACTCACCAATAATAATAGATGGATAACTTAAGTGTTGGTGCCAACATAACTTACTAGTAGGCCTATATATATATATCTTTGTCACGAGAGCCGAAGCCCCCTGACTACATACCCGGTACCTATCATGTGACATACCCGGGCCCCATGATGTAGGCCAAAGCTTACGCATCAACCTTTAGCACATCATGGGCGGATGACTTAAGGTCATCAGGCTCACCGGCTGCCGAAGCAGACCCTTCGGAAAGAGGGTTGCCCCTCAATCCTAACCAGGGATTCCGGCTACTTGTTACTAGTAGGCCTAGGCCTACTAGGATGTAAGATAAAACCAAATGTTGGTGAAATTATGATAGACTTGTTACTTAAACGAAGATCAGATGGATATTTAGCCAGAATCACTTAGCCTACCCTATTGGAAGGGTAATATACCGGTAACTTATGGGGCCAGTCCTTAACCACTGGGGTACTCAACTACTTATCTTGTATTCTTACTGGGTAAATAACTTCACTAAATATAGGCCTAGCCTATGCCTAAGGGTAAAAACACAGTGGAGCCGGGCAAGTCGCATACTCGCATATACGCTGGTCCCCGCATTACGGCTGGTTACCTGGAGGTTAGCTGGGACATAGCCTACGCACAGTGGTATAGTCGCTTGTCAGCTGCCGATACTAATATTATCACTTATAATATTAGTAGGATAGGATAATCTTATGTTTGCATCCTGGTTAATTTGCTATTTCATTCTACTTACAGATCGTTGAGTATGTGACGGTTATGGTGGTCCGGATGGGCTTGGTTCCACAAAGGCACACGGATAAAAACCTCTGATATTAATTTGTCTACGTCCATTATTTTATTTCATGTAAACAAAACAACAACCTAATAAATCAACTAAACAGACAACACTTCAAAAATAGAAAGAATGCGCAGTGAAATATGCCGTGTGGAACTTGCGAACACGTGGCTGTCAAGTTCTGCTATTTGCCCCCAGTCGAGCCTTCCCCGTTTGCAGCTCCCAAACAATCGACTTGGCAATTCTTCTAGCTTACCGCCTAGCTTACTGCTACCTGCTAGGCGCGACTGTGTGCGTACCCATAACAACGCGTGCTTTAATTCTACAACGCAGTAAGCGAGTAAGCGACCGGCCAGGCTACCAGCTACCTGCCCTGCTCCACTGTGTTTTTACCCTAAGTAAAATGAAATAAGCTAGCAGACCAGAATTTGGACATTTTACTATTTTAAAATGTTGTATGATGCTTCAGAAAATGTAAGAAAACATATAAAAGTATAACAAAGAGCATTTTAACTAAATTTATTAACATTCAACATTTTAAGTTTAGAAAGCTTAAGACTTAGCCTATTTAATGTTGTTGAAGATAAGTTTAGTAGGCCTCGCCTAACTAAAGATTTACAATTATAAATCAACTAAGTTAAAACAAGCTAAGTACATTTACCCTAATTTGAATTTAAATCATAATCAAAACTCAGAATAAGGTATAAAATATTAATTTAGCCTATTACTAATAGGCCAAACCTACCTTGAGAAAAGTGATGCAAGTAGAAGCTAAAATAATATAGAATGTAACCTAAACTAAATTGACTCTAAGCCTAATGAATGAATATCAATTCTTTAGAAAAATGTTAGCCATTACTTCACTACAAAATCATTTACAATGAAAATTTATGTGAACCTTAGACAATAAAGTCGTCTTATCTTTCAAAACACTTCCAATTGCTAATGCTACGTCAAACAATCACGCCACTCACCCAAAATGTTAATTTAATTTCGGCTGCATTTTTGCGTCATGGTGATATGAGACTGACTCTTAATCAGCTGTGATAACATGTGTTCTTAAGTTTTTGAGTACGACCTAGCCTTGCAAAGAGGAACAAATAAAATAATGTATAAAATAATATAAACTGAGTACTATAAAAACGTCGTCCGCTAGACATAATAATAGCATCAATACTTACTTTCCGTGATCTGGAAATCAGACTTCGCTTTTCCAAAAATTAGCTACCAGTAAGGCTTTGTCATTCGCTTGTAAAAGATCATCTATTGTGCAAGACTGGTCTAGGCGTCAACAGATCAGCATTGAGCATTCAGCAGAAGGTCAGGATCCTGAACAGCACCACACGCACACAAGATGTTTTCTTCGTCTGGTAAGAGACCCTATTTCTGCATGTTTGTCTTGCATTTCGGTACCTCGACCCTGATTCGATTAAGGGTCTTCCACACCGTGTAATGTAGGTCTCAACCAGGAGCCAGTTCCTCCCCTGGCTGGTATGGGGTGGTTAGTCAACGTGGCCTCCCACCTTGCCACCCGATTGCTTGAGGGTGATCCATCCAAAACTCGTGTGTCCGTGAAGCTCTTTCTGATCCGAAGCCGTCGCTCTACAGGTTGATGGCCGTGTAATGGGTGAAGAGGGTCCGTCTCTTGCTTAGTCCTTTCCACGGCGGCAGCGACATCACGTAGGTAGGATTGGTGGAGGTGCGATCCCTGTGATAGGATAGAGTTTGTGTACTGGGGTTGGTTTCAAACCACCAGTTACAATTCGAGTCATGTCATTGACTGCAATATCAATCTTTTTTGCGTGTGACGATGCATTTCATACTGGTGCCTACGTACTCTGCAGCCGACACACTAATTTTAAATTATAGAGGTTCTGAGGACATCAGGATTAGCGCCCCAGCATCTGCTGGTGAGCTTCCTCATAATATTCCTCGCTGAGACTTTACCCCTTGCCACAATGCAGTGCGCATGTCAGTGTGCGGTCCAGTATGACACCAAGATATGGGTGTAGGACAATGCTCAAGACAGTCTCCCGCCACGTCACATTCAACTCGCGGCCTGCTTCTCTATGGTTTAGGTAAAAGGCACAAACTTGGGTCTTAGCAGGGTTTGGCTTGAAGTGATTTGTGTCATTGTAGGCTACTAGGAAAGTTAAATTAGAATCGTAGTCAGCTTCTGTTCCTCCTGTTCAAAACTCGTATACCTTGTGTCGCCACCGCCGTATCATCGTCATATATATACTGACTGACGTGTAGCGTTTGGCAACAGTTGGTCGTTAATATTATGCTATAAAGAGCTGGTGCTACGACGCTACCCTGATATAAAGACATGACTGTTGGTTTCTGAGACATCACAAAAATACTAATGTAACAATAACTATGACAATTCATAATAAAAAACAGACAGTTATTGATTTTCAAAGGAATATACTAGTAGATATAAGATACAATACACGGGGGTGAGGTTCATAAGGTCCAAATTTCACAAAGTCCAACGGTTAAAATATTAGATAAACAGAGTGTTTCACAAGGTCCAAATTTCATAAAGTCCAAAACTATAACTTTCAAATAATCACCGTTTCACAATGCCCAAATTTCACAAAGTCCAACGTTAAAATCGACTTCTGGTCGAGACTGTACCGTTGGGCCTAATGAAATTTGGACCTTATGAAACGCTCTGTTTATTTGATGTTTTAACGTTGGACTTTGTGAAATTTGGACAATGTTAAAACGGTGATTATTTGAAAGTTATAGTTGTTTTGGACTTAATTAAATTTTGACTTTATCAAACGCTCCCATACAGGGTACATGCAGGAATAAAAATAAATAACATGCATCGAGTAAATTAAAATACGGTTCGATTGAAATAATCAGTTTCAAAATTACGATGAATGGAAGTGAATTTAAGAGCCGTACATAGACATAATTTTGTATATTCTTTTACACCGTAATTGTACGCTTTAATTTATCAACTTTTGTCTCTTGTAGGATTTTTTGATTTACGCTATAAATTGGCTTGAGTTATTGATAAATAGTGTTGATCTGGCATGTTTCAGAGGCTTTGGATAGTCAAATAATAAATTTGACTTGATCAGTGTCAGTTTTTTTTCAATTATCAAATAAGGTTCCACAATTTTTTACAATGTAAGTTAATAATAGCAATCAAGACAGATAGATTTCAAATAAATAACAAACAATAAATGTACAATCAATTAAAGGAATACAGAGAGCAAAAAATAAATAGGCTACTACGGGATAACGATTTGATCTATTTCTCTTCTGAACTTGGAGACAGATATTGTTCCGAAAAAATTGACTTGTGTTGATGTGTCCTCACCAATCCGAAGAAGTCTATAGATATCCCATTGTTGTAGGCGAAGTACACAGGAACACAGGCATGTATTTTCTCCTTAGAGCTGACCTGGATTGAGCTCCTAAGGACACCTTGATATATCAATCTTCCTCTAGCAGAGCTGTCCATGTAACCATTGAACAGCTTAAAAAGAAAGGTGAGATCCAACATTTTACGTATATGCTTAAGAGGTTGCAGATCAAATAGAGTCTCCAACCTTTTGAAACATGAGTCTGAAGAAGGATACCCTAGCTTCAATCCAATTAGCCTGTCTAGACGAAATTGAACACTGTCGAGGGCAGAAACATGGTCAATTTGGTATGGGGATTAAATGACGGACCCGTATTCGAGGATTGCTTGAACTAGAGACTTGTACAATGTGATCAGTACAGAGATGTTGCGGAAGTCCCTGGTAGATTTTTGAATAAACCCCATCAAGACTGTACCCACCCGAGCATTCTAATCATCATCATCTAATCATCATCATCATCTAATCATCTAATTGAATCATAAATATATTGCCCATAAACAGTTAGATTCAAATTCTTCTTCTTAATCATAATACATATCATAACCGGATAGTGCTGGGTTCACAACAGACCAACCGTATGATTCGGTTGTGTATACCTAGCTCTTGACACACAGAGGTTGATGTGATCCTTTGGGTTAAGATTGGGGGCTATAATAAGTCCAAGGTCATTCACATTGTGCACTCGTTTCAGTTCAGGTTAACACAATTTAGTTGGTAGTCAGAGTAACTCTCCTCATGGCTCCTAGTGTAAGTTATAGCCTGGCACTTAGTGACATTTAATTCCATGCAATTGATCTTGCACCAACTATAGTTATTCTTTGGAGAGTATGCTGAAGAAGATGGTAGTCCTCGGATGATGAGATCATGCAAAAAAATTTAATTTCATCAGCAAACATTAAGAAATCTGTCTCGATGAAGTCTTCAATTTCGTTGATAAAAATACGAAACAGTAGCGGGCCCAAGTGCGACCATTGAGGGACACCAGAAAAGCACAGGAAAAGGCAAAGGAAGATTTCTCATATTTGACAATGAGATATCTTCCCTTGAGATATCTTGCTAACTATTAAAGTAACGGACCACAGACTCCAAAGCCATGAAGTTTAGCCAACAAGATTCGATGGTCAACTCTGTCGAACGCTTTGGCAAAATCAAGGTACGGTACACAGTCAACCGGTCTGGTCTCAAGGAATGCAGCCCAGTCATTATGTACTCCTGTAGATGGAGAAGATTAGTAACTGGGTGAGCGTCCCTGGAAAAACCATGTTGTTCAGGTACAATCTAGGCACTAAGTTTAAACTGAAGAATCCAAGACAATGCTTTCAAAACTTTTGCTATCGTAGACTGTATCACAATTGGTCTGTAGTTATTTACATTATCCCTATCACCCGATTTGAAAATTGGTATCACATAGTTCTGCTTGAGACACTGGGGGAAAATTCCACTCGTAAGTAAAGCTTGAAACAGAATGGTGAGATGAGGGGAGGTCACCAATGAACAGAACTTCAGTACTATCGTCGGTATTCCATCAGGGCCTGCATTCTTGTTCTCATCTAGGGCTTCAAGTTTATTCTCAACATCACTTGTGGTCATGGGTAAAGGCACAATTTGAAAGAGAAAAATTCAATCCATAGTCAAATTTTGGTACGTTAATTTAGTATCATTTGCAGTGAAGACAGATAAGAAATAATTTGCAAATAACTGGCATTTGCTTGAGGATTTTTTTCAATTTTCAATTTCTTTATTCATTGAGAAGTATACATAATACAGCGTTTGAATAGTGTCAAAGATTACAATTATTAAAATATAAAATAATACAGATTAAAAATAAATCTTAAATTAAAAAATACATCTCCCCATACAGATGCCTTCTTAATATCTAGTATTCTCTTGAGGGAGGTGGAAAAATTCTTCTTGAGAATAAATTGCCATGTTTATTAACAAGAAATTTTTTAGTTTTGTTTTAAACTTTTCGGGATATCTTTTTCATTTCTAATTCCTCCGGGGATATGTTTAAAAAAACTTTACCAGCAAATGATGGCCTTTTTTCATAAAACTTTAATCTGTGCCTATTTTGCAAAATCTGATTTTTTTTCTCGTTTCATATCGGTGAACCGGTAGATTGGATACATCGGATGAGGTTTTATTTTTAAAAATTAAAATTGAATCATAAATATATTGCCCATAAACAGTTAGATTCAAATTCTTCTTCTTAATCATAATACATATCCTAACCGGATAGTGCTGGGTTCACAACAGACCAACCGTATGATTCGGTTGTGTTTCGATTGTTATCAACTGAAAGTCGAAATCGTAATCGTAGAGAATCGAACCGATGTTGTTATCGTAAGTTACGTTACGAGCGAGAGTGAAGTGAAATAAATATGGTTGCCTACCTTGTTTCATTTTCACGAACCCTTGTCTCTCGTAACACCACCCATCAGCGCCTTCTCCCACCACCGAATCATACGCCCGTCATTTGCGTGAGGCCGGAGTTGGCGCGAAATTTAAAATTGCATGCTAATAAATGGGCTGTTAGCGCATGTTCAACCCTCGAGTTCTTACTTGAAAAAAGTTAAATAAATGCGTTTTGTGGTGATAACATTTCTGTTAATACTACTTATTTACAATTACCTGACATAGCCGAAAATTCAGAGATACATGTAATATATCTACATGATAAATTGCATTTGAACATCTGAACTGTGAGTAGGTTTTCATTGCATATTCAGTTCTTGGGGCCCAAAATAAAATTCTAAACAAATTTATAATCAAGCTTCTAGTATGGCAAGCATTCCTTTGTTTTATAACTAGAGAGTATATATCCTGGCTAAAAATCATACTTTTACGTTTCTAACTAATCATAAATGACCTGAAAGTAATAGGATATGTAGTTTTTTTTTTTTTAATACAGTTAAAATAATTTTGATTATAACAATCTGTTAGCACTGCAGAACTGTATGTAAAAGCAAATAAAAGTAATATATTATTTTTATTAAGGCATGACCATGAACGCCTTTTAAGGTGAACCATGAACCATGAATGCAATTTATGGCCTGTTACTGTAGGCTATGATTCTGATTCACTCACTAATAGGCTACATTTATAAAATTCTTGAATTTGTTATATCATACTTTTAAAGACACAATACCAGAAATTATTCCTTACTAGATTAGAATCACCATTTTAAGGGTAATTAAATAAATTTCAAAATAGCTTATATTATATTAAGTTTAGGCTATTAACAAGACGCATGAAAACAGTAAACCTCTGAAACTTAGATTCTTTCAAGTTAGGCTATGTAAAAATCCATGTTGGAGTCCTAAAAAATGTTATTTTTTTACCACTGTTACCATTTGACTGTCTTCGCTATAAGTTGAGATCTTCATTAGGCAATTATAATTATTGTGAAACATTGACATTGCACAATTCCAATGCTGAAGGACAGTTAAGTATTTTGAATAACTTAAAGTTCAAAATTACAAGAATTAAAATATTAAAAAACAATGACTGTGAAATAAAACAAAATATATTTTGCAAGAGTAACTTAACTAATTTTGAAACCCCAATAGGCACAATAGAAATTTTATTGATGAGGAAGTTGAGGTTTAGTAAATAAAAAAAATTAATTAGTCCAAATACAGTGTATTTAAACATTTCACAAAAACAAAGTGATTCTTCTTTTGTCCAAGTCTTAGGTCATTACATTTGGAGTTTTTTCATTGGAGAAACTGAACTATCAATTTGAGTGTGTTTGCTGTGGTGGATTTGGTTGATTTCCGTTTGATTTTCCCTGTGCTTTGTCTTGGAGTCTTAATCTCCATGGGTTCAATTGGAGTCTGAAACAAATAAGGCCTTAGTTTTTTTTAAAACATTACTCGATTACAAAAGTAAGAGGTGGTCCTTACTTTAATCAAGATTAAACCAAACTAGACAAAACTGTGAGTGTGAGATAATAATTCGCTTCTACTGAAATGAGCTGTAAAAATTAAAAAATCAAGGCTACACTTGCGCTGACACCAGGTAAAAGTAATAAAAGTAAAAATAATAGAATACTAAATCAGGTATAGTTAGGTTTCAAAGTTCCGTTAGAGGTAATTCTGAGCAATTACTTGGTCAACCCCAATTTTTTTCATATTTTACTACGGTCATCAGGAGGTTCTCAGAAAGCAAGAAACATATAATTCAAGCCCCGCAAGGTTAAGTTAGGTTAGGTTAGGTTAGGTTAAGTTAGGTTATTAATTAACCTAACCTAACCTAATGTAACGGTACTGTTACAATTGGCCTTAGAGATGTATTTGAGACTAAAAAAAAACATAAGTAAGTAACGTGTTTTCACACCCGTCACATAGAAAAGGATTGTCGGAGGAACCACTAGCCATAGCCATAACGGTACTGTCACAACTGGCCTTCCGCGCGTCTCCCGCAAGCCACTGTTATCGCTTGGACTTTGAACCTTCTTATCGCTCGGCAACCTGTACGATGGCCTTGCGGGCCTTGAATTATATGTTTCTTGCTTTCTGAGAACCTCCTGATGACCGTAGTAAAATATGAAAAAAATTGGGGTTGACCAAGTAATTGCTCAGAATTACCCCGTTAGATAACAAAATTACTTTACACTAAATACTTCCATGTAGCTGTGCCACAGGCCTTATATGGAAGTGCAACCAAAATTAGCTAATACAATTTATTGTTTTTTTTTTTTTTTTACAGGGATTTCATTAAAATTACAGCCACTGAGCCACTATTAACTGCCACAGTGAGAGTAATAAGTTAGTGTCACTATTACTCTCACTGTGGCAGTTAGGCCTATGTTAAGTAAGGTTGTCACCAGATTCATATGGCAGATATCGATCCGGAAGGAAAAATTTAGGGTAATCTGAGGACTTTAAAACATTGCATGAATAACGATAAAGACACTTAGCACCTGAAAATGTTGACACTGTAGGCTAAATTGTATTCTTTAATAGGACAACAGCCTAATTATTTCTGAATATTATAGTAGGTAGTACAGTATTGTAGTTCTGATAGGGTTATATGTCTGCTTGAGTTTTAAGGCCAAAATATTATCATAAGTTATAAGTTAGCTGATAAACACCGATTTCTGTGACTGTGAAATTTTGCTATGCCAGCTTATTTTTTCCTAAAACTAAGTAGGCCTATTCCTACGATCTTATAATACATGAAAACAACCTTAACATTTTTCTAAGGCACAGAAGACTTTCATTTTAAGGTACTGTACCGGTATTTTAAAGATGGACTGCTTCTCTGGTGGAGTAATACCAGACGGGGGCACGACCACTGGCAAACGATTACATTTCAAATGGTCAGTCAGTCACTGTCAAACAACCTAGGCCTTAGTTTTTCTGTAACCCCCTGAAATGTCACTGTACAGCGCTTTGCAGAGTTAGGTTAGGTTTATTATGATCATTATGTTATTATGATAAAACCTTAACTTAATATATAATTAAGATGTAAAAGCATAACTTATCTTACCTCAACAATATCAGGCTATCCATAGAAAAGTTGTCCACGGCGGTGTTTTTTTTTTTCTGAACTGCTGTACCTACATAATCGGTGAGTTCAGCGTCATCTTTAAGGAGCTTGACAAGTGCTCCAAGTCTTATCTAACTTAAACTTCATCATCAGATAAATGTTTACTGCAAAGAATCAATACTAAACAGTTTCTTTCAGATTTTTTTCTTTTGACAGCCTTTTCCCAGGATTTCAACAGCTTTGGGCGAGTTAATAGAAATCTGAAATTGTTAAAAAATAGTTAAACTTAATTCACAGTAACCTTTAGGCCTAGTTTCCATAAATCCACATACATTGTAGTTCAACACCTATACCTGGAAATGTAAATAATAGCATAATAGCTATGAAGGGCCTATGATTGATAAATAGAGCTGACGCTACTACTTGTCAGTATAGGTGCGAGTATAGGCTACTCTAAGCGCACGACTTGTTTGCGCGTGGCCCCTCCACCGCCTCCTTAGCCAGGAGGGGCCCCCACCACTGCCCGGCTCTTGGCCAATCTGCTACTAGTCGCCCTAAAAATGTTGTCTATACTGCTTCTACTCCCAGCGGATGCGTAACACCAACACATGGCACCTGTTGATCTTATAATATTTCCATCGCTTCTCTGTGAATGGTTTGCCCTTTTTACGGGTGGTTGCCATAATATTAATCTATGTTAGCCTAGCCTGACACTTTTTTAACCCACGGCTTAACAATCACTCAATAATTACTCAACCGCACTACTCATCTAAACAGCACAGTCCAATAAACTGACAGTTGATAGAACACGATAGAATACAATACTCTTCTGGTCATAAAATAGGATAATAAAATCATAAAATGTCATAAAATACTTTACGTACGACATTAAGAGACCGACTTTCGTTTTATCAACTTAGGGATATAAAATAAATAACTGCAAGTCATTAACCGTTTTAAAGGGTGTTCGGAAAACCCGTCCGATATTTTAAGGTGTTATTTATTGTACATAATATGAAAATAAGCAAAAGTTTCCATAATTTTATGTACTAAGCCTTGTGGTTTTCTGTTTATAGATATATCTGTATGTGTTTTTACATACATCTATATCTATATCTGAAGATACCACCTATAAACGTTAAAAATTTACACCTAAAAAGTCAAACTTTACGATTAAATTGGAATATAGGCCTAATATGATTTTACCGTTTGGTGTACATTTAAATAAGTAAAAAAATAGTTATATCAAAATAAAATACTCTACTACAGTAACAAAACAATAATATAGAACCCTTAGTATTTGTCAAATTCAAATTTAAATTTTAAAAAAATGTACGCAAAAAGGAAAACAACGCGAACAGCGCTAGTCGAATGTTTTTAGAAAGCGTAGTCCGACCAATGCTACAGAAACTTTGGCTGCGTGGTGGGAGATTGGTACCGCTCTCCCCCCGCGCACCCGGCTCGCAAACAAGTCGTGCGCTTACAGTACTGTAGTAGCATGCTAGTAGGTATGATTACCAAAATAAAAATACAAGAATTTATTTTATTCAGTTAATTAATAGTTCAAATTAAAATGCACTTCTGATTTTAAACAGTAAGAAGTTATCTGAAGCCCTAACCAGTCTAGGCATAAAGCTGGGTTTTCCTAGGCGCGGAAGCGGAGAGCGGAGAGAGGAACGCGGAGAGCGGAAAAGAGATTAACATGGTGTTCCGCTCTGTTTCTAGGAAAACAGTAACATTAAATTACCTAAGACAAGTGGAGTCCGCTCTCCGCGTTCCTCTCTCCGCTCTCCACTTCCGCGCCTAGGAAAGACCCGGCTTAAGTTAGCGACAACATTTCTTGATACAGTAAGTAATTATTTAAAACTTACTTGTAAAAGTGGATCCCATTTCCTTTATTGTAGGCTACGTTTCTTTGCATCCAAATTCAATACAATATCTAACCAAATTTGCTTAATTGACTCACACTCACATAATTAAGATAAACATAATTACAATAAGATATCTTGTCGTTCATTAAAGGTCAATTGTTTGGAGGACCCCTATCCAAATCATCTGTCATCGGCAACACAGTGGTAATTAAGGTAATTAAAACCTCACCCAGATAGTCTAAGTTATCCTTAATAGGTTAAGGCATCTTGGTGGGATTATAAGAATGAATGCCAACATTTCTAGTTAAAATTGTGGCTGTATTTTAGTCAATTTTAAGTTACAGTAGCCTACAATCCATAAGTAGATTAAAACAAATAAAGCTGTAACATTTGTATACAGAAAAAAATAACTAACTTAACCAGACTTATTAAAATAATTATTTCTAGTAGGTAAGTATTGAATGAATTTGATTAGTAAAGATGCATGCAAAGAGTAAAGTGTTACTGTTTTTTCACCACTCACCAGAGGGCCTGTTAAAAAGATGTGTTCTATGAGTTAATTTGAAGGTAAAATTTGTTAAATTTTAAAATTTTACCTAACCAACACACCTAAGTTTCAGGCTGAAGCAAGCTTTTATTTAGGGCCTTATTTTATTTTACATTCCAACACAGGGCATATAAAATAACATGTTAAATGGGTGACACAGTGCTGAGATTTTGTCGGCCAGTGACTATGGGTGGTGCCAGCATATTTTTTTTAATAATTCACATTTGAAATGTATACGAATAAAAAAAAAAATATGTAAATATTTTAGAGTAGGCTATTGAGCTATGATTTTGGCCCAAGAGGTTGTGAAGGGAGCCTTGGCCTGTTATGACATTCTAGGATTCCGGTACATAATTAAGTGAGATTATATGGACTATTTACAAGCGAATAAGTATAATCGAAAAATTCATTAGAAGATGCGTAGAAATATGTGTTCTTTTCACTTTAATTTAAGCTAAGCAAAAATTTCCGGGGGAACCCTCCGACCCCAGGTATCACATCAACACCCGGTAAGTCCGGCGCCTCTGTTGCCCAGTGGAAATCCCTTAAAATATGCTCTGTTTCCAACATACTATATGACTTACCTATCTTAACTTATTGTGTCAGTTTCATTCTTTTAAATGACCAGCATACTTTTAATTTTATTTGTATTAACTTAAATAGGCTACATCCTAATATAATTATCAATGGGGGAATTGTATGTAAATAAATCCCCCTCCTCCCCAAACAATAATTGGAACCTAGAATAATAATTCTGGAGTAATAATATTTGGTTTTTTATATTTGAACTTCAGAAACCATAAGTAAAAGGCCTAAATTGGTTTTCTAAAAGACATCATAGTTTGCGCAATTGATTTGATATTTTTATTTTGCTGATTCAGTTAAGCTATTAATAGTTTGACTCTAATAGGGCAAAGCGTTTTCAAACTCACTTAAAATTGGGAATAACTAAATAAACTAAGTTTATTGAAATTCCTCAACATAGATAAAAACATAACCTGAGTAACCTCAATCAATTATTTCACATTTGCAATTGAGCGGCAGACGACACGACGACAGCACTCCAATCCAATCCTAATGTTAGCCTGTGCGAGTGCGATGCGATGCAATGCGATTACAGATACGACTTACAACATGTTCGATATTCTTCGACACACAACCGAATCATACGGTTGGTCTGTTGTGAACCCAGCACTATCCATCATAACCATAACAGTTAATCATGCCAGAGATTCGGCGATAACTGCACTGTAGTACAATCTTTTTCATAGTTTTAATGCATGTAGATAGATACATATAATAGTAAGTTATACTCAGATATTTTACTTTATGATACGATAAACTAAGGCGGCCACACTGTTTGTCAGTTCAGTTCAAAAGAGAGGGAAAGAAAAACAAACTAACTAACCCCGTAACGAAAGCAAAAAAATCATATTATCTCTTTGTAAAGGATCCGTAAACGAAATCGAAGGTGATAGAACCCAACCGTTCTTTGACTTGATATTCTTTGGCGCCAAACATTTTATTGGTATTTTTCAGGGATTTTGAATGTTTAACTATTAAAATTTAGTAAAAAAACTATCAATAGTATAGAGGGTTGAGGTAAGTTTATAATCTCTTCTGTATAAATGACATAGTACCTTGACTTTTTCCTGAAAAGTGTCCCAACATTTGCTTTATTTTGTAATAAAATGACAGTTCTACTGCCGATATAAATAATTACTCCAATGTTTTCGCATTGACCATAATTTACTATATAGGCCTAGTCAATGGTTTTTGTTACTCAACTTATTTTATGCATTTGATTTGATACTTTTTACATTTTCTTAGAGATTCTGTAGACATACAAACTAGGCCTATTTGCATTGCTATAGTCCCTTATTCAGGCCAGGTAACGAACACTTGAATTGAATACAAACATTAACGCCTAGGCCTACTCCTAGGTGTAGTGTCATGCCCGCAAGTAGCAGACATAGCTTGTGTGGTTCTTGTAATAAAAACGCTACTAGGTAGCAATTTTCGCTCCAATGTGGAGGACCTTGTTGCACTTGGTTTCACACAGATTGCCTTAATATTTCTGACAGTTGAGTATGAAGATTTAAAAAACATGTTGTACCCCTGTAAGGTGTAAATTGGTTCTGCCGTGTGTGCTCACTCCTCTTGTCGGCCCCTAGCCTCAACATATCATTGGTAACTTTGCATGAAAAGTTTGAGAAACTTGCTAGTGTTGTGCACAACTTAGTCTCTGACAGCAAAATTGTTAAAAATAGTATTGACTTTGTTCTTGAGACTTCAGGAACTGTAAAAATAGGAAATCCACTTCCACTTTTGAGGTTTATTTTATATAGGCCTAACTTAACTTATATTCATCCTTAAGTATAACATAAGTTTTTCTATTCCCATATGTTTCAAGGTCGATAACATATAAGGTAATTATTTGATATATCTACAATGCAATATCGTGTAATTTGTAGATGTCTAATGACAGTAAGTTATGTTCCACGTTTAATCCAAAAATGCAATCAGTTTTTGTCGGGGAGATTCCTAAGTGGCCGTACAGTTAAATAATTAATATTAAGCTTCAGTTTTGTTGGGTTATTCACCTATTTGTGGTTTGGACAAGTCCAAGTTCAGTGGTGACTAACACGTAAAGGGGTGGAAGGTTTGTGGAGTGGGAAACAGCTGTCAGTTGTTTACATTCAATACTAAACAGACAAAACCACACACGACGACACGAGACCAAAATCAGAGTTACGATATGCAATAACTCGATTTTTAACAGAAAATGGACTTAATTGCCGTTTAGATAATACAATAAATCAACTACGATACACACACTATTAATCACATCAACATAAATTATAAAAAAAAATAGAATTTATTAATGTAAAATATCAGCAATAGAAGCTTGCCACTGCCGACATGATCCGTCCTCATTCCAATCCTCAACGTTAATGAACGTGCCATAGTGCATAATCCCATAGTACATACCGTAATCCCATTGTGCCTAAAAGTGAAAACGTGCCACAGTGCATAATTTCAGGTATCAGTGACTAATAAATGATGTTACATAATCTAATCTAATCGAACCTAACCCAACCCAACCTTAATATTAATTTTTAAATCACATTTTATGTCAGAAAAGGCATGTGAGGAAGATAGGTCAGACTTTATGCGGGTTCGTGACTGTATTAAGTTCTTTGAAGTGGGGTTAGATTACTTACTCTTACTCCCAGGGCCATGCATATCTAAGAAGATATTTGGCCGCACCAACAAAGCCTCTCCATCTTGCTCTATCCTCTGCATCCTCCTCAGTTGCTCCTAGTTGCTCCATGTCTTTCTTTACTTGGCTCCACCATTTTTGTTTTGGCCTTCCTCTCGGCCGTCTTCCTTCGGGATTTCTTAGTAAAACTAATTTTAACTTATTTTGCTCCTCTCTTCGTAAAACATGTCCAGCCCATCTAACTCTTCCACACTTAAATTCACACACCACATCTGGATCTCTGTAGAGTTCTCTCAGTTCTCTGTTGTGTCTCTTCCTCCATTCACCACCTTCATAAATTGGTCCATAAATTTTTCTTAAAATCTTATTTTCGAATGTGATTAACTTCTTTTCAGTTAGATTAGGTACCTTTAACTTACCTGTACAGTCATGAATCCGCATAAAGTCCGACCTATCTTCCTCACATGGCTAAATAAGAACTGATCAACTTATTTAGTTTCAAAACAAATTGATTTCATTCCGCATTAAGTCGAGTATAAACAGCTGTTTGCTCTCCTCCTCACTTAGTCCACAGTCCTTATACGGACCCGTCCAGACCACTCCATATTACCATCAGTATAGCTCAATGAACCTGAGATTTGTACTTTTAACCTTCGTTTTACAGCCACTAACTTATGAATCTCTCCAAATGATTGCATTTTTGGATTCAGCGTGAAAAATACTGTAAGTAGACATCTACAAATTACACGATATCACATTGTAGATATATAAAATATTTGCTACTTATAACTTTGGCTAGGATCTAACATTTATTGCTATTTAGGCCTATATAGAAACAGCATTTGATATACCGTATTGTAAGCTCGATATACGATTGATGTACCTATCACTAAGTTCTTATTTAGGGTAAGTTATAGGCTGGGTTGAAATTTGTCTTATAAAAGTCTACCCCATTACAGACCTAAGTAGGCTATCTATCATTTGGCCATGTTGATCTGTCGGTTAAACTTACACAAGTTAAATGGTGTTTTAAAGCCTTTTGTTTTTTCAAAAGGTTTGACCATGTCTCGCGGTATTTCAGCTACGCTTTCGACTGCACGAACCTCAGCAAAAGTAATTCGCATTTCTTTGTGTTAGAAGTTTCCTACAAGTTAGGTAACTTATTGCCTTATCTTTTGAGTGTTACATAACAGGAAATGTTAGGCCTATAGACTTATTTGTCTTGTCATAATTACGTCTACAGTATTGCTTTTCTAACCTAGGTCACCTCCATGTTCCTCTGGGCGCATTTATTTTTACAGAAAAATATGTGATACTGCCAGCCGGCAGCTTTAGAAGTAACAGTAAGTTAGACCTACCTCCTGCAATAAAGAGATTTCTATTCTATTCTCTTCTATTCTATTCCTCGTGGTAATTTTTCTAGGAACATTATTTTTATCTCGTACCTCCCCGCAAAACCTCTATCAGTTAGTTGAAGCCCAAAGATTCGCGTAGCTCCAAGAGTCACTGATGGTGTTGTTGTTTTTCTTGATTTAATGTTCAACTTTATTGACAATAAGTTATATATGGTTTTAATACGTTTTTGTCTAATTGTAAGTTAGGCCCTATGCATAAAAAAATTGTATCTAATGTTGTAACAGCCGGAAGAAAACTCTTGTGTGACACCGATTGTGTTATTGTTGTTTGCTAGGTCTAGATATTTTATAAATATATAAAGTAAGAGTTTTATTGATTTTATATAACATTTTACTGATTATACATGGTTTTTATAGGTATATTTTACATTAACCTTGTGTCACTGTTTTAAAATCAAAGACATGGATGAAGGGTTAATACTTTAAGGTTATCTGACCATTTTTCATGCTCTCTTGGCAACCCAACCTGTTTTGTTATTGTCAAGGCCAAGGTCTGTAAGTTGTACCTCAAGATGTCTAAGTGGTTCTTTGTACATACCGGTAACTGTTACATAACTTGAGTAGTTATTAATAGGTACCCAAGTTTGTATAAATTATTTTGTAACTTTGTGTCTAGTAAATAACTTAAACTTACCTATGGATTTTCCACAGATGAAGGTTAAAAAACCGAGAGCAAATGCCAAAGACAAGTCCCCGGGAGGTGCACGGTCCCCTCCGCCCAATCAGATGGAGGTTGACCAAGATTCAGACTCTGACCAGGAAGAATTTCCTGTACAAGAAGGAGGGATTAATATTCCGACCCGAGAGGGAAACATCTACATTCCACCAGCTCCTCCTGCGACATGCTCCCTGGACAGCAAGGGGCCTCGTCTGATAATCACACATATTGAGAATGAAAACTTTAAAAGCTACGCTGGCAGAAGGGTACTTGGTCCATTTCATAAAGTGAGTAGGCTACAGAATATCTCAGTTACCTAGATAAGTTATAACTTGTATTATCGTGTGCTTCTATTTTTGTTAGTTTTATGTTTTGCAACTACCGGTACTGTAGTAGTAGGTCAAGGAAATATACAAACAATTTTATCACTAATTACCAATGAAGTAAGGTTTTGCAGTTTTTTTAAATAATAAAAAACCTTAGTAAATAAGATAATAATGACTACCGGTAATTATTATAATAGCCAAATAAAAACAATTGGTCTTAGCTATGTTGAACTATCAATCCTATAATACAGGACAATTTAAAAACTCATAGTCATGATACAATAAAATTAGTTTTAAACCTTCAACCAATTTTTATTTAGGCCTAACCTATTTTTTTGGGTAGGTTCAGTTCCGCAGAAAACCTGCAATACCTACCTATATTAATATAAATATATAGGCTCATCGATTATTATTCAATTCAATTTAAAATATCACATTGAATTTCATTTTACCATATTATGATATAGCCTAAATAAAAACAATTAACAAATTACATTTATAAAGTTGTTTCTTTATTTTATCCTTGATATTTTAAATTTGTACACCTTAAAGTTAAAGTAGGCCTAACTTAGTTTTTAAAGAAACTAAGCCTGCATCAAACTAACTAGCCTAAATTATAAAACTGTGTGTGTGTCATTGATCCCTAGGAAAAATTATTTAACTTTCAGTTTAACTTGTTATTTGAATTTTGATTGCCGAATAACATAATCTTGCTCTTACTCAATAACCATATCCTAATTGCTTTTGTTTAAAACATTATCGCTGACATTATTTTCAATTTAAATTAGATGGTAGTTAAGCCTCTCGATGTAGACATAGTCAAATCTTAGAATGCGATATAAAAATGGTTTATGTTACCTTTTTGCGTCAAACAATCCGTGTGTAGTTGGTACAACTACAGCTGTTTCATGCCCCTAGGGCACATCTTCAGGTTATCAGAAGAACATTAGATAAAAAGCGCATTCTTGTCGAAAAACAGCTGTAGTTGTACTAACTACACACGGATCGTTTGACGCAAAAAGGTAACATAAACAATTATTATCATTTAAATTAGCTAGTAAAAACCAAGTTTTTTTACGATGGAAATTTTTTGTTGTTTTGCCTATAGGCCTACTTATTAGAATAAAAGTGTACATGAGCCATTTCCAGTTTTGTTATTTAATTGTTTACAATCCACAGAGTTTCACTTGCATCGTCGGACCCAACGGCAGCGGCAAGAGTAATGTGATTGACTCTATGTTGTTTGTGTTTGGATACCGAGCTACCAAAATCAGAAGCAAAAAGATTTCTACCATGTTGCATAAATCTGAGAACCACACCAACGTCCAGAGCTATACAGTCACCGTCCATTTCGCCAAAATTATTGACATTGTAAGTATTTTTCAAGTGACTTAAATAAACCCATTATTTATAATATAGTGTACACACTAGTAGCCTATATTTCTTATGAATAATGAATCCTGTGATTGGGACATTTCATTAATGCTAGATTCTCAATGTTTTATTAATTATCTTGCTTACTTTCATTACTGTACATCAATTTACATAGTTATTAAAGCTGTTAATATTTGGTTATTACATTTTGTTGTTTAAGTTATTAATATTTTATCTCCTTTATTTTTTATATTAGGCTACAATGACATTTTTGTAAGATTTTTACCGCCAAAACATGGATTGGTCTTTTTCTAAATCCGGTGTGCCGGCCACCTATTTAAGACACTTTAGCGAGGGATTACTGTAACTGAATTTTTGAACTGAAAAAAAAACTTAAAAAACTGAACCGTCACTTTAAAATGTTGTGATAATTTTTACTACCTAAGTTAGTTAAATGTAAGTTAATTAGTCTTGGATCTGGTGATTCACTAATTTGAATTGTACATGTATCCTGTTTGTAGGGTGATTTAATTTACCGTATTAAAAATTAAACTTTTGACTATGTCTAATCATTTGTGTTTTAGGATGATGATAACTTTGAGTTTGTGCCCAACTCAAAATTTTACATTTCAAGAACGGCTTTTGCTGACAATTCTTCTTTCTACACGATCAATGGAAAACGGACAAATTTCAAACAAGTGTCGACTTTGTTGTTAGATCAAGGCATTGATCTGATCCACAACCGATTCCTCATTTTGCAGGTGCACTATGAATATGTTTTTATTATAAATTTTTAATAGAGCATATTGCATTAAGTTTAATCATGTCTTAGCCTATATGTTTTTTTTTCCAAACACAGCTGCGTTTTTCATTCATATAATTTAAACATATTTATTTCTACAGTGTTTTGCATGATTACATGGTTGCTTGTCTTAACTTGATTCTGCGTGTCTACGTTATAATTTGGTGAGTCGATGGCTCTTCGGTAGCAAGACGGACTACGAATCCATGGCAGCGATGTCATAAGTTTTTGTTCTGGTGCTAGTCTCAAAGTTTTTTCAGAATAGATAACTCTTGTACTATAACGGCTCACCCCTTGTTTTGCTGGGTACGTTTAAAAGATTTGACCTTGTCCGTGATTTTTTCTGATGTACCACTCGTCAATACAAAACTATTTTGCGCCACTAGCTATAGGATCTGAACAATTATTCAGTGTTTTGTTGATGTTATTTTACCAATGATTTAACATGGAATAGCTGAAAATAGAAAACATGTCATATGCAAGGAAAATACATAAATATATCACACAACTTCAATGAGTAGGCTTGGCTTGTTGAATAGAAGCCACTAGAAAACAATTGCTTTTAGATTCATTCCAAGCTGGAGTCGCAATCATTTCCAAATTGGGGACGGGTTTCCCTGAGGAGATATTTTACCAATGTACGTATACTTCATCCTGAGTGAAGTAAGTAGGTCCACTGAGCACAGGGTGCAAGAGTTTTAATTCTGTGATACATTTTGTCCCTGATCTTATCTTGCTGATTTTACACTTTTGCTGTGAACTAAGGAGTTTCAAAACAATCCTAAAATTTAATATTCATACTTAATTACCACATATACCACCACTTACCCTGGTAAAATAAATATTTTTTTATTTCATATACCATTGGTTGGGAAAAACTGGTTTAGAAGACGTATGATTTGGTTAAAATGAAAAATGTTGGTTAAAAACCGATAGCATAACAAACTAAAATATTATATTAGGAACATGACAAATATCAGCTGTAATACTATGGACAGTTTTGACGTGTGTTGCAATCTTGCAGGGAGAAGTTGAGCAAATCGCTATGATGAAGCCCAAAGCTCAAACCGAGCATGACACAGGAATGTTGGAGTACCTTGAAGACATCATCGGCACCTCTAGGTTTAAAGTAAGTTGAATGTATGAATGTTGAGTATGTTGAATGTTTGGTTTTAGCATTGACTATAAATCCTTAAAAGACAACGCATACATACGGGCCCATTGTAATGGCCGGAGCTGAGCCAGGTCCGTGGGTTCAGTTAGTTGGTCTGCACCTCCGAAAGACAGCGCGTGCGTCAATTGTTTTATTCCTTCTCTGCCAGAGAGTGCTGGCAGCGCACCCCGCCCGGCGCCCGGCGGCCCGGCCCGCACTCGGCGCACTCGCACTACTCGCAGTCGCAGTACAGACAGACACTAGACAGAGTACGCCGTGCTGCCGGATCGCTACAGCGCACACGCGCACGTACCTACACGTACACCACACAGTCCCTTTTAATTTAACTCTTCACTCTCTGTCCTCTCACCACACTTCCAGTTCCACTGATACTGCATCGGACCCCAACGATGCGATTATATTATGACCGCAACCGAGCATTGTTACCTACCCAATTCCTATGGTTTAATTAAATTTGTCATACCTACACACACAGGCCGGTAAAATGACATTTTGGCGTTACAGACGGAGTCACAGAATGGACAAACAGACATACAGATAGAAATTTAGATAAGACTCGTTTCGGCTTTCTTAGGCTATGAAACGTAAAAAAACCAAAAACTGCATGATTCTAAGCAATGTACAGACAAAACTGTAATTCTATTTATATAGATTTTAATTTGTTTACATAACAACTAGGGGTCTGCGGGTCCCCGATTTTTTCGGGTCGGGTCGGGCCAGCGGAAGGCCCGAGACACCGGGTCGGGTCAGAGATTTGTTCGGGCCAAGATCGGGTCGGGCCAAAAAAAAATAATTATTAGGCTATTTTTAAAGTTATAATAAATAATTTTCAAAGAAACACTCTTATATACATTATTACAGAGGAATTAAAATGTTAAAATTAGAATTAAATATTAAGTTTGCTCACGTTTAAGAACAAAGACACAACAGAGCAATTATTGCCTTACTGTCACTAGCCAGAGCCAGTCGTCTACTGACAGACAAAACAAAAGCCGTGACGCAACAGTGCAAAGAAAACGAAGTCAAAAGAAAGACTATTTATCCAGAGGTACCAGTTTAATTATTTATTGTTTATTCCATACCTAGTTTAAATTATATTTTAGTATTTTATTTACATAATAAATTATAAACAAAAGAAATATCTGATATAGTGTACAGATCTGTATCTTGTTCTTTTATTTTCCTATTGTCCTTTTTGTCATTCAGTAACAAAACAAAACAACACTTCTGATCGTCTGGTTCGGCATTTTATGGTCACCATTTATTTTTTTTTTTTAAGTATCAAGTATCAACAAGTCTACAAAGAGGTTAGGCCTAAATATTTAATAATTTTATGAAAGTTTTCATCAGTAAAATTATTTTTTTCTTAAGTTGGATTGAGTTTCAAAAAACATATTTCTAAGATCCAATACAATATTTACAAGACACAAACTACCATGAATTAATTTCTTTGGAAATTATCTGTAACAGTTTTATATTTTTGAATAAAGAAAATATATCTTTTTGTCTCTACTTCCTTGTTTTGTTACTTGTATTTTGTCAGCAATTGGAACAACCGGGTGGCGTAATAGGGGCGGGGGAGGGGGAGGGTCTATGACCTTGAGTGTCCCCGGGCCTGGCTCGGGTTGTGTAAGAGGGGAGGGGAGGGGAGGGGGAGGGTCTGTAACCTTGAGTGTCCCCGGGCCCGGCTGTGAGAGTGATTCATGGTTTTTTGTTTACATTCTACTACCCTTCCTTCCGAGAAAAAGACCCTACAGTTTCAAAAACATTGACTTACAGTATAAAAACATTGAGTTGTGTTGCTAATTAGGGCACTATAATGTCTCTGCTGTCTGCTTATGTTGCCAAATTAGCATTTAACTTTCTTTTCTCTTGATTTAATATAATTTTCTATATATTAAGAGTTCCTTTTCGGGTACCTAATAATTGTGATATTGTTTGACTTGAGTTTATGGATTTTTAATTCTTTTCATTTATTAGCTAAAATCAGTTGTTTTAGGATTTTAATCTCTTGCAATACCTATAACTGTGCCTATAACTGTGTATCTATAACTGTGTATGACATGATATGCAATTTTTACAGTCTTTACTATAACTATACCATAAACAATGTATGTGTGTTATTTATTGTTTTAGAGTTGTATAATAAATTAGTTTACACAATATCTTTTCTTCAATGAGTTCTCCACTTGTCATGTTGCTTAGTCTATTACTATTTTAGGCCCTATAAAAAATAATTCCTATGTAAAGCTGTAGGCATACTAATGCCAATAATAGATAATTCTTTATTTATGATGATGTAACTAATAATGCTATTGTAAGTGTGAGAGGAGGTTAGGAGGCAGGGAATGAATGATTCATATTGCATGGTGGAAACATAGAATTTTTATTTTCTTCTTGCTTGCAGTCTTGAAGCCACAGGCCCTAAACTTGTGATAAGGTTAATTGATTTGTTTATGATCCATTTATATTAAGTTCCATTACAAACTTGTTGTAATATAGCCGTTTAGATATTTCAACAGTTATGAAAATGGGAAAGAATGGCTTGATAAAAAAAATTATTTTCTTCTTTCTTGTAGTTGAGGCAACTCCTAAGCTGTAAACAAGTTATGAACATGAAATAATATACATAAATACAATCTTTTTCCATATGTTATTTTCAAGTAATATTATAAAAACAGATAGGAGTTAAAAAAAGAAAAAAAATCCGGTAATTAATAATTTTTGGCCCGACCCGATTTTGGCCCGAAACCCGAGGACCAAAATTATTGGCCCGACCCGACCCGACCCGAACCAAAAAAGTCTGACCCGCAGACCCCTAATAACAACAGATAAAAATGCTACAAATTCGTTTACATCCATACGAAAATCGTTAGAGTTGGTGATGTTGTAGTGAATTCAAGTAAAATATTGCAATCTTATTTTTATAAATAAGAACTTACGTTAGCTTTTTTCTTTTTTTAAGATTTGCAATAGAAATCCGTAAATTATTTCAAATAGGCTATATCACGGATTTTGTAGTCACAAAGTGACGCTGGTTGTTAGTAACCATAAAACAAATCAGCCCTTACAGAACACAACAATTGGTTGTCGTCTGGTATGACTATTTATTCAAAATAACGCGTCGAGTGTTAATCATAAAGTAGTTCACAATTTGTGCTAAATATGTAAGAGCGACAAATGTTCCATTTTCTGACATAATCAAGACGTTTGCTGCTAAAAATCAAGTAAAAATCGAATGTAATAATTTTTCAAAATTATTATTATTATTATTTCAAAAATATAATGCACTGTCTCTTACAAAGAAAATTTCACCTGGCGGACAAGTGCCACTCACTTCTGCAGCTAACCATAAACGAACAAAGCAACAATCAACTAACTTTCGACAGTCTCAACTCAGCAAACAAACCGAAGTGATGTAAAGAACAAAGAACTAAAGAACTAGGTACTGGAGTACTGGATTGCGCTCACAGTGGCACTGCGGGGCGGGCAAAGTGTCCTTGGTCTAGCTTCCCCCAACCCAACCCCCACTATCTGTTGGCAGAGGCCGACGTAGCCCATACCGTTAACTTGTTAACTATATACAGTCAACGCCCAAACTACATATATATTATAAAACGCACCTTTTTAGTCACTGCGCTGTTAAAATATATAAAGATATTAAAATATATAGAGGTATTGCAAAGGTCCTTCGTACGGGATAGGCGTATACGTATCAAATGCGTATTGCAGTTACTAGTTCTTTGCGTTTAAACCATAGAAACACCCCCAAAGCAGCAAACCTGCAGACTAAACGAATTTCCAATTGACTGATTGGATTTACACTAAAATGTCACCTTACAAATATCACATATTTATTACCTATTCAAATATAATTAGTTTAACGATAACTTAGGTCTGCTGCAACAGGGAGGGTAAAAAAGTTTGTTTATTGTAAAGTTTAAATACTGCAGTTAAGTAAGAAATGTAGGTGTATGTATTTTATAAATGTAATTAATGTTCATAAACAAGCTAACTACAACAGTTTAATTGTTCTCCATATGAATAACATGGGAATTCTTAGTTAAAATTTTTTCCTACAGTTACCTAACAATGTTCTCTCACTGATTTGAGAAAGTAAAGTGGCCAATTCGCTCATCAGTGAGACAATGTTAACATTGTCTCACTCTAATTACTTTGTCTCACTCCAGATTTGCAACGTGAAGGCACGAAATAAGTGAGCGCGTAACATGCAGACAAGGTCGTATGAGCGTGAAATACGTTGGCAGCACTGGCTGTAAATCAGCTGGTAAGCTGTTGTACTGTTGTATCATTAAATGTTATATTAAAAGTTCAATTTTGTGTTAAAATAAGTCACTATCTTTACCAATGTATTTGTTTTATGGTAACTGTAGGAAAAATATAATGTACAACTCGAGTGCAAAGTGCAATTGCCTCACTGCTCCTCGGGAAACCATTCCTCACTCGCCTACGGCTCATGAGTAGGCCTAAGTATTTCTCTCGAGTGAGTCAATTGCTCCCTTTGCTCACTAGTTGCACAAATAACTATTTCTCCGTAACCATTAGATGCATAATAACACTTCAATATACTAAATTATTTGGATTTTTAAGCTCTACAAAATGGTTTGGAAACAAATGGCTAAATCATATGTTTTTTGGGACAAAATGGGAAAACCCAATTTCTACCCCACACATTTCTACACCAATTTCTACATGCACAATATCACATATTTCTTATTAGAACATAAACATAACTGAAAACAATCCTACTTTGACAGTTCTCAATGTTTATTACAGCTTTTTGTTGCTGTACACATGACCAATCTACCAGAATTTGTAACGGCCATATTTATAGCAGTAATGGCAGTTGGATCTATTTTTACAATGGTTCGAATATAGCATAAATCTGTGTACGTGATAATAATAATAAATATACAATAATAGTAAATAATATAAATAAATAATAATGCATATAATAAATACATTAATTTATATATAAGTAATATAATATAATATATAAAAACGACAACGCGTTTGCATAGAGAATATTGTGAAGGGATCGATCACCGCGCAGGGCCTATGCGAGGCGAACCATGCGGCGGCGCTGGTGAGTCGGACGGTAGGGAGATCAAAGAGGACCGCGACCTGGCTGGAGTGTCGGCAGCGGAGCGGGGATGCACGCGTGCGCGCGCAGCACTTACAACACGAGTTTCCAGCCATTGCCGCTAGGAACGACACCGCATAGAGGTACTGAACTAGTTCTGCTAATCTCCGCTAGGATATTTTGCTGGGTACGCTTTTTAGTACTAGATGCGTTGTCTTTTAAGGATTTATAGTCAATGGTTTTAGTTTTCAGTATAGAATAAACTTACTGCAGTGAAATAATAATTTAACTCCTATGTTTCAGTTGTTGCCAGTTTTAGGATTGGAAAGAATTTCGTTCAATTGAGCTCTCTATGTTTTGTGCTGTTGTCAAATTCTTTTGTTCTTTTACTCGAACTTACTAAATTATTTATTTTTTAAGCTCAAAAAAATTATATGTTTATATTTTAAAGCAAATTTACTGGTATGTATATGTTCATAGACTCCCATAGAGAAGCTGGCTGCGGAAGTTGAGGTACTCAATGGTGAAAGGGTTGAGAAGCTCAACAGAGTAAAGCTCGTAGAGAAGGAACGAGACGCTCTGGAGGGTCCGATGACAGAAGCCATCGAGTTCCTTGAGACTACCAACGAGCTCATGCGGCTCAGAAACGAACTCTTCCAGTCTCAACAGTGAGTCGAATTGTCGTTTTGTCTGCTAAATACTAAGAATTTGTGTTCATTTTTCTGAATGAAACACAACACTGCTAGAGATTGTCAATAGTTATGCCTGATTTTAAAGGAGGTACTGACATATCACTACTTAAAGCATTTATCACTGATTTAAACACTTTAGATTCAATATTGATTGCAGAATTTTCCTGGATTGCAAAATCAAGATCATCTACCGCAATCGCAGCGACATAATATTCTTCTATCAGTCCTGTTCATCCAAAAATATGGGATAAAAAAACAATAATTTTTTAGGACCCTATATCACCTCTCTTTTTAATAGAAATCTCAGAGTTTAATTTTTGAACACATCGATATATTATTGTGTTAATAATTAACTGATAGGCTATATTTTAATTTTACAAAAAATTTTGTAGATAATTTGATGGATTTTCCTCAGAGATTATGCGAAAGCACTTTTTTTCCATGCATTTCGTAATTTTTCTGGAATTACAATAGCATTATCCACATGGGTTGGTGACTATCGACTGGACGCGAAGACTTGATTTGTTGCCCCTTAGTTGTACTGTACTTGCACCCGGCCTTAGCGATTACCCTTATCAATTTCACAATTTCATATAATCAATAGTGGCATCACTATAAAAGAGCATGTCTATAAAGGACAAGAAATTACTTATTTTACCTTAAATAAAATTGATGTAACATTTGTTTACAATCCAACATCTATGACCTGTACTAAAGATAGTCATCTTTTCAGATATGGGTATAGAATGGAAGTAGAAAAGAATGAAAAAGAGAAGAAAGAAAAAGAAGATGGCATGAGTGAGTTAAAAGCTAAAATGAAAGAATTGGGAAGTAAACAAGAAGAATTGCAGAAAGAAATCAAGAAGAAAGAAAAGTGAGTTAGGATACTAATTTAAAATGAGAATACTTATTGTAAGACTAATTCCCTAGTTTAGAAACCTAAGAGTATAATTTTGTTGTCTTTTTGTATAGTATTTAACTAAACATAACTGAATCACTAACTTAAATAACTTTCTCCTCATCATTTTTACTTACGGTAGACCCCCTCTTATCTGGACACCTTTTAACCGGACATCGGTTTAACCAGACTACACTGGGCGTAAATTACATCTCTTTAACCGGAGAATTTTTATCAGCACCTCGGTTTAACCAGATTAGATCGGCAGGAAGTGGGCGGTATGGAAACTACTGTTCTCATGGGAAAGATTTGAGACCAGTAATCATGTGTCTAAATACATTGCTCTCCCAAATTTAAGTCAAATATAAATACAGTATGCATTTATAAGGTCCGTTTTAACAATTTATTGGGGATGTCGGTTTAACCGGAAAACCCGTTATCTGGACTGGCCTCGGTCCCGAGGAGTCCGGATAACAGGGAGTCTACTGTACTAATTAAATGTTTTAAACTAAAATAAGTAGAACCATTCAGCTAGTAAATTTATTGGAAAGGATTTTATGTAAAAATCCATTCAATCACTCTATCAACATTAATGACATTAAATCAACATTATTCAATGAAAAAGTATAATTTTATTTCATATTAATAATTAACTATTTCAAAATTTGTAGATGTCTATAAGATGCTTTTGTGAGGCTTCAACACAACACAATTCGTTTCACTTTGATTCACATTTAGTCTTGTTGATGGAATCTCAGAAAGATCTTACGTCAAACGATTATATCACAAATCAAAATGGCTTTCTCATTGTTTAGAGAATACGATGGAATATTGAGTGAAAAAGAAAAGAACAATACAAGGTACAACCAGATGAACACACAAAATGCAGCATTTGCTGAAGAGCTGAAGCAAGTCAACAACAAGCGTAAGAAAGTCAAGGACCAGCTGAAAACCGAAGAGGAAAAGGTAATGTTCAAAGACACCATATGATTGGAAGAAATTCTCTTCAGCTGATCTACCTGAACAAACCAATGCCACTCAAATTCAAAATTATTGAAGATTTCTTTAATCTGTTTATTAGGTTATGTCATGTAACTGTGAACTTTTTTTAAATGCATGGAATTAAGAAAACCAGGCCCAAAAATATATTGAAACAGTGTGGTGTTGATCAATTTTTAAAATTGTTTACTCATTCATTTTAGTTTTGATAGACCTGATTCACATAGTTATTCACATAAAATTAAATGATTTATCAAAAACACCTGCCAATAACCTGGGTATTGTTGCATACTTTATTAAATGCAAAGGGTCACTCTCAGCGACGCTCGCATTATAGCCAATAACTACATTGTTGATGTTCATGCTGTAGCACTAAGATGATTAACTAGTTAGTTTTTCACAGAAATAATCTTTGCCGTTTTGTCTGCAGTTGACAGCGGCAGAAGCAATACCGGAGAAGAACCAGAAGGAGATAGAAGATTTGAAGAAGGTCCTGGAGAAGTGCAACAGTCAGAGAACCAAGGAACAGGAGGAAGTGAGCCGAGTATTGGCTTCACTACAGGAGGAGACGAGAGAGCTGCAGGACCAGAAGGATAAACTACAGGCGGAGCTGAGTGGGCTGAAGCAGACCGTGGACCAGGCTCGCTCTAAGGTACGAGTCGACAAACTTCAGTGGAGCGTCAACCCTCCATGGGTTTCGATCTGTTGAATAAATTGGTGCCATCAGCTTCTCTTTCTTGCTTCCTCTCTCCAGTTTCTCCTTCCTATCCTATGAAAGTCCTCTATAATATCAGCCTGCCATGTCTTGTGGGTTATATACTTGGCCATGTGTCCACTCTGTATTCTTTGACTCCCTGTGTCCCTGCAATCTCTTTACTCTCCAAACAATCTGATTTTGAGCCTTTATTAATCGGACAATGTCCTCTTCCTTGCATACACAGTCAAATATAAATTTTTCCTCTTCAAAACACTATTTCTGATCTCTGATCCCTTGATGTGACAAAAGGCCCTTAACCAAAACATATCATGTCTTGCTTAGTGAACACCTGAGGCTATTCTAAAAAAGGGATATATTTTTAAAAATTTAATTAAATTGTGACATATGTGAGAGTTATGTCCCAATTCTTACTAAAGTTAGAACAGCCTACAACACGATCAAAGACTAAAATTAAGGATGAAGCTAGTTGTTGTATGTTTTATTTGTTAATACATTTTTTAACTATTTTTGTCAATAAGGTCTGCTGTTCATCTTATCCTCCATAAAACCTGGCCTTAAGATACCAAACGACTTTACTCTATAACAAACGACTTTACTATTTAACAATTTCATCTCAAATTCAATGTTGCAGCATGATTTGGCGGAGTCAGAGATGAAGATTTACCTGAGCAACGAACAAAAAGAAAAGAGTAAACTAGAACAGTTCAAAGCAACGTTGGATAAAGTAGTGGACAAACTGAAAGACAGAAAAGCGTAAGTGTACCATTGATTAAATAAGCCATAGATGTAAGGCCTAATGTATTAGTCTGAGAACAGAGTTAGCTATTCTCCTTTTCCCCCTTTAAGAGCCTCCTGCTTAATTGTATGGGTGGCTAAGTGGTTATAGTGCTTGTCTCTAAATCTGAGAGGTTGATTCCAAGTGAGTTTAGATTCTGGATTTATATGTCATTTTTCAATGGACTATAAATGCAAAACAAAAGTATCTATATGTTGTAACTTATTTCATTCCGAACCCTAGCGCTGTGGCCGAGCTGGAGGTGAAGCTGCCTAAGGCTCGGGAGGATCTGAGTCAAGCGCAGGCCGAGCTGGCGCAGGTAAGGGAACAGGAGGCCATTGCTTCACAAGAATGGGACCGGCGCAGGACTACTCTGGAGGAGCGCCGGGTTGCCATGAACGCCAACCGGAGCCGCAACCGCGTGCTCGATTTTCTGCTCACTCAAAAGCGGGAGGGCGCCATCCCCGGCATATTTGGTAGGCTGGTGAGTAACTTTATTATTTCAATGATATAATGCGTTTGGGTTTTGAGATTCAGGATTCGATTTTGTAAGTTTTGGTTTTCAGATTTGAAATTTCTGGTTTTGACCATCATTAGTGTCTATAATAATTCCTCAAATAACCTAGGCTAAACCTAACATGACCAAAAATTAATTTCAAACAAAGCATTACCATTATACTTTCTGTAAGAAGTGGATCTGAAAACATTGCAATATTTTCTCTCCTATAGGGAGATCTGGGTGCTATTGATGACAAATATGACATCGCCATCTCCACCGCGTGTGGCGCGCTGGACTTCATCGTAGTAGACACGGTGGCGACCGGTGAGGCTTGCGTAGCTGCACTCAAACGTCACAACGTCGGCCGCGGGACGTTCATAGCGCTGGAGAAACAGGAGTACCTCCGGAACACCTACAGTCGCCCGTTCAACACGTACGTTTAGTTTCAGTGCCAGTATTATTGTAAGAGGTCAATAATTCAAAATTTCAAAAAAGTTGTACACCCTCTTGCATTACTGTTTTATGCTTTAAAATAGTTTAAATACCTACATAAAGTAATACTTGGTTGGTGTAGATAGCTACTAGTTTTGATTCATAACTTTTTACGGTTCAGCAGTATTGGTTTTCATTGAACTTTATTGATAACATTTAAATTAAGTGATCTATTTTTACTCCTGTAGGCTCTAAGATGATTCAGTCATAAACTGAAACTAGTCACCACTACAGCAACTACACTATTCAGGTGTTCAAACTATGAATAATGATTCAAGTACTTGTAGGTGATAAGTTATTTGTGTTGGAACGTGATTTAAGTGTCAGCGTTTGAGTGTCAGACATATCATACCCATAAAGTTACGACCAGTTTGGGAATAAAAATGTGCCACTGATAGTGTGTTCTGTTGTGAATGACATATTTAGAATATGCCAACTTTTTATTAAGCTAAACTGAAAAGACAAATTACCTTTTATTTCTCATAAATTATCACAGTAACAAACTATGGAAGAAATTGAATTTTAGACTAGCAAAATCAATGTGGGACTCTTACTCTTACTCCCATGGCCATTTGTACCCTAAGTGGTACTTGGCCTCACCTTCTTGACTTCCGTCCGTATCTTCATTGACTTCCATCCTTGCCATATCTTTCTTTACTTCATCCATCCAGCGTTTCTTCGTTTCCCTCAAGGTCTTCTCCCCAGTGGATCACTTTTACATATTTTATATGATGTGCTAGTTTCCTCTCTTCTAATGATGTGGCCCGTCCAGCGAAGCCTCCTGCTTTTAGCCTCTGCAATTATATCTGGCTCCTTGAACAGGTCTCTTAGTTCCTTATTATGTTTAATTCTCCATACGTCTCCTTCTTTAGTACGGCCAAAGATTTTGCGCAGAACTTAATTTTCAAAAGTAATTAGTTTAGTAATTAGTAATTAGTCCAGCTCCATAAAGGGCAGTTCTTATGATAGTTTTGTAGATTTTTAGTTTAGTGTGATGAGACAATAATCTTGACAATAATAATTTGTTTAGAGCATACATACTTCTACTGGCTAGGTTTATTCTGTTCTTTATTTCTATGTGTTCCTCACTTTGTGAGCTGACAATAACTCCTAAATATTTAATAGACTCAACTTGTTCATAATGTTGTTCTATTTTTGTTATGTTCTCTTTGTTCTCTGTTCCCCTTCCAAATCTGACAAGCTTTGTTTTTATAAATTGGTTTAAATACCTGCTTCTAGTAAACCAATAGTCGCAATTCCTGTCACGCAACTAGTTTCGACTTCATACAGAAGTCATTCTCAGGCGTCCAGTGGATGTCAAAATAATCACTTCATCAGAAGGTCGTTGATTCATACATGGTACATTCACACGCACACGCACACGAACTAGAACATAGTCACATAAAAAAGCCATTTCAACAAAAATATACTGGAAGAATTTGAAATAGGCCTATACAGAGCAGTAAAATTTGACAAACAAAATATTTTAAATGACAAACTATCTTTCCAGTCAAATTATTTATGACACGTCAATCAAGGTACTTGAGAGAGAGTCGGGAATGAATGGGGACAGCTGACTGATAACAAGAACAAAGGGAGTGACGTCACAGCGCCGACCGAACACGTAGACCGGCAGTCTAGACGCTACATTCACCCGGCTGTGACGCATCATCCCCAAGTTACCAGTAATTAGTATTATTATCGTTGTAAATGTACCTTTTAGCGAATTTCCCATATAGGGAATAAGCTATTACCGTAGTACTCATGGTAAGACCTGGACGCGGGACCGATTTTTTTTTTCGTTTCGAGGTCCCTAGAGGCCAAAAACACCATCCGTTCAAATTCATATATATCTAATATATAAAATTCTCGTGTCACAGTGTTTGTCTGCAAACTCCTCCGGAACGACTTCACCGATCGTTATGAAATTTGGTGTGTAAATTCTGTAGGTATGCGAATCGGACGTAAACTATTTCCCGTTTCGAAATTCTTAAAAGGGCTCCGCCCCAGTGGCTCTGGAGTTTCCCATGTTAACCTTATGAGAAATGGAATTAATGAATCTTAACAGCTGTTTCAATTAAACAAGTTGGTTCTGTTCTATGATGTTCAATAGCATTAAAGTTACAAGGATTACCAACAGGGTGCAGCACTATTATTTCTTTTACATTTATGACAACAGCTAATTTGCAACCAAAAGGTGAGTGAGCGTAGCGAACGAACTTCAACCTGGAGGCGAGTTAGCGTGGCGAACGAGCTAACCTGAAGGCAAGTGAGCGCAGCGAACGAGCTCCAACCTAAAGGTGAGTGAGCGTAGCGAACGAGCTCCAACCCAAAGGTGAGTGAGCGTAGCGAACGAACTTCAACCAGGACGTGATTGAGCGATGCGAACGAGATCATCTTGAAAATTAAACGTAACGGTACTTTCTTTCCATCGGTCCGTCTTAGGGGAAACCTATAACTTAGGCGATACGAAGTTCGCCGGGTCAGCTAGTATATATATATTTATATATTTATATATATATATATATATATGTGTCCGTTAGCACGATAACTCAAGCAAAAATGATCCGATTTTGATGAAATTCGGTACAAACGTGTAAACCTACGTTTATTCGAACGAGTTCGCGATCCAGCATGATCGGACCATGGAAACGGGGGTTTACGGGGGGTTTTATGGGGTAAAAATAGGTTTTTCGCATTTTTGACCCAAAAAACATAAAATTTAGCAATTTCTTTCCAAACCATTTTGTAGAGCTTAAAAAAACAAATAATTTAGTATATTATTGAAGCGTTATTATGCGCCTAATGGTTACGGAGAAAATTCCAAAAAATTGTAAATTTAAAATTCCCATGTTATTCTTATGGAGAATAAGTAAACTGTTGTAGTTTGCTTGTTTATGAACATATTTTGATCAAATTAGAAAAATGTTTTTATTTCTTACTAACTATTAACATAAAAAAAAAACAGTTTTACCTCCCTGATGCAGCAAACCTAAGTACTTGTTAAACTAATTCTATTTAAATCGGGAATAAATGTTATATTTTTAAGTAGACATTTCAGTGTAAATCAAATCAGTCAAATGGAAATTCGCTTAGTCTGCAGGTTTGCTACGGCGGGGGTATTTTATGTGACTATGTTCGTGTTCGTGTGCGTGTTTGCGTGTGAATGTACCATGTGTGAATCGACGACCTTCTGATGAAGTGATTATTTTGACATCCACTGACGCCTGAGGATGACTTCTGAATGAAGTAGAAACTATATGCGTGACAGAAATTGCGACTATTGGATTTCTAGAAGCAGGTATTTAAACCAATTTATATATTCAACGTAATCCGGAGGCTAACATCAAAAATGAAGCTTTGTTTTGTTCTTTGTTGTAATTTATTTTCAGGCTCACTGCTCTTGTTTCTCTTTTAAGGATTTCAAACATTTCCTGGAGTACTCCTCTGGTCTCTGCAAGCAGTACTATACTATATCATCTGCAAAGGCAAGCACGCTTATCTTCCTTCCAATTCTTTTGCCATATTCTGCATTCTTCAGCTTTGTATCGTCAACCTTTGTAAGAGGCTATGTAGGACTCATTCAACTATATTTTTTTCAATGAAAAATTGGCTAGAGCCTATAGAGATGGGATGTCCATTTCAGTATCGTAAAGTCAATAGTAGAATTTAACGTCTTATTAAATTACAGGCCAGATGGTGCGCTAAGGCTGTTCGACCTGATCAAAGTGGCTGATGACCGTATCCGCCCGGCTTTCTACTACGCTATCAGAGACACATTGGTCGCCAACGACCTCGACCAGGCGACTCGCATCGCCTACGGACGTCAACGACATCGAGTCGTAACTCTGAAGGGCGAACTCATCGAGCTCCATGGTAAATAGATATTTATATATCTACGTTAAAATAATATAGTCACCCTTACATACTTTATTCATCGAGTTAAAAAAAAAAAAAACTATCACTGAGGACAAATCAAGTGCTCCATGAAACACAAAAATATCCTTCATCAAAGAAGACACAACATTTTGTTTAAAGCACTAAGTAAAATTTAAATCTTTTCCGAACTTCTTGGCAATCTACTTTACATTAATTGCAACCCAAACTAAAATATGTTGAGGACCTATTAAGCCGTTTAATGCATTTAAAAAAACCGAAATAAAATTGTTATTCTCGCAGGTACAATGTCTGGTGGTGGAGGAGCCCCAGCCCGAGGCAGGATGGGACAGTCTGTTGCCATGACAGTAGACATGTCCCCCTCAGAGATGGGCCGCATGGAACAGGCTGTCACCGACCTGGAGAAGCGAGTGCGCCAATTGCGCAACCGAACATCTCAACTGGAGGGTACCATTGAGACTCTCACTCGTGACGTCAAACTTTGGTCAACCGACCTCAACAAGTTCAAAGTGGAAGTGGATGTAAGTGGAGTCGAGTTCGTCTTCCTAAATCACTTTGTATCACTCAGCTAAATTTTAATTCTGCGATTTTGTTACTAATTGTAATAGATTTTCAGTCTGGTTTCAGAGCCTGACATTAATTTTTTATATAATAAACGCTCCACACTCGTACTGGGAAAGACTTTGGATTTAAGCTTGTTGATATAAAATTAAACTTTTCAATAAACTTGAATTTCATAATTTTTTTCTGGAATTTGAGTTTAATTTCTTTACAGTGTTTTTGCTTCAAAATGCTTACACGTGGATGTTTTAGTCGATAGTCGTATCCAGGAGAGATATTTTTCTTGTCAATTCACTTTAATGGAATGGAACATGAATTTTCATAGCATGATGAAATAAAAGCCATAGATTCAAATTTTATACTATAAAGTATACTTTATATACATGAAGATAATATTAAGATCTTTGTCAGTGGCCTCCTATGACTTGGGATTGTCTCATAGTACAAAACAAATTAAGATTCTTTTGTCATTGTGTAACGGTCGTATTCCTCTTGGAATACGTACTGTTACTTTGGGTGACGTAGCTCAGGAATGAAACTCAGCACTCGCTTACAAAACCCAACTTTATTAATTACTCAAAACAACACAAAGAACACAAAAATTAAAATCAAACAATAAGGTAGAGTAGACTGGAACTGTATAAATAAGTTAGTAGCTTAAACCCCAATTTGGAAAAGACTCTAAACCCCAATTTTGAAAACCGTTTACATTGTCTTACCTGGACCCAAGGCCAAGGGCCTTGGGCTCCAGCTCCCCCAGCAGGACCCTGTCCTCCGGTGCACCACACAAACACTACACACCAAAACTGACCCCTTGATCAAGTGCACTGGCCTACTTAAAGCAACAGCCTTCAGTAGGTCAGCACAACAAGTTATTGTTTAACAACACTACCAGCCTACTCACACAACATTGCCAAACACTTCCTCTTTACAATATTTGACCCTCCTATTACATCCCCCCATTTCCTCCAGACGATGTCCCCAGCGTCTCAACTACATAGATACATCTACTCAGAGAGAAAAAAAAATTAATAACAAAAACTGATAAAAATCTTTAAAAATTGAACCTAAACAAAATTAAAATAAGGTTTAAAATAAAATAAATAAATAAATAAATAAATAAATAAATAAGGTTTAAATTAAAATAAGGGGAAGAACTGACCAACTGTTTGCTGACTACCTCAGCAGTTGCGTCGATAAAGCCTCCTCGAACAGTCGTTGGTCTTCAGATGTTTGACCACAGCCATGTCTTCTGCGATGTCTCCCACTTCGGTGTCTATAGTCTGTAGTCCATCCAGCGTTCCTTGACAGCATTGATGATGATCGACTTTGGTTGACGATGATGTTGGACTGCCTTTGCCATTGATTGAGTGTACTGCAGCCTGAAGTTCTCCTCTTCTTAAAAGCCCTTGCCCCCAGCTGCGTTTCCCCAGTTTTTATTGAATTTGACAAAGTCTCTTCCTCCGATCACAATGTTGAAGATAACACGGCAAATCATGAAGTTCTTGTAGCCTTGTCTACAGTTGGTCAGTGGGGATGGGTAAATAGGAAGCCTAGACAAACATATAACTCACAAATACAACATATAATTTATAAAAAAAACCCTAGACTTTTAAAGAAATTCTTAAACTCACATTAAGAACAAAACAAAACAACCAACATTAAAACAAAAATTATTGAAACTAAGAGAAGTGTTTGGAATGTGTTACCTTAACAAATCATAGGCCTATACGATTAAATAACAAAACATTATATATAATTTCTGATTGGTTTACTTTTAACTCTTCAAGTATGACCTTTTTAAAGCATTCGAAACAAGGAATAGTTTAACAGTTGTCTCTCATATCTGGTACTTTGCAATTTAAGTCTGAATCAAAAATAAAATACTGTAAACAATATGTCTCCCACTGAAGTCCCTGATACTTAAAAATCTAAAAACCAAAATATATCTCAATAACATATTTTTGTAATACATAATCCGTCTTGTCTTCAAAATTTTGTGAGACTATTAAATTCACTAAAGGACACTATTATTTCCCAATACAGTTATTTTCGGGGAGTCATGCGATTTATCTCTTAACTAACAAAACAAAATTATCTCCCGAATCAAATTTGATTTCCCATAGTATCTTTAAAAACACAACCAAAATTGATTACTATTAAAAAAAAATTGTTAAACAAACATTTCAAATCACTCCCTACTTTGCTTCGGTGTTAAAACAAGTGAAACATTTTACTTCAGTAGGCTACATTTTTAAATCACATACTTCAACAACTAAAAAAAATCATTAAAAAAAATGTACTTAAACAAATTCATGTTTATCCTCTCAAAACAAATCGAAAACAAGATTGCTGAAAAAAAAAAAGATTTGGGCCCAAATCGTTACAATCTAACCCGTAAGCAAAACCAATTTCCCTTTAAAATATCTCCAACAATCTATCGACCTGTAAAAACAAAAAATTGTTCCCAAAATAAAACATTCATGCATTGCTGATTTCCCAAAGCAAACTCTAGAGCATCAGTATTAAAAGGTAAACATTGTAACAAAACACGGTCAGCACTCAGCAAGGTCAGGTCACAGAGAGGCCATTTACCCTATGATCAGCATTCCTCAGCCTACAAACATGCTGACTTCTGCCACTGCAACTAAGCTTGTGCAATACCCTGAAATATCAACATGAACACCTACTCTAATCATTAACAGTATTAACCATTCGTAAAAATCCCCATCTGAAATAAAAATATATTACTACCAAATTAAAGTTTAAACTCAAATATATTTCTAAAACAGTACACCATAATACACTTTGAATAATTATCCCTCAAACTACTTCTACAAATAATATATATTGATCCACCATTCTCTGCATCTACTGCGCATAAAGAGCTGAAACAGACTAGTTTGACAACATGTGTCCGCCACATTATTCGCACAATATACACTCTAGAGTGGAAATAGCAGGTCTGCAACCACAGAATCGCATCATCAAGAAACCTGGGAACTACAAGATCCCAGATTCAACACAAATTTAACCAGGCAAATACACACACTTGTGCACAGCAAACTACATCTGAAACACACATTACACATGTGCATCCAGCACAGAACAAATAAAAACCTTGTGCAGCTAGCACTTAGCATACAGCACAAAAATACCTCGTGCACTCAGCACATAACAAAAATTCACCTTGTGCTCCCAGCACGTAACAAATGAAAACCCTGTGGAGCCAGCACAACACATAATACCTCGTGCATCCAGCACACAACGCTTAACAACCATGTGCACTTAGCACATAACGCAAAAACTCTCGTGCTTCCAAACACGATACACAATAAACTCAACGAACACATATCGAACTCACGTGCACCCGCACATGACGCATAGAACACTCGTGTAACCCAACACGAACACATATCGAACTCACGTGCAACCCGCACATGACGCATAGAACACTCGTGTAACCAAACACGAACACATATCGAACTCACGTGCAACCCGCACATGACGCATAGAACACTCGTGTAACCAAACACGAACACATATCGAACTCACGTGCAACCCGCACATGACGCATAGAACACTTGTGTAACCCAACACGAACACATATCGAACTCACGTGCAACCCGCACATGACACATAGAACACTCGTGTAACCAACACGAACACATATTGTACTCACGTGCAACCCGCACATGACGCATAGACTCACACAAAATAACACTGAAAAACTTCACATTTACGGCATTCCAGCCCTTCACTGCTGTCCCAAAAAACACTGAACCCCCAAATAGAACTGATTAAAAACTGCACCAAAGTGATGATTACAAATAATAAAAAAAAAAATATTCAAAAACCAAAATTTTTCTTCACCAAAAGAACCCCAAAAATTAAAGCCAATTTTTTTTTTTTTAAGAGGTACCAAGATCGAAGTTTTGTAAAAAATTACAAAACTCCCGGCGCCTCCACCACCTTGTAACGGTCGTATTCCTCTTGGAATACGTACTGTTACTTTGGGTGACGTAGCTCAGGAATGAAACTCAGCACTCGCTTACAAAACCCAACTTTATTAATTACTCAAAACAACACAAAGAACACAAAAATTAAAATCAAACAATAAGGTAGAGTAGACTGGAACTGTATAAATAAGTTAGTAGCTTAAACCCCAATTTGGAAAAGACTCTAAACCCCAATTTTGAAAACCGTTTACATTGTCTTACCTAGACCCAAGGCCAAGGGCCTTGGGCTCCAGCTCCCCCAGCAGGACCCTGTCCTCCGGTGCACCACACAAACACTACACACCAAAACTGACCCCTTGATCAAGTGCACTGGCCTACTTAAAGCAACAGCGTTCAGTAGATCAGCACAACAAGTTATTGTTTAACAACACTACCAGCCTACTCACACAACATTGCCAAACACTTCCTCTTTACAATATTTGACCCTCCTATTACAATTGTATCAACAAACTTAAGTTGCAAGCCAACAGTTTTTATTGGATTACGTGTCCCTGGTAATCTTGAAAATCATGTTTTTGTCCTGGAGTAACTGTAAATTTTCTCACCAGTGCAATGTTATAGTGTGGTGGACTGTAGTCTAGTAGGCATTCATGCCCTTGACTTACAGCATAGACTTGAAATGTTTTAGGCCTATTGCTGTTTCACTGAAGTGTACTACTATTAGTCTTTTTTTTTTATATTTTATGTAATCATGTATTTGACACCATTCTTGTATATAAAATATATACTAATGAATAAATGTTTTAAATTGAATTGCCACAAATTTAACTTTTGAAACCAAGATGCAGCGCTCTTGGATGAGCAACTTGGTGATATTTAACCCACATTTACTTGATAACATTCAACATGATCCTTGTCTAATGTCCTGTGATGTTCCTGCCAGGGCCTGAGCAGCCAGGAGCCGGTGTTGAGACAGCAGGTAAAGGCTCAGGAGGCCAGAGTCAAGGAAGTGGCTCCGGACCAGAGCACTGTCAAGAAGATGAAGTCCACTGTCGAGGCAGCTAAGAAAGGTAAGAAAGAACACCTAACTAATCCATACCACTTGTTGGGGATAAAAGGTTGCTGTAATTAAATTGAAAACGATACTTTGAATTCTCAAATACTAACAATGGTGTTGAGCTGATTGAGTAACGTTAATTTTTATAACCATGAAAAAGTCTTTGATGGGTTGCAAATGAGTTTTGTATGGATCAGGACCATTTTTAATAATCGTTAATAACCTATGGTCGAGCATGCATTACCTATCAGTTCCGTTGGTTCTTTTAAGGATATAGTGAAGTTAGAAAAATGTGATAATGGGAGATGAATGATCATGAGTGTTGACGCAATCACGTTAGATAATCAAAGAGAACTTGTATTAAGTCTTTGTAAAAATGCTGTAGCAGTTGAGGAAGAAAATAAATTAACAATTAAAAGTGAATTATTATGGCATTGTTACTTAATTAGAAAAATGTGATACATTACTTGACCATGTGTGAGTACAGGTGTAGTATATTGAGTAAAACATGGAATTTACAGAGTTGGACAAGGCCGAGGGTTCAGCTGGAAAGGTAGAGGAGAAAGTAAAGACAGTCCATGAGGAGATCTTGAAGATTACTGGCGGCCGAACCAACGCAGCACAGAAAAAACTTAACGAAGTAATCAAAAAGGCGGACAAAATCAGCTCTGAAATCACAAAACTTGGAGTAGCTATCAAGACAGCTGAAAGGTAATTGTTGACAAGTTTTTTTTTTATGTTCTGTATAACATAACAGTTTTGATAGAAACACAAATGTTTTTGGTATTTTTAACGATGTGTCTAATGTATCTAATTAAGGGGAGCTGGTCCAGTAGTAGAGTGCGAGACTTTGGTCCCTGAGTAGAGGTTCTGAGTTTGAATCCCCTTAAACTCCAATGGATTGTATCTAGTTGATCATCCTTAAACTCCTCTAGGCCTAGCCTGAAGTAATGTAGAAAAACATTTGGACTAGAACCTCGAAAATGAAAAAAAAAGTATAGAACTACCAAATATTGGCTAAACGACATTAGACATAATCAAAATCCTGACATAATATGCCTGCCATGGTGGAACGGAATTGGAGATTTCTTTTGGGAAACTAATCATAAATTAAAAGCAAATCAATAAAATGCTATTTTATTTTTGTCCTCTAATATTATTAACTAATGTGTAATGTAATTAACTATAGTTATTGTGATTTTTTTTCCATAGCAATATCAATATAGTAAACGGTAACTGTTGAAAGGGACTTATTTGTGTCGTTAAGGAACTTGGAATTTATTTGTGTAGTTTTTCGGCAAATTGGGTATATTGTCAAGCCTGCATGGGTAATATTGGTTTTTAACTTTCCTTCTTCTCATTTGGATATTGTGTTTCAAACTATCTTACTATCTTATAATTTACAGTAAACTTGTCATTGTCCTGTTTTGAATTAAACTGCTGGTCTTACATCCTGCTAAATCACCACAAAGGGTGACATTCAATCTGAACATGTGATTTTTACTTTAAAATATGTCCATCTTAAAATACTGTATTGATGAAGTAATTTTATTTTAGTGAAACAAAATAATCATTGTTTCATTAAGAAATCTGATTGCAGGAACACAAAAAAATCCAAAGAAGCAATCAAGAATATGGAAGCTGACATTGAGCAGATGCAGGATAGACTTATCAAGATAAAGGAAGACAAGGATAAAATCACTGAGGAAGCGAAAGAAGTTCTAGCTGCACTAGAAGACCTCTCTGTGAGTTACCTCTTTATCTTGTAAAATTTCATGTTAAGTTAATCTCGGGTAATTTATTTGAGAAAAAAAAATGTAAATTATAAGGTTTCATTAAAATGTATTTTTGTCCTGTTAAATCAATTCTTATTAGGCAATTCTTTACAACTATAATACAGAGAGTAAAAATTACATTTATAATCACATACCAGTATCAGTGCTCCCTACTCTCTTAGAAGTTAATGAATACAGTAAGTTTGTTTACAATAGATTGACATCGTTATGATCTCTTACAATAAAACATATAGTCATCTATTGCTTTATGCTGTGTTGCCATTTTATATTATACTAGTGGTCGTCCAGTGGTCGAAAAATCAACCAAAAATACAGTATCTAATGTTCAAACTTCTCTATTTTAACCCCACGCTGTAAATAAAAATGTGGTTGGAATTTCTTCCATTTGTATTGATTTTCTGTTTATATTTCGTCGTTATTTCGTCACCAGCGTGACAACCCATAAGGCCCATGTTAATTTTTTAAAATAAAAAACTCATTTTTTGTCCTTATTTTTTAGCTTATTTTAATTTTTAAAGGGATTCTGCACACCTACAGGAAAATATCTTTCCTACAGTATGCGTATATTTTCCCTACGACGCACTTAAACTGAGAAAAAAGTTTTTAAAAAGACCCTCTAACACAATTGTGCACTGTCAAAGTTTATTAGGATGTAAATGGGGGGTAGTTATTACTCATATAGTTTAAGATTTTAAAATTTCCGTCTTAATCTTTTCTTTATTACAGAAAAAAGAAATTGAACTTGAACAAGTTTTGACTGACCTGAAGGCAGAAATCGCTGATATTGTCAAGGAAGAGAATACTCTAAAAGCTTCAAGGTTAGAAGAAGACAGAGTCATCAAGAATTTAACTGCAACCATAAATGACTTCAAGGCGAAAATAGCACACAAAGATAGAGAGGTGAGTTTGTCTTAAATATTTTGTAAACTTGCAAAGTTCCTCTGAAATTTAATTTGTTGTTTGAAGGATTGTGATTTTGATGTGTGTATATTATATTCTGGCTCATTACTCAGAAGAAACCCTACAGTTTCACATTAGAATTTCAATGTTACTTCTTTATGCTAGAATAAAGGAAACAGTCCCTCTTTACTATGGATGGATGAGATTGGATTTTCAGTTCGAGACAAGACGAGACGAAATTTTTTATTTCTCATAAAATTTTGAGACGGGTTTTCCCTTCTCATACATAACAGGAAATTCATGTTTGACATTATTACCTGATTTTATCTCGGTACTGTCTAGTGAGGGTGCAAAGCTCAGATCTTTTTATTTCATGATTGTTATAAACTAAAGAGTAGGGATGGACGGGATTAAATTTTTAGTTTGGGACGGGACGGGATTTTTTTCTGTGCATAAAAATAAAGTATCGAGTATTGCAGTAACCAAAAAATACAAACAAAATCAATTTTTACCATTTGTGGCACTGATCTATAAAAACCAAAAAAATGGGTAACAATTTACAGGTACCTACCTATAGGCTTAAAGGGCCTACCTATAGAAACTTGTGACTCGCGGTCACTGTGCGATCGTCAAAACTACCGCGGTCACGGCGTGATCGTCGTTATGACTCGCGGTCACAGCGCGATCGTCGGTATAACTCGCGGTCACGGCTTGATTGTCGGTATGACTCCGCAGTCACAGCACGATCGTCGTTATGACTCGAGGTCACAGCGCGATTGTCGTTATGACTCGCGGTCACGGCGCGATTGTCGGTATGACTCCGCGGTCAAGGACGTGATCGTCGAAATGACTTTGTCTCCTGCGTTCGCGGATATATCGTGAACATCTCTCGCAATAGTGGCACCATCGTCACTCGCGAAGCGGCAAAATCGCCAACGATCGGACCAAATCCCGTCCCGAAAAATTCCCGAATAAAATGTAATCCCGTCCCGATAATCGGAAATATTTTTTTCCCAAAAAATTCCCAAAATGTTGGGATCTGTCCATCCCTACTAAAGAGAGATATAACAGTTTTTATGGTTCAGAAACGATATTAGTCAGATACTTTTCAAGGTATTATCATATTTATTTTTCATCTTCTACAGCTTGGGAAACTTGAACTGAGAAAGATCCCCAAAAAAGAAGTGGACTTGGAGCTTCCCAAGTATGGTGATGAACATCTCTCTGAGATTGACATTCGAAAACTCGAATACAAGACAACAACTGTCCAAGCTCATCTGGAGAAGCAGAAACCAAATTTGAAAGTGATTGATGATTATTATGAGAAGGTTAGTACAATTCACTTGATAAAATATGTAGTAGTTCATCGATAATCCTGCTTTTAAAATGACGGCTGATTAGACTATCAAGAGACCATTTAAATTATTGGAATGACCATAAATAAGTTTGAGACATCTAAGTCAGTCTAGGAGGGACATTGGCATTGTTGTGAGCGGGTGGCGAGTGTGCGAAAGTTAGTTTGTTCCATTTTCGTCTCCAAATGCATTGTGGTATCTTAACATCACTAAAAGTTGGGAAAAAATAGTCTTGAAAAATCTGGAATTAGTCTTGAAAGACCCTGTAATAGTGTAGTTTGTTCAGAATTAGTTACTGTATCTCCTGTAAAATAATTGAACAGTACAGTTATTATGGTAATGTAATTTCATAAAAAGTAATTTTTCTATATTGTAGCAATGTACTACATACATTCCATTACTTTAATTTTTAGGGAGTGTTAGAAATATTAAAGACAGACAAGACGTTTCTCTCTCCCTGACTTCCGGATTGACATATTTCTTGGCATAATTTATAAGTCGGGTTTCGGCACCAATGTTAAAAATATTAAAGACAGACAAGACAAAAATTAATAGGACTTGACAAAAGATGCGTATTTTTGATAACATTTACAAAAATATAATAATAAAATAAAACATATGTTAGTTCAAAGAAGGTAGTTTTAACATAAGAAAGAAGGCAGGCATGGATTAGGCATGGATTATTACAGGGGGGTTTCAGCCAGATTACTGTAGGGTGTAGGATCCAGATTATTGGAAGTTGAATTATTGAGGGACTGCTGTATCTAAATTAATGCTTTTACAATTTGTGTAATATTCAGTTTTTGGCTTATGGCTGAACCTGCTGTAAATGAATACTGTCCCTAAAAAAGGATAAGATTGATAAATTTTTAAAACCTATTTTTAAGAGCATAGTTATAGTTGTTATGAAAGATCATATAAAATAATTTTAAATACCGTAGGTCAAGTAACCTTTTTTCCTGGGGTATTGAATGACAATATACTTATCTCCCATGAGTAAGTTTACCAATTAACTGATTCTTTTGCCCACAGCTTCAGCAACTAGAGCAGCGTACCAGAGAACTGGAAGAGGTTACGGAGAAGCGCAACGAGGTGAGAACGTGGCATGACAACGTGCGCAAGTCTCGTTTGAATGAGTTCATGGCTGGCTTCACCATCATCACGGACAAGTTGAAGGAAATGTACCAGATGATCACACTTGGCGGGGACGCAGAGTTGGAACTGGTTGACTCACTGGACCCGTTCACTGAGGGAATTGTGTTCAGGTTTGTAGTAATTATCAGGGTGTAGAATGTCTGGTTGGATGAGTGTTGAAGTTAATTAACTTTGCCTTACTAAAATTTGAAGTAACATCACCAAATTATAAACACGTCATCAGAGTCGTGATTCCAAAACTACTACCTTTTTTCTATGCCAAAGTTTTTTCTAAAAACATTTCCTTCTGTAATCTTTCATTGAGAATTCATTCTTTATCCAATCCAACAAATGTTTTACAGTGTGAGGCCACCTAAGAAGTCGTGGAAGAACATCTCCAATCTGTCCGGAGGTGAGAAGACACTGTCATCACTTGCGCTTGTGTTTGCCCTCCATTACTACAAGCCTACGCCTCTCTACGTCATGGATGAGATTGACGCTGCACTGGACTTCAAGAACGTCTCAATCGTTGGACATTATATCAAGGTAACAATTTTCACAATGTGTTGGAAGATGGTGTAAAGATGAAATTTTTTTAAATATTAGTTGTTATAAAGTGGGAGGAAAGTCTCGATTCGGAGAAGTAGGAGGGGAGCGTTGGGATGGGAGAGACAACCACTGTGATATAAGATTTAATTTGCTTCCAAACTCAACACCCACAGGATTGTTACATTGTATTTCTTTAGATGTCACTCAGATCAAACATTTCACAATCTAATCAATTAGGAAATTCAATGATTTTACTGTTATTGTGTGACCTAACAACTCTGTGATTTGTTTTTCCAGGAGAGAACTAAAAACGCCCAGTTTATCATAATCTCGCTGCGAGCCAACATGTTTGAGCTAGCTGACACGCTGGTGGGCATCTTCAAGGTTCACAACTGTACAGACTCAGTTACCATCTTGCCGCCTGTGTACAGCGGATCCACGGTATGTCCTCTAGGCTCATGACTATGAAAACAATGTTTGTGTGATTTGACTCAGTCACCGCCAGTGTCACCAATGGGTTAACTCGTTCCCTGTTAGTGTCACAAATTGGTTTAACTTGTTTCACTGGTGGTGCCACCAATGGGTTTAAGACAGTTACTGGTAGGGGGTCACCAATTTTTTAACTCGTTCACTGTTAGTGTCACAAATTGTTTTAACTTGTTCAATGGTGGTGCCACCAATGGGTTTAAGACAGTCACTGGTAGGGGGTCACCAATGTTTTAACTCGTTCACTGTTAGTGTCACAAATTGTTTTAACTTGTTCAGTGGTGGTGCCACCAATGGGTTTAAGACAGTCACTGGTAGGGGGTCACCAATTTTTTAACTCGTTCACTGTTACTGTCTCAAACGGCAAACGGATTTAACACAATTACTGCGTTACCAATGGGGCCTAACACATTCACTGCTAGTGTTACCAATAAGTATAACCTTGGACTTCTTATAGAGCCAGACATTTCCCCCAACCCCGTTATTCAACTCTTTTCATTACATGGGATTGTGGTTTGATCATTTTAAATTTTTTTGCTTGTATTATCAACTATCAGTACCGTAGATGTAAAGTAGCTAATTTGACTGTGCTTTGCTTGGTAATTTTCTAGTTGGACATGTACAGCGACCTTTTAAAACATTTAAACACATATGGTTTGATAGGATTTGAAAGATAGGTTGTACCATTGACTATTGGATACAGAAGAAGACATCCCATGTAAATGGATTAGCTGTCGCCAGTTTTTTTACTAAAAACGAATGTAGTTGTGTGAGCCAGTCACAGATTGCTCTAGTGTCTAAAACTCTATTTTGTACTTTATTTTTTTGTTACTGACATAGTTACTGGGTCACAACAGTTAGCTCATAATAAGTCATTCCATCACTTTGACTTGGTAAAAACCATCGTGTAATCGGCAGAAATCAGTAATTTATATCAGCGCAATCTGTAGGGGGCTCACATCAACTAAGACAAATTTGATTAAAAAGCTGGCTACAACTTTAACGTGGGGATGGAATGTCTAAAAGGTTGTACCTAACTAAACTTTGTGTAAGTTTTGTTTAAGGAAAGGTTCTAGGCCAGGATTTTAAATTTTAGAAAAAGGAGGATAGCAGCTAGCTTACCTTGAAAGTGTGGGTAGGCCATAGAACAAGTAGAAAACAATTTGCACACAATATTTCGTCCCCTAAGGGACTTTGTCAAGTGTAGAGAGAGTTTATAAATTACCCATTGTAATTTATAAACTCTCTCTACACTTGACAAAGTCCCTTAGGTGACGAAATATTGTGTGCAAATTGTTTTCTACTTGTTCTATGGCCTACCCACACTTTCAAGGTAAGCTAGCTGCTATCCTCCTTTTTCTAAAATTTAAACTTTGTGTAAGCTGATTATACAGCTGAACACACAAGTTGAGCTAAATCAAATGGTTTTATTCAACGAACATAGCTGTTTTATGAGGAAATATGTAAATTGGTTAATTTTGAACCCATAACAAAGCATCATACATAAGACGAATTCTGTGAGGTATTTTTCAGGCTCTCAATCTTTTATGTGTTTGATTATGTTTTGACTGTCTCTTAGCTAACTAAGACTAGCCTACTTCTCTTAGTTTAGAGGATAATTTCAGTACGGTATTTCAATACCCTCCCAGTATTGAAAGTGTCGGATTATCGACTGTGCTGTAGCTAAGTAGATAGCAATTTTTTACAATTCTTAACTTGTTTTTCTGGAAGGACGTGGTACAGAAGCCAGTCCGAGATCATTCGACAGCATTGAAAGAACCCAACTTCAGCCACAGCCCGCCACGGAAGATCGCCAAAAGAACACCTCTGGAAGAAAATCGAGACAAGTGATTACAGAACATAGTCGATAACCGTCCCGTTAAAAAAATTACTCAACTTATTGAACATGTGCTTGCTTGGTTCTCGTTTTTAAAACATACGACAGTTTTCACTTTTAAAAGGTTTTTTTAATTTGAAAAGTATTTATTGATGTGTTAATGCTGAACGGCTTTTTTTCTTTGAAGTGACGATTTTTTTTACAAGTATTAAATTGTACTTAGTGCATTTTTTGTTGTTTAAGTTTTCAGCAATATTCTCACTGTACATCATAACATATTTGTGGAGGGTTCAATGTTAGAGTCGTTTGTAACTTTGTTTTAATATAAGCATAACTGTGTGCCTTCAATGTTCATAAAACCAATCTAAAAATCCTTTACCGGTTTGATTTAAAATGGAACTTATTCAAAGATGTCACAATTTATTTTTGTATGATAGCTGTATATATAATTTACAATCTGTTAAGAGTGTGTATAAAGTTTATGTATATAATTAGATACTTGGAAAGTGACAGTTGGAGGTGAAATTTCAAAACAATGCAATAGGCGTAGCGCATGTAGGGGTATATATACCACACAAACTGTTTTGGTTGGGTAATGTACTGTCAGTATGTCTCTCTAACATAATCTTCGGGACTTTATCTGTTATATATTTGTTAAAAATACAAAACTTAAAAATATTTTAATATCTATCTACATGTTTGTTAATGCAATTGAAATAGAAACGAAAATATTCCAAAAATTTTCAAGTTTTCTTGTTTTTAAACTGTTTTTACCCCGTTATATTACTACTACCTCAAAATAAATTATAACGTTCATCTTAGTTTTTTGTAGCTTAACTTATTAATAGTCTTAACAGTTAATAACATTCCAGACAGCCAGGTTTTCACAGGAATTTGTTTCTAATGTGTGTAAATCCTTATCAGTACTGTCTTCATTGTTTATATGATCGGCCTTTATTTCTATGTTTAATTTTTGTATTTGGAAAAAAAGAGTTAAAACTTTTAAGTTTGGTTTTATTTGACCTGTAGTTCTGTTGTGAATCTGTTTACTCTTCTCACTTTGTGAAAATATTATTATGAGATAACAAAGTTAAAGGCATTTTAGTTAGGGTACTTATACTTTTCCCTACCTTATTAAAATCAAATTCCAGAGGTATTGAAACCATATTTAGTAAGAAAACTAATTCTACATTAAAAAAAACTAAACTGGCAAGCTGCAAATTATCATGGGAGGTAATATTTGTGACAAAATATGCTAAGAAAATTCCTCCTGATAACATTCCTATGTACGTATGTTAGTTTGGTCACACAAGTTTTTTGTTTGGCCGTGCATATTTAATAAAAACCATAACACATAAACTGGGTATTTTGACAACGCTTTTGAAAGAATAAAATAATCTAAAATATTTGGCACATCCTTGAATTCAATTTCATTGTTCTTTCTTAGTGTTATACTTTTTTTTAGACACAATTTGCAACATTACTGCCAAAGATTAAGCAAAACATGAAGAACTATAAAAGTATTCAACCAATCTTTCACAACGACAACATTGATCAATAAACATTGTTGGATGATAGACTGTTACATATTTAGCCATGATATTTTGCCCCGCCAAAGGGATGTTAGAAAATTCACCCTTGGAAAGGTGAAATAGCAATATTTTGATTTGTTATGGATTTGTTTTGTCCCATGAACTGCTTGGAACTTATGAGCTATTTGTGTGTCTGTTCCTTACAATAATTCAGGTAAGAATTTCAAGTGGCAGTTATTAGATTTCAACGAGGCTGACACTTAGTTTTGTATTTTGTGAATATGCATGAAGAATGAGGGTTAAATAAATTAAACGAACAATTTCTCACAACCCAAATCAGTTGATTCTCAAGCCAGGACCATTTATTACAGCCCAATGATGTAGGACAGCTGGATCTAGTTTCCACTTTCGAACCATCAAAAAGTTACTGACTACTTAAGATCAGACTGGCGTTATGTGAGCACAATATCCTCTAAGGTATACATCTATATTGGGAAAAGTAGCAGAAGACCACCTCTCCGTTTTTTTGGGACAGACAATTTTTTGTAGGAGTTGTTTTGTTTGAAGGAGAGTTACTATGGCACTGAAAGTGGCACACTAAAAATTATTCAATCATATTTGTATGACAGAAACCAGTATGTATCAGTTAAAAATAAATTTTCTGCTATGAAACCTGTAGAAGACCGGTGTCCCTCAGGGTTCTTTTTCAGGCCCTTTATTTTTCTTAGTAGGCTATATTATATAAACGTGTAACGACCCAAAACCCATCGAGGGGTAAAAATTGTTTTTTTTTTGTTTTATTTAAAAGTTATTATAACTTTCTACGTTCGGGGTAAACCGCGCCCGCGTTGATGACATCGAAAGAGTAGGACGAGAGGGGTTCAACGTCACCGTAGAGGGGAGGACGCTAGTTAGCTACCCTGCCGCCAGGGGCGGTGGCGAAGAACAGCCAGAGGAGCAGACCTCAAGATCAGTTGTCCATCTGCTACCGAACCGTCAATACGCTTGCTGTTTGGAGACTAAAACAACAGTCTTACTTCCTATCATTTTGATGAGTAAAATATTTCCCCCGTTCCTGGTGGAGTCCTAAGGCATTAGCTTTAGTGTGCTACCGAGTTTATTTTGTTTATTCTCATTTTTGGAGAAGTTTTGTTATTTTTAAGTTATTGTGCCCGTAGTCGCGCGCACCCCGCACGCTTTTTCACGCACGAGCACACAGCCTTTTGACTCTAACCAGCTTCGGAAATCATTTAAGTTGCCAGAACGATATACGTTTATATATGTTTGACGATATACTACAATTCATTATTTTATTGACACTATTTTAATTCTTAACGAATGAACAATAAAGAATATTGTATTGTATGGTACGTAGAATTTATTCATTTACCCCGTACAGGCTTAAGTTAGTTTAATCCAAGAAACGCCGTATCGACTCTGGTGTTTAACTGAGTTTGATTTCCCGACACGTTTATTTTGGAGTTAACCAAGTACAACAAACGATTCACGCTTTATTTAGGTTTCTAAATTAATTAGGTAGGTATATTCACGTTCACAATCATTTATTCAAAATTCTAAATTTAGCTACACATATTTTTCGAGTGGCTGTGATGAGCACTAGTTAAAGGTAAGCTAAACGTTGTTAGCATTGTTGTAATTATTGTTCTAAGCCAATAAACTCGAAACAACAACTAATTAACAAACATGTTAGAATCCTGGACTATCTCATTGTAGGCTAGGCTTTCAGGACAAACTTTTAAGGTGTGACTAATTTCAGGTGAGACAACTATTACCTATTGTTTTCCTAAGTCCCGATTTTAAAATCTAATTTTGTCTCTCTACCTGAAATTTTGTCATAAACGACTTGCCTCAAAATCTCAATATCCATTCAATAATTTATGCTGATGACACCACTTTACTAGTCATTCACAAAAACTTAAAGTACCTGAAGCAGGTCACAGCAGATCTGAGGAACAGGCTCTTGCTTGGTTTTCTTCAAAATGAGCTACATTCTAATCTTGAAAAGACACAATATTTGACATTTGAGTCTCAAGCAGGAAATTAGCCTAGATTCTGTCAAGCTTTTTAGGCTTTTATTTTGATTCAAAATTAAATTAGTCAATTCACATTGAGACAGTTTGCAAAAGTTATCAAGAGTATAGTTCGGCCGCTTAGAAAGCGACCTCCTCCAGCATTGGTTTAGCATTAGCGCGCAGGTCGTTTTCTAAGCGGCCGAACTATAGATTGCTTATTATGGAAATTTAAAAACAATTGTTAACCAAGAATATTTGAGACTATTGTATTTCGGTCTGTTTCAGTCCCACATACTCTATGGCATTCTAGTTTGGGGAAATTCCCCTCATGTAGCTTATATTCTGTTGATTGAAACAAAAAAAGGCAGTATACGTAATATTGCTAATTCTAGTTTCCTAGCTCATTGTAAACCTCTTTTCCTAGAATTAAAAATTCCAACTGTAATCAATTTGTACATTTTCAAGTTTTACTCTACACCAAGTCAAACTTGCATTCTTTCCCCCTTAGATCTAACACTCATGAGTACAACACTAGGGGTGGAGGCAAGCTATGAAACCTCATAGCCTGGCTAAAATGGGCGACTTGTTTAAAATCATCTCAATATTCGCGTTTTTAATAAACTACCTGACAGTGCAAAATTTTTTGATTATTATATTTTTCACATAGAGTTTATAATTGGCTTATATTCAAAACCCTTTTTGGTTTTTACAGCTTAAAGTGAATTTATCAACTGCAATTTTGATGTATAAGAAATTTGATTGTATTAAGATTATTATTTTTTAAAGTACATGACGTGTCCTATTTCTTTGTAAAAAGATCAATGGAATGAATTATTCTTATTCTTACTGTCAATGAAGATTTGTTGTAAGGAAGAACATTTTTGCGTTCTGAAATACAGGAAAGTATGATTCTACAAAAGGCTAATAATAAACTGATAGACAAATAATAACATCTATTTATTTACACATCACAATAATCATAATTCTGAACTGTTATCCTCAACATCTACAACTAAGAGGTTTAACCTTTAACAAACCTCAATAACTTTTGATACTGATAAAAACAAATCTTACAGGGAGTGCAAAAAAGGTAACACTGAGTTGCATCACTAAAATATAAACAATTAAAGGTAAAAAAAACCTTTTCATCACATACATCAAAAAAATAATTGAGCTTCAAAAGATTTGCAATTCCTCAAAGTAAACTAATAAAGCATGCGGTTAAAGGGTGAAAATAACCTAAAGCCTAAAAACTATTTCTTATGGTTCAAAACAAAAATCCACATTCATTTCACTTAAAGTATAAGTTTTGTACCTACAAAAATTCCAGCTCTTTACACGTTTTTCTTTTCATCCAAGACTTCATCTTACTCATTATAACTAGTAACAGGAATAAAAAAGTATTCAAACGGCTTGAATGTAAATTTAAATTTAATTCTTTATTCTTTTTTAGAATTACCCAAATGGGTTGCAGATGACATTTTATTTTTTGTGTATACGCCTTAGGCATTCTTTATGGTTTTTGAAAGTTAAGTGTCCAAACCTTACTCTTGCTACTATCTATCGTCCACATTTAGACAGCAGTAGAACCTTGATAACTTATTGAATAAGACTTGTTATCAAGTTTGACTCCTCATCGAGGTTTGCAATAACTTGTGATTGGGGGTAAAATAAATTCAAGGAGATATGAAAATGATTGATATGAGTCCAGAAACAATCTCGCTTGAAATATAACTTTTTTTAATAAGATTTTATGTAAAAATTAAGTGTCTGGGTAGCTGAGTTTCTATGGAGCTTGGCTTCAATTCTAAAGGTTGCCAGTTTGAATACAAGCGAGATTGTTAATAGGCTGCCAGATGTACCATTTCTCATTGGGACAAGACCAAGGTTTGAACCATTAACTAACAAAAAACATTAAAATGCTACTGGGCTTGATAAACTAAAATACCAAGATAAAATACAAAAATATTATGATTAAATTCTTTGAAATAACCCAGAAGCAAGAACTTTTAAGAAGATCCATCGTATATTTCATTGTTCCCTAATATCACTCTATGCAAGATACAAAAGGAAGTTGAAGTCATTAATTGGAGAGAGCTGAAGTGAATAAACATCAGCCTAGAGTGCGAGTGACAGCCATCCGAGAATAAAGCAGATGCCCCCGACCGGAGTAATCTTGTTGAAACTTCGGTCTCCCGTCAACGCCAGGTAGTAGCACGTTCCAGAGAACATGGCAATGCCGAGCATGAAAAAGGTTCCGCTCTGGAACATTTATTTGTATGAAATAGTGTGGAAATGCGTGCTGTAGTTGTATGAAATCATTTGTCATTTAACAATAATTTAGAAGAAGGAATGAAGAATAGTCTACTAATCATTTGAAAACTACTTTTTTTATAATTTAAACTCACCGTTTTCGGCCACCGACAAAAGGGTACTCCCAGCATTGCCAATGAATGTATGAAGTGGTACTTATTGGCTCTTTCAAACACTTCCTTCAGCTCAATCTTGTCATCTTTTGGAAATGTTGCTGAAAAGAAACAAAAGTTTGAAAATGTTACAAACAAATCAGGGTTGAAACTTGAAACAGTCAAGTAGGGCCTACATGAATATTGAAAGAAATATATAACATGTCACTGATAAAAACTTAAATAATAGTTGTACCCATCTCTATTGGTATAATGGTGGACACTAAGAGGGAAATTCCTCTATGATGGACGGTGGCTCAAAAATGGCCAAATGGTTAGCTTCTTAGAAATTAAGATTAATAATCTTTTTTTTATAAAAACAGCTTATTTAGGCTCAGAAAGAAAGAAAGAGTTTTATTTCTCCATAAATATACAAATATGTACATAGAGAATAGTCATAAATTAATGATGAGTAAGTACAATGTCATCTCAAAGCCTAGACTAACTTAGCACTACTGTTAAAAAAGTCATTCAAAGTATAAAATGCATTGTTATACAAGTATTGCCTGACCTTCTTCAAAAAACAATTGTTAAAGTCTGTGTCTTTTTCTAATAATAAGAATTTATTAATTACCCTACGAGTCATATAATCAGGAGATTTTTCAAATTTTGCTGTTGAGTGCGAGGGATATATTATAAAATTACGTCTTGTGTTATACGCATTCGTGTGATTTTCAAAAAGGATTCTATTTTTCATGAAGTATTTACATAATTCATAAATATAAAGACAAGGTAAAGTTAATAATTTTGATTCTCAGAGCTCCTCAGATAATCTTGAAATTTATTGGCAAATCTTACACTGACAAAATGATTTAGGTATGTTATCCTCAACAAGTTTTAGAATAGTAAAATGCATTTGATGTAAGTGTTTTCAGCTTCAGCAATAAACATTTCTGACTTCTGATAATGAAGAAATTTGATACGGTACAGTAAAAGTAACAAATTACTTACAATGAGCTCCGTAGGCCCCCAGAGCCACAGCAGATGCTCCAAGTACTCCGGCAAGTCTGACATAGTAGCCTCCGGAACTGGCTAGCTGCCACAGGGGTAATGGCTCCATCACAATCTTGGTTGGGGGTGGAGCTTTGGGTGTTACAGCAGTTGCCACTTGGGATACAACTCCACCAACTGTTTGGGTCTGAAAAAACAACCTTTATCAAACCTTAGTTAGGAGGCACACAATCCTATACAAGATTCTAAGGTAACCTTTTTAAATTTTTTAAGGGTGTTTTATTGGCTGAAAACGTTTATACTTTAAACTTTTAATAGCCTAAATGATGAAATTTATCTAGGTTCTTAGAGGTGAATTATATTTTAGGTCCAAGTTTTATATTATATTTTAGGTCTAAGTTTTAGATAATTTCAAGAGACAGTGAATAGCTAGAGGATTTATCTCAATGGTATTTGAATTCATATTTTTTGTTTTAATTGATATTTTATCAACTTTAAATCACAAATAAAAATGCTTCTGGTATGACTTTGAATTTAAAATATATTGGATAACTGCTTACAAGTAGACCTAGGCCTAACCTTATAGCATTGACGATTGGATACTGAAGTTGTATTTTTTTTCCTAGTTTCTTTTCAAAATCACATTCAAACTGCATGTTCCTTGTAAATATAAGTTTTGTACCTGCAAAAGTTCCAGGTAACTTTAACTTTTAGTCAAAGATTTTGCTTTGAATGCCATTTCTTCTTAACCGTATATCTTTTGTTGTACTTTTTTTGTACTCAAGTTACAAAGTTTTTCATAATTGCTCTAGTCATAATCTGTTATACTTATTTAAGCTAATATTTATTCTCCCAAACATGCCTGTTTTCCTTGTTATTTATGGTTATTATGTAAATACGATCGTCTTTGTTATGTTTTTGCTATTATTGTTGTTAATTACTAGATTGTTGTTGTTAATTACTATATTATTGTTATTTATTTTGTTGCCTATGTCTAAGTGTAAAAAGTTCACAGTTGTTATTTAATATTAGTCATCTTGAAATGTACAATATATCTTTAGTAACACATCAAACAAAATGGAATGTCCGTTGAAATAAAATAAAATATTGATAACTCAGTCAAAGCTTATAGTTTTCAAACCATAAGTTTAGCATTCTATTATGCTCAGCAGTAAATATGAACAAGGGACACCGGTACCTATTTCTCTGAAGGCATTTGCATTATATAATAACTTATGATTTGGTTGGTAATAAAAAGTAGAGAAGACAGATTTATACAACTGAAAATAGGCCTAGGCCCTACCACCAATAATTTTGTTTGGATAAGTATCTTTGTACTTAAACATTGTGATGGTTATAAGTTTAAAAAAAATCAGTTAGGCCTACCTACAGAAGAAAAGGTAAAAACGGGCCTCTAGCTACACCTAGATACACCTAGGCCTATAGCCATAGGCATGTCGTGGGTACACTTCCATATCTGTTGTCACAAACGACCGAATGAAAATATCGATCGATTTATCAATTATTCGATATATCGTTTGGTTAAGTTAGTTAGGTAAGGTTCTAACCTAGGCCTAACTAACCGAACGATATATCGAATGAAACAATCGAATAATCAATATTAGCCTACTCATTCAGTTGTTTGTGCCAACAGATATGGAAGTGTAACTCCCATGTCAATTAGCCTTAACATGACTTAATTCCTAGAAGTTGTTCAATTAATCAAAATACAAATAATTGTTGTCCATGTTCATTGATCGGTTTAGCCTGTTCTGCCTGTTGGCCTCTAGAACGTAACTTACTAAATATCCCAAAGCCTTTAGGAAGGCTGTTAGGCTATAATTTTTTTTGCCCACTGGATGCAGAATGAGTCCAAACTTCAAAATGCTTAGCCTAGAAGATAAACCAGACAATTAATATCTTGCGTTTTACAAAATTTGCAAACTGGTACTTACCGTACCTTGTTAACTAACTAAGTAGGCTAAGTTATTTTTGGTATGGTAACCTTTTTTTATGTTATCTAGCCTAATATTTTCAAATGTGAGACAGAATGTTAATGGCTAAAAAAGAGATCATTTGTCTTAGGCTAAACCTATCTGATTATCACTGATGAAGTGAAAGAATTAAAGCATAAATTAGCAAAATTCCAAATAATCCTTACTTTTCTCTTAGCAACTTTCACCATTTGAAGCAACCTTGACATTAGAATATCCTTAAAAATCAACAAACTGGTTCCCGGCTATTTGAAATCGCTGTAATTTGGATATGTTAAAAATAATCGTGCACAACACCGAAATGACGATGCAAAACTAAATAAATGTAAAATTAAATTTCAAGGCCTAAACAACCAAATCAAAGTTTCCTACCGTGATTTTTAGTACTTCCAAAGGAGCAGTCAATAAAATATTTGCCGCATCGTGTAGGCCCATTTTAGTATATAAAAACTTGCTTAGGCCTATATCATAAATTACAAATTCACTAATTTACTGAAAAATAATATAAGAGCTAAACACTAGCAAAGATAGTATTGTAGTCAATTAGATGTTTGTTTATCAGTCCGAAGTCCGACACAGAAACCTATGGATCTATGATGAAACTTTCAGGTGTTCGGTGTTTGTCGTTCTGTCAGGTCTCAGGTCAGCTCAAGCTCAGCACTCTGCACACTCGACGTTCTGTACCCACGAGCACCTCAGCTTCCACATGCACAGAAGGCCTTGGAACAGTTCCTGGGATAACAGCTATTTGTGTAATAAGCTTCACTGTATATCTTTATTGCACCTGTTTAGATAGTTGTTTCTTTCAGCAGTTGCAGTTGCGAACTGTGCATTATGATTTTGTAATTTGTAAAGGTAAAGGTGTTTATTCTTTACTGTTTGTTTACTTTTGACTTGAGCTGCTTGAAAATGTGTGTTATGATTATGAAAATTAAAGTGTTGTGAGTGTGCTGAAGCTGATTTGATATTAGGTATATTGACAATTAAATGTTTGCGTGCATGAATTATTTATGAAGTGTTAAATGTTCACTTAAACTGTATTTTTCGGATTCCTCAAGAAGAGAGGTTAGGTTGGGTTTGTGTGTGAATTTGTTAGATTACAGTTTTGGTGTTGGTAGTGGTGGGTCTAAGTTAAGGCATTGAGTATGGTTAAGGTAAACTTAGGCCTACCTACTCTTATAAATAGATAAGTTATTAATTTAACTTTTTCAAAGGCAATAACTTCTAAGACCTAAACTCAACTGAAAGGCCCAAAACTAACTTAATTAACCTAGACCTACCACTACCAAAACTGCAATCCAACAAATTCACACACAAACACAACTCAACCTAACCTATTAACAATCACTCTTGAGGAATCCGAAAAATATATGTTAAGTGAACATTTAAAACTTCATAAATAATTCATGCACGCAAAACATTTAATTGTCAATACCCGATAACAAATCAGCTTCAGCACACTCACAACACTTTAATTTTCATAATCATAAAACACATTTTCAAGCAGCTCAAGTCAAAAGTAAACAAACAGTAAAGAATGAACACCTTTACCTTTACAAAATCATAATGCACAATTCGCAACTGTAACTGTTGAAAGAAACAACTATCTAAACAGGTGCAATAAAGATATACAGTGAAGCTTATTACACAAATAGCTGTTATCCCAGGAACTGTTCCAAGGCCTTCTGTGCATGTGGAAGCTGAGGTGCTCGTGGGTACAGAACGTCGAGTCACTCTGCACTATACACTATGCGGTTGGTTGCATCAGTCGGAGAGCACAAGTTCACATGTACAGAAACCTTATACTGACGTCATAATTCATAAATATCGAATGTATATATCGATTGTACCGGGTGGTTACGGGTTTTTCTTCGGAATGTAAGTATCGGTTGCACCGAATAAGTAAAAGTTTTTTCTGTAACACTTTATTTGACGAATTGAATACTCTCGGTAGTTTATCCATTATAAATCAAATAGTAGAAATACAATAATATTCGTTACAGGCTGGGAATAAAATATTTACTTATACTTTGGTAACATCCAAGATGTTTGCAATTGTTTTCGTATTTACCTGACTTCTAAAATAAAAACTTGAGTTCACAGGACGTTGAATACTAAGAATTTATTTCATAGCATCCACAATACAATAACTGTAATTAAAGTAGACGAATTACAGGAATTATTATCGATTCTAGAAGAGAGTGAAATAATAATTGTAACTTTGACATGTTAACGTTATGTTAATGTTTGGGAATGATTTACTGACAGATATTGCCCATCAGTGTAAGGTGACAATTTAAGAAGCCCAAGAGGACTATTTTAGATATATTATTTTATGGAATTTACAGTCACGTAAAATAGGCCCTACAGTTTAACCATTGACTAAGTACTGTGAGTACATTAATCAATGGTTTAGGTTTACAGAAAAAAGTAGAGCTTTTTTCTCATTTTCCCCTTTAGTACATCTTAATAAAACACCATAAGTTTTATCCAATTATATTATTCTGGCTCCATTTAATTCACAATAACGTTATACTTACTAAGCCTTATCTTGTTATTTATAAATGAAAGTACTGGGACTTTATTATTGTGAATGCTATGAAATAAATTCTTAGTATTCAACGTCCTGTGAACTCAAGTTTTTATTTTATAAGTCAGGTAAATACGAAAACAATTGCAAACATCTTGGATGTTCAATCCAAAGTATCAGTAATTATTTTATTCCCAGCCTGTAACGAATATTATTGTATTTCTACTATTTGATTTATAATGGATAAACTACCGAGAGTATTCAATTCGTCAAATAAAGTGTTACAAAAAAAACCCTTTACTTATTCGGTGCAACCGATACTTACATTCCGAAGAAAAACCCGTAACCACCCGGTACAATCGATATATACATTCGATATTTATGACGTCAGTATAAGGTTTCTGTACATGTGAACTTGTGCTCTCCGCATCAGTCAGCAGTTTCACCACAGCAGCAGCAGCACAGAGTATCTATCTGTTTTCTGTACTAACTGTTCTGCAGGTACTGCTTCTATTCTGCAGTTCAGATTGTCAGCTTGCTGCGAAAATCAAAACAGTGCAAATCTAGCACAGCAAAGGAGCAAAAACTAAAACCAAACTGGAAATTGTATAATTGTAAAGTTAGCGTACCCACTTTGTATGCCTCGTAACTTTTTGGTTTTTTGAGAACTAACGTAAATATTGGAGAACTATCGAGAACTAACGAAGAACTAACGATTGGTGTATAGATATAAGCATTTATAGTCAGAAAACGGTGCCCGCTGGAAATTGTATAGTTGTGAAGTTAGCGTACCCACTTTGTATGCCTCGTAACTTTTTGGTTTTTTTGAGAACTAACGTAAATATTGGAGAACTATCGAGAACTAACGAAGAACTAACGATTGGTATATAGATATAGGCATTTATAGTAAAAAAACTGTTCCCGCTGGAAATTGTACAATTTCTTACAATTTCTTTTGTATGATCAAAAGTGGATACGCTAATATGGGTACGCCAACTTCAGTCACGGACCTAAACTATCTACCAACGAGTATATTTCAAATAAAATAATGAGCAAGTTAGAATTGTTGGGTATTGTAGTGTGAGTTTTAACTGACGCTGCTCCAAAATTCTCCAAACAATTATTGATCTTACGATCTTAGCCCACAGAAATGTATTCAATATTTTCATACTTATACTTTTCAATGAAATGGCGACCATACAAAGTAGGTACTAAATCATACTGTACTAATCAGTGTACATAGAAATAGAAAGCGCATTTCAGAAAAAGCGTCAATTGTTGTCTTTCAGAATTATCGTTTCTATTTAGAAAGTATAATTTGTATTCCAGAATCCAGACTAGTAATTCTTTATTTCATAAAACATTAATTGGATTTCATAGTTAGTCAAAATGTATTTCCAGTATACAAATTTTGTTATAACTGTATTATTCTAAAATCAGCTGCTAATTCCTTATGCTGATAACAAAGTTATTGTTTGGACAAATTATTTCTGAAATACCATGCTGAAATACAATACTTATTTATCTTCTGAAATGCAGTTTATACTATCTGAAATACAATTTGATATCTTCTAAAATGTAAATAATTGTTTATGGAATATAATGACCATTTAAAAAAAATAAAAGTGTTATTTATTTCCTTAAATTAAAATTACTATTCTGAGATACAAATTGACTCTTTCTAAAATTGAAATCTTATCTGGAAAACAAATTGGTATTACCAATTCTGAAATACAAATGACGATTCTTAAATACAATTGACAATTTCTGAAATGAAAGTGGATAGTTTCATTGTGGATGTAGCCTCCGGATTGCCAAATAATATTAAAAAAGGTTTAAATACCTGCTATTAAGCAATCCATTTAATTGCAGTTGCAACTAGTTTCGACTCCTATGTGGAGTCATCATCAGGCGGTACAAGGACTTCTTCTTTCTTCACATGAAGAGCGTCATATTTAACAAGTAAAAATAAATAAACATTTACACACGACACAAAACACGTTACGGACACGAAACATTTATTTACTGATCAGTTACGACCAGTGTTTCCATCCGCAAGAAAAAAATATCCCTGGGCCAACGTCAAAAAATCCCTAGTTATCCCTAGTCCGTGTTCTAATAATCCCTCCAATTATCCCTCTATATCAAATCTAGATAATTTATTATTTTTGCAGCAATACCAATGGATATCATGTATAGCCACCTAAAATATGGTAACTGGTGATATTATTCTTCAATAACCCATATTATTTATAAAGTAATAGGTACTATATAAAAAACATTTTTGTAGCATTAAAACCACGGCCATCTTTAACTCCAGGCAGGCCGCGGCCTGGTAGAATTGGCAACGTTGCAAGTACTGTAGTAGGTATTGTTTAGCGCAAGACGTCCCATAAGTTAACATGGAAATAAAACATAATATAGAATCGAAAACCAAAACAATATAAATTGAAAATCTATTTCTGTACATTCAATGTGGAGTCAATATTTTCATAGCTCAGTAACCAAGCTTTCGTATTCTTAAAAAAATACATAAATATCATTATAGCTTAGCGTTCTCCAAACAAACACCTTTACAACAATATACTTGCAACTTGCAACGTTTCCACTTCGAAGGCCGCGGCCTCCGGCCTGGAATTAAAGGTAGTCGTGATTAAAAACTGTCTATGTGGTACAAAACAAGATTAATATTGGTATACAATCGTTTCAAAAATATTATTTAAGTGTCCAATTTTCAAACTCAATAGTATTTTTCAAACATGGCCATCATGCCTTGGTGAAAAGGTTACACCAAGTTACTTACTAACCAAAGAACATCACAGAAATCACCGGCAAACAAAATCAAAACGAAAACAAACATTCGACATTGACACAGGGCACAGGGCTACTAAAAAAAAATACAGTAATCTAGATCCGCCATTCCATTCCATCGACCAACTCCAACTTCGCTTGTTTCCTGCAGTGTTGGCTGTTTGTTACTCTTCCCCGTGAGTGTCCCGACTTTGAAACACTACGTCACTACCATACCACTACCTACAACCATAGATATAAAACATCCTCCTTGAAGAGTATCTTTTATCTATGCTACAATCGATTTGTTAGCAAAACCTAGGGAAAAAGTAGTATAATCAATGTGTTATTAATACCTTGGAAAATTAGCCAAAAGGTCCTTAACGTTGTTGAAATACAGCCATAATGTATTATGTTATCAATATTTCAATTTTATAATGTCAAAGGCCTGAAATCCCTAGAAAATCTCAAAAATCCTTCAATTTCGCTGATTATCCCTAGTTATCCCTCAATCCCTTTTCAATCCCTCGAAGGCCCTAAATATCCCTAGAAAGGGATTTTTATCCCTCAAATGGAAACACTGGTTACGACAACAGACGACGCTAACCCGACGGAGTTTAAGTCCAGTCCCATGAATGGGAAAAAAATGAAAGTGGATAGGTGTAGAGCTACGCACAATTTGTAATTTTTTTGCCAAAATAAGATTGAATTTACCCGATACTGGTAACGATCACTCTAAATAGAAAAAAACCTCAAAATATATAATAGGTTGAGAAGTCTACTTGGTATCTGATCTGATAATCTGAAATCAATGATAGTACCGTACCTACGCAAGCGATAAAATTTAGTTTCCCATGAATGGGAAAAAATCCCCTTTAATGGGAACATTTATTGGAAGGAAATACACTATTCCAAATTTACTTGCACTTCCTCGTAATCAACGTGACTTGAAAACGTGACTTTAGTTTTGAACCAATCAGATTGCTTGGTGAATTAAAGTCACGTTGCAAGTGGTGTGGTTGGTTTAGTTGAAGGATGAAGAAGTGAAGTTGGTAGACAAAAGTAGCAAAATAACAATATAAGAGTTTTGGTTATTGCTTTTCAAACGTAGTTACAGTATTGTTGTTAAAAGTAAAACTAGCATCCCATTAACTCATACTTTTATCAGATTAGGGAGAGAACCAAAATCGTGCATCTTGCAACATTATTATTCAGGTAGGCCCTAACTAAAAATTATTTTTAAACATTATCAAAGTATGCGCCTAGGTACGTGCTTGTCCTCAAGTAAGTTGTTAGTCTACAATAAAAAAAATAATAAAATTATATATTTGTTAAAAATTACATTAGTTTTAATCAAACAGTTAAATTACAATTTAGGCTAGTAAAAGTTTTAACCCAGAAGTAAGTTAGGTAACTTATCTAGTAATTAAGTCGATCATCTGCCAATTAAATTGCTGTAGCGTAGTGTTAATTTTTATGTTTGCTCATTAAGTAACACAAGCTAGATGTTAAAGAGGCCCATCAAAAATTAAATCAGAATAACTTAAAGTGCCGGTAAGAAATACAATTTTTTTCTGTAATATTTTTACATAAGTTACGAACCTATCATGATCTATCCTTGAAATTTAACCTAACAACTTAACTTTACTGAAAAAGTTCTGAGGAACAGTTAGTCGTAGGAAGCCTTCAGTAGGCTACTATCATTTGCAGAGGAATGCAGGGAAGCTTGAATGGGTTGAGTAATAATAAACACAGAGGATATGCGTCCAGAAACCGGACGTTGATTAGGCGTCTGGCAGTTACTGTCATAATTTAACCTAACCAATCGAACTTGCTGATAGTGAAAATTAAATGAAGGTTAAATTCTGTTTAAATTTTAAATGCAAACAATTATAACATAAGATGTACGGTTAAGAAGAAATGGCATTCAAAGCAAAATCTTTGACTAAAAGTTAAAGTTACCGATGGGATTCGAACCAGGGACCACTTGCACATCAGCCAAGCACTCTATCCACTACACTGATGGCTGTACATTGTATCGTTGTGGTAAAGGCGTTTCGGGCCCCCACCCGGTGACGTCGCTGCCGGATGCCTAATCCACGTCCGTTTACCGGACGGGTATCCTCTGTGAATAATAAAGTACTTAGTGCTACAGTAGGTATACACATTTTTTTCATATCTTCAAGCTAGGTAAAGAAACTTGCATCCGCACAATCTGCAGTTGTTTTGGTGCCTTTTTCAGCCTATATGTCATGGTCATAAGTTTATTTTCAATTTTCAGATAGATTGTGCGCTTAGGAAGTTTCAAGAGGCCATTTAAATATAATACGGTCGTCAACCTGATGATTGGGACCTCAGTGGAATAAAATGTCCCCAAACAGTGTCTTATTCCACATTCACACAATTATCAACAACACCTAGAGTGTTACCGTCATGACTAACATCACCCAAGATCGGGAGCGTCATACTGTTCACTGGTTTCGCAAGGGTTTGCGTCTCCATGACAACCCAAGTTTGCGTGCCGGACTCGTCGGAGCAACTACCTATCGATGCATATTCATCTTAGATCCATGGTTCGCTGGTTCGTCTAATGTCGGCATCAATAAATGGAGGTGAGTTTGTTTTGAATAACCAGCAAAATTTATACTTATCTATATTCTGATATATGTCACTTTTACTTACAGGGTTAAATGGTGCGAGTAAGGGCTCTGGATTGTACAATATTTGTTTCTGACTCATAAAAGTCCATTAAGCCTACTTTCAAGTTTCCTAGGAAAATTTCTCTTAGTCAATCCATTACAGTTTTGCTGGCTAAATAGTCTGGTAGGTCTAAATCTGAATAAGGGGATTGTGTGGTTTAATCTTAATTTTTAACCCTTAGAGTGCCAGGCGAGAAATAAAAGTAACGCTCAAAAAATGCCGATGATTTTTCCCGAAGGTCGCGCTAAAAATGCCGAGCGCGATCTGGCGATTTTTAGGTTAAAATTTCGTAAAAATCGAATTTTTGATATTTCGACCAACGAAAATCGATGTATCGCATCTAGTAACTTTCGACTCAATGTTAATATATGGGTTAAAAGAATCCGAGTATCCATTCGGTTGTTATGACAACTGTTCGATCATTACGAAACGTCCGGTCAGCCGGACGTTGGCACTTTTGGCTCGTTCTAAAAACGTCCGGTCGGCCGGACGTCGGCACTTTTGGCTCGTTTTAAAAACGTCCGGTTCCCCGGACGTTGGCACTCAAAGGGTTAATTTGTCACAACAAAGTTATTAGAACAATTGATACGAGTCTTAATTTGGTTTTGTATAATTGCCTTAAGTCTTTTGAGTAGATTATATAAACGGCATCTAAAAAAAAAAATATTATAAAATGTATTTTATTGTACCGGTAGTTACAGATTTTCTTATCTGACAGGTTTCTGCTGCAATGTCTGGAGGATCTGGACAACAGTCTGCACAAGCTCGGTTCTCGACTGTTTGTCATAAGAGGACAGCCAACAGACGCACTTCCAAAACTTTTCAAGGTATGTTAGTCGTCTATGCCTTCTATTTGTTTGTAAGTTTTTGTTTCTAGATTTATAGGAATCTTTAACGATATAAAACTAACTATCTTGAACTAGCCTATATAATTTTGTGGATCGGTGGCTCAGTTGACAGCACGATGGACTAAAAATCCATGGTAGTGGTGATGTTCGTGTGTGTCCTATTGGTGCTGCTACTAAAATGTATAACCACAGATCTTCTTCAGAATGTATAACCACATTCTTCTAGGCTACCATACTTAAACTAGTACAGTTAGTAGTTACACATCCTGTTCTAAGCCTACAAAATATTCAATATCCATTATTCACTATTTTTGATACTTTGAAAATAATCTCTGACTTGTGTTTTACAGGAGTGGGGAACTACCAGTTTTACATTTGAGTATGACCCAGAACCTTTCGGCAAACACAGGGACAAACACATAAAGGAAATGTGCGCAGACCTCGGAATATCCGTCAGTTCGCACGTCTCGCACACTCTCTACGACTTGGAGGCGTAAGTTATGCAGCATATATTCATATACAAAACTACCAACTTCAGAACATCTGTTTTTTGTTCAGGTATTGAAGTAAGTTTAAATGAGTTAACCTTTTGCGGTTGAATGGCGAGTAGAGGTTGCCACCCGCCATTTTCCCGACAGCTCAAAAATGGCAACCTATACTCAAGGCCACACTAAAGAAACAGGCCGTAATGCTTGTCAAGCATGACGTCACGATAGAAGACGGCAATGACGTAATGTTAGATATTTTTGTGACAGAGGGTATTTATTTATTTTCCAAGGAAAGATTAAAACAAGCAGCTGATCACAAACGGCAAACATTACGTCATTAATTGCCGTCTTCCATTGTGACGTCATGCTTGACAGCATTACAGCCTGTTTTTTTAGTGTGGCCTTGCTGTACTATATATAAAAAAAATCAAAAATCCATAAAATTTGTTTTTGCAGTTGAACGGCGAATATAGGTCACCGGGCGCCATTTTCCCGACTGCTCTGATGGCAAACTATACTCGGTGAAAAATGGGGGGAAAATTTGACCTTAAAGGGTTAAAATAGTTTTTGAAGATAAAAACGACTTTAAAAAATTTACTCCTTCACTAATTGTTAATTGTTTTGACTAAAATATTTGTTTTTAGTTTTAGTTGTTTTTAGGCTATGTAATAGCCTACATAAATTAATGTATTCTATGTGGAAAAGGGGGACAAAAAAAAGGAATTCCTTTACCTCCGAAACGTAGTGTAGTCAAAGCACTTAGGATAGGAAAAGTTTATTTTAGGCTATCTAAAACTAAGATACTCAAAAATTATTAACCAAAAAAAATTTAAAACCAATGCAAAATCAGGTTTTTTTAGTAGACGCTAACTTATCACTATGCTACCAAAAATGCAAACTATGGTGTAAACGATTGGAACCAACTTCTCCACTTTGTCTTTCATCTCTAAATGTAAGCTCGATCTCTTGATCATCTCTAACAGTAGTAGGCCTCTTAGTTAAAAACTACTGTAAAGCGTTAAAAGCCCTGTATATTTGTTTATTTCTGTACGTATAGTTTTCAATTAAATATAAAAGTCAATATGTTTTTGCAGTATAATCACCAGGAACAACGGCCACTCTCCGTTGACCTATCACAGGTTCCAAGATGTAATCGCATCACTCGGCCCACCACCAGAGGCCTTGGACGGGATTGATGATAAAGTCATCGGCAACGCCTACACTCCCATCTGTGACGACCATAACGACAAGTATGGAGTACCAACGCTAGAGGAGCTCGGTATGATCTGTGAATAAAGACATGCCTTTGTTATGTTAAAGATGAAGCAATTTTAGAATCTTATTGAAAGTAACTTAAATTAAGATGTAAATTACTGATTTCTGTCGAGTAACTGTACACAAATAGTTTGCGAAGTCAAACTGATTGAGCAACTACTGTAACTACATGGCGCCCCTCAAGTAATGTGCTCTGAGACATGGTAATTTTTCTCCAAATTGCTTTATTTATACTAGATATTTGCCATTTTGCACTTGATACACAAACATTCTTTTCTAAAAACTAGTTCAATCAATGTTAATGAAACTAAGTATGTATGCTTATGTTAAAGTAGAAGACCACTATAAAAAAAATCAAATTGGTTCAATTTAAAATGGTGTTAATTTACAATTTTTTAATAAATCGGGGGGAAATGGTCTAAAATGCAAAAGGTTACTATAAACAATGTTTTTAGATGGTTTTATTTGTAATCTATGACTATAAAAAAGTAGGATCGTATAAAAACAAACGAGATTCCTTGAAATGATTTAATTTTAAGGTTTCTGGTTTGAACCCATGTGAATTGACTATCTGGATCCAGAAGTATTTTGGTGTTATTGGGCCATCAAACATGGGTTGACTTAACATAACAAGACCAAGGTTTGGACAAAAAAGTACCAAACGTAAACAAATTGTATTGGGTTGGATGAAAAAATAACTTTCGGTGCATCTTTAACTCACATTTAGTCGCCGGTGTATTTGATAACTGTCCTCCCGCAGGATTTGAGACAGAGGACCTAGGCAGTCCGACATGGCAGGGAGGCGAGACAGAAGCGTTGGCCAGATTAGAGCGTCATCTACAGCGTAAGGCGTGGGTCGCTAGCTTCGCCAAGCCGAAGATGTCGCCTCAGTCACTCCTTGCTAGTCCGTGTGGTCTCAGTCCATACCTCAGGTTCGGATGTCTCTCCACACGCAACTTCTACCACAGACTCACCCGGCTTTATGTTTCGGTTAGTTGAAATCAATATCTACTAGGGCCTAAACAGTTTTAGTGAAACTGCATCTCAAATCTCAAAACCACCATACTTTGGAAAGTTTGGTTTCAATATTCAATCAGGGAGTTTTAAAACTAGGTATTGATTTTATTAATGTACCGGTATTGATCTCATGTTATTATGTTAGTGTCAAAAGTTTAATTCATTTCTTTGTTTTTTATTTATTAAAAAAATATGTATAAGCAAACTTGATAAGCAATTTCTGTTGGTCAAAGTAAGACCTAGACCCGGGAAAAATGTTTGTTGTTGTATCTTAAAATTTTCTCAGAGGCCTAAAACACCATCCGTTCATATTAACATATTATATACATTCATAGACATATTGGGTAATGTTTACCGTTAGGGTTACTGTTATAAATATTTTTATAGAAATAATAAATAAAAATATATGAAAATTTAAAAAACGTGTACCAGCCTATGGTTTATTATTTCTATAAATATATATATATATAGACATATATTATGTGTATATGGCTATAATATGGCAGTAAAAAGTTTGTGTTAAGGTTTTATGATTCGGATTTGATTTCACAAGTTTTGGTATGAGATTTGCAATTTCTGGTTTTGGTTAAACCTCGCGGTTTCACCATTGAGATTTGTTTTGGAAAGGGATATTGTTGAGCTAGCTTACCTGAGAACAAAGGGCTGACCAATACACACTGTTACCTTGTCCTTGTATTGCACTTCTTCAGAGAGCATTTACAATGGCAGTCTTGTCTGAATAGGGAGGGTCCACTCTAGCCCATGAAACACAAACCGTTTTAGACTATACACAAAATACATAATAATTCACTCTCTCACTCTACTGAATATTCAACCAAAGAAACTAACCCTTTTCCTTTCAAGTGAGCCGGGTATCATGATAAACATCCAAAAGTTATTGAACCAAAATTTAATTTCTAATGGACTATTTCTTCCAGATCAAAAAAGCAGACCCGCCCTTATCACTTCATGGCCAGTTGCTGTGGAGGGAGTTTTTCTACTGTGCTGCCACGAACAACGCCAACTTTGACAGGATGGAGGGAAATCCAATCTGTGTCCAGATACCTTGGGACAAAAATCCTCAGGCTCTTGCGAAATGGGCGAGTGTACGTATTGCCACGGATTTTCATTTTCATCTACATTTACAGAAGAAATTCTTTCCATTTAAAAGTTAACAAATAAAGTATGACCACACTGTTTTAAAAGTTAAGTTGTTTAGCTCGTAAAGTGTCCTTAAAATTTAAAATCATTACCATGTAGTAAGAACAATGTTGTCTATCCTGCCTATTTTATTAACTAATCATCCTACTCTACTCCTCTGTATAATATTTAGAATATTTAAAATTTCTAATTAATAAGCTGTACCCCAGCTGTCCTTTTGATTGCGTTTTGAATAAACGGTCCTGGATAAGATGAAGCTGATCTCAGTCAGTACAAAAACTATCATAATTTTATCAACACTTGTCATATTGGTTTTAAAATATGCACCCTAGTAGGTAGGTATCTTACATATCTATCCGTGATCATGACCTTAGCAAGGATATGTGTCAATACAAAAAGTATTAGTTAAAAATATCAAAAATGTTCTCTCTGGTAGCCTATTTCTTAACTATATATTCAATCTAATCTCATGCTGTGGTTACGTTATATCTTATGGTCGTAGTACCCTTATTATTTTTTATCTTCTGAACTATGGTAATTATTTCACTTGTGTGTGTACATGGTGCTAAGGTTATACTTGTACAGGGCCAGACCGGTTTCCCGTGGATCGACGCCATCATGATCCAGTTGCGGGAAGAAGGTTGGATACATCACTTGTCAAGACATGCCGTCGCCTGCTTTCTCACTCGAGGAGACCTGTGGTTATCTTGGGAAGAGGGAATGAAGGTAACTGATAGAAATATGATAGTTGTCAACGTTGAAGTCCAACTCAATCAAATTACTGGATTGGTTTGTAATTAACTTGAACTTAACCACACTATAAAATTACTAAACTGGGAAGTATGTAGACGCAGTACATCTGTCAGGTCATACAATTTATTCAAAAGCAATTTAAAATGTAGCAAAAAAAGGAATAAAGTGACAAGCTTATAAAATAATTCAAAATTAAAACTACAGGCATTAGAAACCAATCAAGTGCCTAAAACTTGCCACACTTAACAACATAAAAAAATCAAGTAGTCGATAAGATGGATGTTCCAACAATCATAAGTACAGCTTCGGTTGGAATCATCATAGACTAACCAACACAAGTAGACTCCCATCTCCCATACCATTGTAAATTTTGAAGCTCGTTTTTCGTGTCTAGTTCAGGTGACACTGGTGGCTGGTGTCGACAAAATTTGGTTTCTATTACTTTAGAATTAATTTAATGATTTGTGTTTTACTGTTTGGTTATATAACTAGAGGATGATTTATTGCTTATGATTATCGTTTTATTTTTTTAAACGGGTTTTAAATTACTGAAATAACAAGAAACAAATTGTAAACAAAACACAACATCTACATTGCTCCAGACAGAACTAATGAAAAATTGGCTTCAGCTGTTCCATAAGGATGGGAAATCTACTAATGGAGTACCTATGTTTTTTATCTATTGTACAGCCTGATGGTACCTGAATTTCAGTTTTTTAGGTTAGAATCATTCAGTGGTCTGTTTGTAATCAGCTTATAAAACAGTGTTCACTTTTCAACAAATAAGTGGCTATTTGTTTCATTCAAACATTGTTACATTCAGTTTTGGGAAGTAGCGCGCTACAAGTAGCGACGCTACAGTAGCGCGCTACTTTTTTTGTAGCGTTAGCTGTAGCTACGCTACTTTTAAGATTTTGTAGCTTTAGCTGTAGCTAGCTACATTTTTAAAGTAGTTGAAGCGGAATTTCAGCTACTTTTCTCGCTACATTAACATTTTTTGAGATAATGATTTTTATCATAACCTCAACCTTACGTAAAACCTTTCAAACTGAGATTTTCAAAAAAATTAGGCCTACTTTCTTGGCTTCATACAGCTGGTTGCAGCCGTTTCATTCCCTATACAACGTTGCATGGACATGGAGGCCATTAAATGAGTGTTATCCACATTTTTGGCTCTCATTTCCTTAATTTACTACTCTATGATTACTGTCAGATTAAATAAAATCGCTAGATGCAGACGACGTTTAAACGTTACCGGTGACAAGAGAAGCTATTGAATGCTTGCAAGTGATTGACAGGGAAGTTAGTAATCAATTTAGTTTCTTTATTATATCGATAGTGTTTCAACTTGGGTTTTAATGGAAACCAACACTAAACCTTAAAATAATGAGAAAGCTGGTCTATCAACCTCTGCTTCAGCTGTTGATTGTGGTTCATCATCACAAGCCCTTCCTTGGTTAGATTACGAAGATTTTTCAAAGGTTTACTAAATTAACAAAGAAGAAATTACCTGATGTGATTTAAGATATGCCTAGACTAAATGATTATTGTAACGAAAAAATCTCCATATAACATGAAACTTACATTGAAAAAATAGCATAGTTTGCTCCTGCTAACAGCTCAGCTCTTGTATAGGACTATTCCTTTCCTAGGCTATGCTATGGTTTAAGACGAATACCAAGTTCCAAGTTCAATTATTAGGAATATATCTCTTTAGTCCTTGCAAGAACAAGCCTACTATAGCCAACTTGTTACATAGCCAAGTAGGCCTATATGTTATTTTTACTTTACAAATTTCCACATGTTTAAATTAAAAGCCGATTTCAGGATAAGTTGCTGAATACTGGGTTCTGTACCAACTAGGTTGAAGCACAATTTGCAATTTGCCCTATGCATAATGACAATAAAGGACGATTTCTTGACATTGAAAAGTGTTATTCATAGAACAAGTAACTTATCACTATGGTTAAAAGTTATAACAATGTCGTTTTTAACATTAAAAGTTAAGAAAGGCAATAAACTCCAATTTCAGTAGGCTAACTTAGGCTCTGTAACACCAACAAGAATTTGTAAATAATCGTTTTATTTACAGTTTTATTGGTCTTAATTGTTTATACAAGACATCTATAAATGAATCTATATTAAAGAAAATAAAATGAGCTTTTAAAATATAGTTTGGTTGTAGGCCTATGTCCCTTGAACTTAATGAAATTTACATATAAGATGCTTAAAAATAATGCAATATTTGAAAATAAGTACTAAATATGATGGGAAACCCAACTATTTGGTTCTGTTGTTTTAATGTTAGGTATATAATGCCAACAAATTAAATACAATCTAGGAATAATTTGTTTTCCAAGTAATGTTAGACACAATCATTGACTATATATACCTATAGGTATATAGGCCTATAGTCAATGATACAATACTGACATGTTTTGTTTAAATGTTTGTTCAATAAAAATGTAGTTGCAATTAATTTTACATTTACCTAATGTGCGTGGAATAAAAAGTAACGTCTTTGGAAAAGTAGCTAAAATTGTAGCTGTAGCTACATTTCATTGTAGCTGTAGTTGTAGCTAGCTACTTTTTCGGAACTGTAGCTGTAGCTGTAGCTAAGCTACTTTTTTGGAAATGTAGCAGTAGTTGTAGCTAGCTACATTTTAAAAGTAGCTTCCCCAACACTGGTTACATTATATAACTACATTATATTATTTTTGTTTTGAGGGATTCTGCTTCCAAAAACTAATAAGAGCAAACAAATATTGTTACAGGGATGTTATGTCTCATACACTCTAATCAGAAATATAAGATTTACTAATTTCTTATCCTAGTATTTCCCGTTCCTATTTCAGGTATTTGAGGAGCTGCTACTTGACGCTGATTGGTCCGTCAACGCAGGTTCGTGGATGTGGCATTCCAACTCGTCATTCTTTCAACAGTTTTTCAGCTGCTACTGTCCTGTACGATTTGGTCGCAAGGCAGACCCTAATGGAGACTTCATAAGGTATGTGGCATCGGTTTACAAATTATTTAATCCTCGAGTGACGTTGGTTTTAACATACAAAAGATAACTCACAGAGTATTTCCCATGTAATCCAATGATAGATAAACAGTATGAATAAAATATATACATATAGAGTTTGGATCAATAAGATAAACATGAGCTGAGCTGAACTTTTTTTGCAATGGCAGAATGCGTCTAAAAATTTCATCATTATTGCCAGATCATGGATTTTAGCCTAACCAGTGAAATCGTTCCCAATTTTTTCCATGACTGTAAAAGGTGTTAACAATATCACCGTGACCACTATTTCGGCGTAAAATTTTAATTGAGTGTAAGGGTTAGCGGGGAATTTTGAAGAATGAAATGAGGTCAAGTCGGTTCCTAGAAACCCAGGTAACAAAAAAAGCTTGAGAAAGGTTTGTCACAAACCTTTTTTGTCAAACCTTTAAACTTGCTACAAGTGTATAACGGCAAGCTTGTACACTTGGGGCAAGCTTGTAGCAAACCTCCTAGTTCCCATCAGACAAGCTTGCCACAGGCCTTCTGATTAAACTTGTCACAGGCCTTCTATACAAACTTGTCAAAGGCCTTCTGATTAAACTTGCCACATGCCTTCTGGTTAAACTAGCCACACACCTTATGTTTAAACTTGACACAAACCTTCTGTTCAAACTTGTCACAGGCCTTCTGTTTAAACTTATCACAGGCCTTTTATTAGAACTTAGAAACTGTAACAGATATATTTTGTTCCATAAAACAAATTAATAAATCATTGAAAATATAGCTCAGATAAAAATGAAGCACATTATGTTTATGTTTCATAGTAATGTATGTAAAATAAATTAAATTTTGTTTGGCCAACAAAACTTTTTACTTTGCCAGATAGAGAATGATAGGTTTTAAAAATAGACTTGGGACTGTAGGCTAATTAGAGATAAATGTGTTGGATCCTGTTTGAAAATAAAAGTAACTAATTACTAACTAAAAGCCAAAATAAAGCACTGAGCAATAAATAAATATGTTTTATGACAACTGTTCATTTCATGGTAGAATACAATCATTTTAAGAAATGTAGGCTACGGGTTTCAAAAAGGTATTTTACTTAAAAATTATTTTTGTCAAATGCCTACAAACTAACCGTAAGATAGCTTTGTAAGGTAAAGTAGGGCAATATCAGACTTGCTATCAGAAGTCTAATGTGCCCTAAATACAGCTTTCAGAACTAAATCAGTAGTTTAATTTTTACTCAAAGCAAATTTAATATAAATGCCTCTAATAGAAAAACTTGAATGTTATTAGAGGAAATGCTAAACAGAGCTAACTCCTCGGTTGAATTTAAATTGACTCCATATAATAGACCTAACACAGTACTGTATTAGTTACATAGCTTTACTAAGCTGTAATGACAAAAAATGAAACAAATTTATTCCTATACCTACAGTTGATTTCAAACTAAATGAGAAATTATCTTAATCAGAGAAGTTTTGACAATGGAAATCAAACAAAGTAAAAGTGCACTTAACATTTTATATTCTGAAAATATTTACACAGGTTTAAATTACAATTCGTACAGTATTCAGTCATCAGAACACTCTTCAGCAGCGGGTGTTGCTTGCTGTCTGTTAGACCTGAAAAACAGAAATTAAAAATATGTTGTTGTCTCAATAAAATTGATGTTTTGTAGTATTTGTTTAAGTTGCCATACATGTATTCCCTCAATAAATTATGTGACTTTGCCAAATTTATGGATTATAATTTCCTTTAGATCTGAAAATATTTATTATTCCTATGATGAGATAAATGTTTCAAATATTGCTTTGTGTGTGAGCCAATTATTTGCAAAACAACTATGGGCATGGTGTTCCAAATTTAATATATCTTTACTTAGGTTTCCAAATAAATTTAATTTTGGTCGGACTGAAATGAGAAAATAGAGGCTTTTTACAGTTTATAAAGTCTATATCACTATACCTTTTTCCATGACACTTGAAAAATTTCATACCGGTACTGTAGGTTTAAACCTTTATTAGATGTTATAGCTTTCAGGGATTAGCTTCAAAACATTTTAAAAGTACCTATGTTTGACTTTTTAAAGGAGTTCAAGTAAAAATTCAATAAATTTTAAACGTTTTAGAAATATATTTGAACATTGTAAAAAGTACAAACGCTAAAACAAAACAATAAATTGGACAACTGACTCACAACAGAAAACAATAAATAATTAACCAATCAGCTGATGATATCAAAATATAGAAAAAAATAGAATATCATTAATTTATACTAGATCTAGTATCATTAACTAATAAAACAGATGACTGGGAAATTTGAGACAGGAATGGGTGATGTTAATATTAGAAACGGTCTAAGACTAATGATTACTACCATTTTAGGCCCGGTTCACACAAGCGACTTATCTAGCTGACTAGGCTGTGACTAGGTAAGCCCGACTGGGTAGAGGACTACAGGATTAAATGGAACCGTTCACACAAGCGTAGGGCGACGACTAGCGAGCCGCGTTCGAGCTTGGTGTCCCAAACTATTGTCGGGCCCCGCTTCCAAGTCACTCATGGCAGCAACCCAGTCGCCCGCTCTAGCGGCTTAGCAGTATGGCCCCTATGGGAGCGTTCACACGAGCGATCGGTCGTCACGCTGCAGCTCGCATTCTTCCCTTTGTTCTCATTGTCGCCAGTGATGGATCCGAGTAACATTGATATCGATATTTGTATTGAATCAATGAAGCAACAACCGTTTCTTTGGAACAATTATCTTTATAGGCCTATTATTAGTATTACAAGTCCAAATATAGGAATAAACTAAATATAAATTTGTAACCGATTAATAGGTTTATAATATAATTTTATATTGACCCTATACACTCTAAACAATGATGTTTTTTCAACCAAACTTTATAATAGTTTAAATGATAGTTTGTTGGGTGATTCCAATGCAAATTTAGTTTTGAAATGATTCGATAATTGTTTAAAACATCGTTATTGTCCAAAACATCAATGTAAAAAAAAAAATTCACTTACCATTGACGCAAAAACATCAAATATTTCCAGAAATATGTCAACGTATCGAAAATATTGATGTATTGAAAACATCGATGTATTAAAAACATCGTTTATCGATGCACATTCATTTACGTCACACCTACGACCTAGTCCGTTGACATGTCGCTCGTGTGAACCGGTGTATCCTTTGGTCCGCTACCCATTCGGGCTTACCTAGTTACAGCCTAGTTAGCTAGATAAGTTGCTCGTGTGAACCGGGCCTAAGAAGCGAAATGCTCAGTCATGGAGAATAGTCAGCTTGGAATTTTGCCACCGAAATGAGCTTTGCGCGGCCGCACTACTCTATCTTACTCGGTAAACTGACTTGGCCGCGCGTTCAAGATAGTCTACGATGCCGATTTCGCAAGAAATGAGACATTAAAGGTAAAAAACAATTGTTGCATACAATACCACTCTACATATAGGCTACATGTGGTTTTTTTCACACTCAGTGGGGTCTTAACTCAATATATAACTGAAATTCAAATCTAATTGACTAGACTAGTGCTGAAATAAACTTTCCATGCACAAACCTGAGGCCCATGTGGACAGACAAATGTGAGGTAAAAAGGTTAAATAAACCCTGAATTTAACTGGTTCTATTAATGTTTTATAGGTATGGCTAATGTTTTTAATAGAGTTAGAATAATCTAAATGGCATTTTTACTAAGTACAATATCCAAACTAACAGAAGAACTTTGTACAGTTTCCAATGGCAACCTAAAAACAGGGTGTCAATAGAACTCTTGGGGTTTTCAAATACATATCTTAACAGATTGGAAATATGAAGTTAATTCCTTAATAACAGTTCAACTCATTGTACCAACCAATTGTAAATTTTTGGTCAGCATTTGTTGGCAACACTGTGGCACATAAAATTTGAAAAAATCTAGAGCTGCAATGCCTTACGGAAAATGTTGCTATGGTGACGGGTGCTAGTAAATGAGGAGTTTTTTTATAAACGCCCTTTACTCATAATAATTTCTTATCACAAAGAAATAAGTATGGTACCGTAAATTGAAATAGGAAAAAATACCTCTTCATCAATCTGGGTGTGGCTTGCTGCAGCCACTTCTTGATTGAGTTCTTCATATTCTCAGCCGATGTTTCTCAATGTTTTCTCCTGACAGCATCTATAAATCAGAAAAAGGTGCACTAAACATACAAAATGAGTAAAGTACCAGAGCAAAAATACACCTGAAGCAGCAAACCTGCAGACTATCAATTCGTCTTAAACTGGATTTATGCTTAAAGATTTCCATAAAGCATATTTTGAATAAAGTTAGATCTAACTAGTAACATAGACAAAAAGAATTAAATATAGACTGTCAGCCGTGCAGTGGTTACCATAGGTTCTGGCACACAATGATGGGAGCGCCATGTAGTTACGTAGTGCGTAGGCCGTAACTGCATAGCGCTCCCAGCGGTGTGCGCCAGAACCTATGGTAACTGCAGCACAGCTGACGGTCTTTTTATATTTAATTCTTTTTGTCTATGCTAGTACTTAGGTTTTCTACTATGGGGAATGCAAAAATATGTTTTTTTGAGCAAATGTTAATATTAAGGTGAAATAGACTCAATAAAGTTGCTAAATTTGATCAACATAATATATCTACAAACAAGCAAACTATATACAAAAGCTCGCTCCGGCACATAGCCTATTTTTATAATATATGTAGCCCTACCTAATGTCAAGATTTTCCACAAATGGAGAAAGGCGATAATGATGTTCCGTTACTGTAGGGGGTATTCAGGATTTTTATGTGACCGCGGGAGAAAATAATCTTTAGGCCTACATAACTTGATCTAAAGCAAAGTGACGTTTAACCGTTTCGATGCTAGAAAATTTTTTGGAATGTTCCAAAAAAAATTATAGGCTAAGTAAGAATTACAGGAGAACCTTAATAAAAAGGCTCTCAAGGGGATTATAAAATAAGACTTGTTATCAAGGTTGTCTCATTATCGAGGTTTGCAATAACATGTGATTAGGGGTAAAATAAATTCTAGGGAATTTAAAAATGAGACTTGTTATCAAGGGTGACTTGTTATCGAGGGTCTTGTTACTTGTTATCAAGGTTCCACTGTATTTACTTATTTCGTCCGAAAAGTGCTAAGCTTGCCACGAGGGCAAAGTCTATTGTGCGAGAAAAGAATACGCACATCATCATTTTGATAATAAGTAACTTAGGCCTAAGTTAACTTTTACGCAGAGGATACGCGTCCGGTAACCGGACGTGGATTAGGCGTCCGGCAGTTACTGTAATAACCTAACCTAACCAACCAAACTTGCTGATAGTGAAAAAATCAAATGAAGGTTCAATTCTCATCATAACATAAAATTATAAATGCCAAAAATTCTAACAAAAGATGTACAGTTAAGAAGAAATTACATTCAAAGAAAAATCTGTGACAAAAAGTTAAAGTTACCGATAGGTTTCGAACCGGGGACCTCTCGCATATCAGTCGAGCACTCTATCCAGTACACCACGAACACTGATGGCTGAACATCGTATCATTGTGGTAATGGCGTTCCAGGACCCCCTACCGGACGCCTAATCCACGTCTGGTTACCGGACGCCTAATCCACGTCCGGTTACCGGACGCGTATCCTCTGTGTAACTTTTATCCTTACTCATCCAAAAACTTATTGCAGACGGCTCTATGTGAAACTGTAAGTACCCAGGGAGGGTAGGCCTATGTTTAGCCTAGTCCTTTTGATTGACTTAGTAGAGTCTATCAAGGCTAGCAGCCTACAGTCGAGGTGCTAATTAACACATGAGTTAGGTTAGCTAAGTAGCTTAAGTTATTATGGGACCCTAACATAACAAATGAACATGAACATTCCCAATAGCAAATTACTAGGTGTTTTGACACTTTGTGACAGAATAAAATGTGCTGCAGTTAAAAAAAAAAAATAAAGTAGGCCTAAAATTTATATCAGCCCTCAGGTTTATTGGGCTACCAATAATGAATCATTATTAAAACATTTCCTGGAAAAGTTTTTAACAAACACTAAATTGACTGCCAATTTTTCAAGTGATCAAGTGAAAACAGATTTTTAAAAAGTTAAGAAGGTATAAGATGTGATAAATGTACATCTGATGTACATAAATCATAAATCAAATAGCCTAGGGCAGGCCTTTTAGCTAGGTACCGGTAAGACTTTTGTGAGTTATGTCTAGACTAGGCCCAGGCTCTAAATCAAACGGTTGATGCTTAAATCATTATATTAATAACTTATAAACTTAAGTTAAGTTGGCTGCTTTAACTTATTTAAAATTACTGATTAACTTACTGCTAAATCTAGGTTATTCTACTCACCTGAAAATCACAGTAGGTTTCAAAGTTATCACCGAGGAAAACTACTAATTAACCAAAAGCACTTATAAATTTACTTAGGGCTGTATACAAACTTTATAAACTTAAAAATTTAAACTTAACGCGAAATATAAACTCAAAACTTAAGGAAAAATAAACACTTAACCGAAAACAAGAAAGAACAAGCGCAGACGCCAGACGGCCAAACAAACACAAATAAAATGGCGGTTGTTTTGTTGTTGTGTAGTAGACTGACTAGCGCCGCTAGCGCTGCGATGGATGAAAATTACAACTACGTTGCTTGTCGTGATACACCTTCCACGAATTGGCCCCAAGCTGTTCCCCGTAAGCCTTCTTCACAAGCGTGCCACAAGTCTGGCACAAGTTGATATAAAAAGGCCTTTCCAGACAAGCCTTTGACAAGGCTTGCCGTAAGCTTACGTGTTACCTGGGAAGATGCGTGTTTGGTACTTTGACTTCTATTACCGACAACAAGGAAAAATGCATACCGGTATATTTTGACAAAAGTCCTTAATTTTGTGTTTTAACAAATAAGTAGTACAACAGTATTAGACTTAAATTGATAGAATTGTGTACTTTTAGTTTGTTTTGATAATGATGAGTGATGACTTTTCAGTAAACCAACGTTTTCACTAATTGACAGTACCCTGGTGCAACATCTGCCGATATTAAAAGAGTGTCTTGAATATTCTACACCAAAAGCACTTTGATAGGTTAGGTATTTTGCATCCAAAGTAGTAACCACAGTCCAAAGTAGCAACGGTTCTAAGCCTAAACGCTAGTATATTTGAATAATCTTTTCTCGACACTTCACAAAATATTCTCAACAGCAGCATCTAAGAAATCTAATGTGTCAAAACAGGAAATACCTACCGGTGCTGAGGTATTACCCACGGGCACACATCCACGAGCCGTGGACGGCACCTGAGAATGTGCAGAAAGCGTGCAAGTGTGTGATCGGCAAAGACTACCCTCTACCCATGGTGCACCACCCCACGGTGGCCAGCATCAACAGCGAACGCATGAAGCAAGTGTACATTCAGCTCAAGAAGTACCGAGGACCTGGTATGTGCTCTGTGCAAGCATTTCAAATCGAGCTAGCACTTAGAACAATGCAGTAGTCGTGATTGAATTTTAGGAATATTCTACTCCTTTTGTGTGTGTTTTTTTTTGGGGGGGTGAGTATTGTGACCAATAAGTTGAAATAGCAGCATTGCAATTCCATTAAAACCCAAGCCTAAATAGTAAATTATTTCTGGATTTATTACATTTTTGTCAGTCAGTAATTATTGATCTTAGATCAGAATTAAATGAAGTAAACACATCATGCAACTTTTATATACCCTATAAATCTTGGTTATCCCTTTGGAAAAAGATAGATGGCCCAGTTTTATAATGTATTTTAGTTAGAATAATATCAATGAATAATTAATAGGTTGGTAGTTGGCCTAGTTATCTCCCTCGAACCAATAACACTCCCATAGTTTAACATGTTCGCTGCTGACCGCTAGATGCCGGGACGGTGCCAGGAGCTGAACTAACGCTCGCCGCTGCGTAAACATTGCTGCCGATACACTGAATTACAGTAAAAACAACAGTAGTTGTACTGGATGGCAATGTTCTGCAATAAAACTGACTTTGGACATAGTACTAAGTGATTCTGATAGATAGCAGCACTACCCAGGTTGCAGTCGGTAAAGTAGTGTCGCTATCTAGCAGGAAAGAGGTGGGACAAAGCCCTGTTCTAGACGACCCTGGTGGTGATTTTGGGAAACTATATTTTTTATTGTCAGAAAAGTACGTCCACACGAGCTGCAAAAAAATATAGGACGCTCGTGACGAGCTGGCAGATCCATGGTAACGTTATACAGAACGTTCCTAGCTCCTGGCGCTGAGGCCCGTTTGACGTTCCGGAACGTCCGTAGCAGCAAACGTGTTAACTACTTCAAATCTTAAAGGCTTGTGGAAGTTCTTTTATTTTTTTGTTTATTTTTATTTATAACCTGAGTTTAGTTTTTTTTTATTTATGACTGAAGTTTACTTAGGTATTTATTTAGATGACAATACTACATTACAAGCATAGAGCCCAATTACAATGCAGCATTAAAGTTTCAGTCCATTTTAGAAAGTCCATGCAGTCTTCTTGGTAGGTACACACAACATGATAACAACTAATAAATAACATTTCATAAAAAAACAATAAATAGACATACTAATAAATAAAGTTATGTTTTTTAAAACTCAGTCTTTTATCAGTCAAGAATGTAACTTAGAGCACAAGGGCTTAGGTTGTTAGGTTTTTTGGTCGGAATAGCATACTTATCTGGATGGGAAAGAGTCCAAACTGGCACAAGAGACAAAATCACACTTGGATGGACCATTAGACCTAAAGAAAACTCCCCCTTCCTTGGTTGAAAATACTGTCAGTCATAGTGAAATATTCTAATGTTTTTATAGCGTCAGCGTATAAAGTAAAAGTTTTGTGTCTCTTGTGCCAGCTTGGACTATTTCCCATTCAGGTAAGCCTGCTATTGTCAACAAATCCTTTACCAGCATGTATTTATTTATATTAGAGCCAATATAAGTAGAACTAGTGCACACCATGGTTTTTATTTAATTTTCTTATCCTTTCATTTTATTTTATCTTAGTTTAAGTTTTTCAATTGTTGGAGTATGAAGTTACACTGAGCCAAGCAAACCCATGGGTAGATACACTGCTTTCAGGCCGGTTCGGTCTGGATCGGATTGAGAACGAAAAGAATATCAACCTGTGAGTCTACGGTTAACAGTGAGTGAGTCAACGGAACGTCGGACCATCACATTGTGAGTCTGCTACTTTCATGGGCTTGTTATGGCTTTTGAAATACGGTAAAATATCCATTTATTCACTCACTAATAAGAACTGTCTTGTTTCAGAACTATCAGCGGTTTTCTAATCTTTCAGAAACACTTGTGTGAATTTCAGTTTTTGTTTGGTTTTATTTTATTTTGATTTTGATAATTTTTTTTGTAATGTTGATTTACTTTGTTTAATGAAATAGGATATTTGAGTGTGAGGAAATGATTTTCTTTGTAGAACCGTAGTTTAAGAGTGGAATGCCCAACCAAGATGATTCTAAAGATTTTGTGGGACTTAAATTTGTGTAAAAAAATAACAACTTGCACATAAATATTTTAGAACTGGTACAACCATGTTTGATTAATTGTATATTTTATTCATCAATTTGATTTGGCATTACCGTACTTATTCTAAATTGAAAGTAAAATTTGTAAACTACTTTTTTTTAGTTCGAAAACTGGCTTAGAGAATAACCTAACGGTTAGTTTTTTTTAAAGCTCATTGGTATTACAAAAACTGCTATTCTAATTCGCTGCATGTTTGGGCAATTTCAAAATTATTTCATGTTATTGTAAATCCTCTACTAACTGCTTTCTTTCTCCCTATTAACTATATGCGTCCCATATTAAGTTGAAAGAGTTTATCTCTTTGGTGACCTTGAAACTAAAACACTTCATTATTGACTATAGTTACTAGCTCTTTGATTTAGCGAGGTATTTTAGTGGAAGCTCCGATTCAATCACCTATAGGTGATGATGAGCTATGCAATATTGTTTTGAGAAAGTGGTTCAAGCCCACTTAATGGTGTAGGTGTATGTATCTTGGGGAAAAGGTGTCTATTGGTAATCTTCCTTCATAAAAAGCCATCCGCAATTTAAACTTTAATTGCGGTTAAGCTTTTTCTTATTTCTGAGCAGTAGTCCTTTTACTTATAAGGCTTCTAGCCTATTCACTTGACAAAGTTATCATTTTTGTCTTTGTTTTTTTAAAAAAATGTGCTCTAATAAAACAATTATAAAATTGTCTTTGTATAAATTTAGCTCTACCACAGAGTGTAATTGTATAAAATGGCTGAAAAAATACAATTGGTACTGTAGCACGCAAGAGCATCTCAGCATTGCTATTACATTTTATATTTAGGCCTACATATCCTTTTGGCTGAATATTCTATACTTTTCTTATACATTGCTCGCAAAATAATACCATTTGTCCTAAAGTATATAGTCACTTTTACAGTTCTAGGAGCAGTTTAATAGAGATTTGCCAGGTGAAATGTCAAACAATTGACAATTCTTTCCTACAGTTAGCAAAGTAAAATCAACATTGAGTTATAGAATTATTTTGTATTGACAATTAAACAATTCTATTCTTTGAATTTTTGTTGTATTTTATTTTAGAGATTTTTATTTTGCACGTTTTACATGCTTTTTTTATTTTACACAAACACATTTGAGAGATTGATTGCCGATGTTGACGTTTTTGTGCTGATCGTAAGTTTTGTGTTGCAGGTAACGGCTTAGTTAGTCCCAACGGGCCGAACATTTACAACCAAAGGCCCAAGTGTGACAGGTACGATCTATCCTCCAACAAGGAAAACGTTTACGCTATGAATGATGACGAGAACAGTGATAACTTGTTTAAATAAGCTTTTACTTCTATTTCTGTGCTTTCAAAAATGTCTAACCAAAAGATAAATGTACTTAAGGATTGTGGAAAATGTGAGAATGCCTTATGAATGCAGGAGATTTAGATTTCATTGATTAAAAGTTTACAATGTTAAATCCTTGTTGACTGCATAAGCTTTTGTAGTTATTATATAACACCCGATTGCTACTGTTAAAGAATACTACTATTTGAAATTACCTATCACACGTTATACAATCAATTTTTATGAATTGTGTTCATTGTAAACATTTTTTATTTTAAACAATTCAGTAATTGTTAACGCAACAATTCAGTAAAAGGATGGTTAAATAACCGACAAGGAATACCTGATAGTAATAGAGATATGTTAAGTAATTTAACCTAGCTTCCTTCAATTATGTTTCTTTATCTTTTGGAGCAGTAATAAAACTAAGATGTATTTTTTAAGTTTTCTCATTTCTTTAACAAACCCAGATTTTTGTTTCCAGACTTTTGTAATTATATTATGATTTATCAGTATCAGTATTAATTGTTTTACACTAAACAATATGTAACAGAATATCATTTATGTTAATGTAATCCATCTGAGAATGCCGAATTTTCATGTTTAATTATGTAACATATCAACCTACTCCTAACATATTTATTAATAAGAAAAAAATTAACCATGGCTGACCATCGGGACCAAAACATGATCTAAGTTAGGGTTTGAATTTTTTTGCCGCCCTTTTTAAAATATAAATAAACAACGTCAAAAAGATCTTTTTGCAAAGTAAATTTTGAACATAAAAAAAAACATTTTGATTATTTTCTCACTTTTTCATGAGATTACAATGAATAAGTTGATATGCTACAGGTTTTTGACATTGAAAATACTTAATTGGAAATGTGAGTATTGTTTCAAAAATACAATTTGGAAAATCATCATGCATGTTCAAAACTTGTGGAAAAAATTTTTATGATCTACTTGAGAGAAAATTACGTCTGAAAAAAAACAGTGACTCGATGATCTGTATTACCTACCATTAAAAACCATAAATAACATTTTGCAGTATTTTCTTAATCTTTTTATGTACACTGGACATATATCGTATCATAACAATAAGTTTGTGGGTTTTAATAGTTTTTAAATTTTCACTGTGTGCTTGGAAAAAATTAAAAGACAAAAATATGATCATTCCATTTTATTAATACATTTTTGTCTGAATACCTACATTTATTTCTGGCTAATACCTTTTGTTTTAGTTCCTGTAAATTCATTTTTACATAATGTACAAATATTAGCTTTAGGACATTTTAAATTACTAAGTTTCAAACATAATGTATTAAAATAATTTTGCTTTGTCATCTTGCAGGGTTGACATAATGTACGTTTTGTTTGTAAAACTGTATTTTTATGAATGTAATGAAAAGGCTGAAATGTTGAATTTTTGTATGCGTCTGGATGTTATATAGTTTATTTGTGTAAAAGAGTATATTTATATGAATGTATTGTCTTGTAATTATTGAGCGAGACAATAAATATAATTGCAAATTGAAAGTCTTAAATTATTTAGTAATACAAAGCCTCTTAGATTTTTTAAAATCAATGTTAGTGCAAAACACATTTTTTTATAATTGAGCGGAGCAAGGTGAAGCTCTTTGGGATCGACTTCAATGCAAACTTTCTAACACATAAACTCAATAACGGTTGAACATATTTTAGCAAAACTTACCAAGGTTGTTTTGTCAAATGTTTGGAAGGTTTAAGACGAAACCAATTTCAATTTTTGTTAATGACTTGCCTATACAATTTAAAAGTAGGTACGGTAACTCTATGTTTTTAAATTTTGACATTGGCCTTATGGGTTGCCATGATGGTTACAAAATAACGACTTAAATGTAAACAAAACAAAGAATCATAGCAATAAATAATCAAATAATCAATGATCATAGCAGCTTAAAATTAAGCCACGACCTAAACACAGTACAAAGGGGAAAATGCGGATGATGACCACTGATCAAATAATACAGAGAAAGTTTTAAGTTTACATTTAAGTCACAATTTGGAAACAACCACTGATAAAATAGGTACAGTATTTTGCGTTTATTTTGCTTTGTAAATCAGGTTATAACAAAATAATAACATGTATCTTGTGATATTGGGAATTTAAACAACTACATGATTCTGCAGTTTTAAATAACTAGGTATTCCGTATTACTAGAGGTTAAAGTACCTTTTAATCCGTCAGTGTGATCAAAAAACACCGATTTTGCCTTTCATCAGGGACTTTTGATCACACTGACGGATTATAAGGTACCAACCTCTAGTAATAATTTATATTGTGATCAGGAGGCAAAAAACAACAAAAAAAGTAACTAGGTATTCTCAAATCAATATTTAAATCTAAATAGGCTATTATAAACATGCTTTCTTATTATTTACTTAGAAATATTTTGATGATATCATGGTGTTGGCAAGCCACGCCTTGGGGTTTATTGCTGCCCAAGAAGAATATAGTTATTTGTGCAACTAGTGAGGCAATTGTACTTTGAACTCGAGTTGCACATTATACTTTTCCTACAGTTACCATAAAACAAATAAATTTGTGAAGAAACATAACCTATTTTTACACAGAAGTGAACTTTTAATATAACATTTAATGTGAAGTGACAAATACAACAGTACAACAGCTGACCAGCTGATTTACAGCCAGTGCTGCCAACGTATTTCGCGTGTATACGACGTTGCCTGCATGTTACGCGTTCACTATTTCGTGCCTTGACGTTGCAAATCTGGAGTGAGACAAAGTAATTAGAGTGAGACAATGTTAACATTGTCACACTGATGAGCGAATTGGCCACTTTGCTTTCTCAAATCAGTGAGAGAACATGTACATTGTTAGGTAACTGTAGGAAAAAGTATTTTTTGTGTTTTTGTTTTATAAGAAAACTAGCTGTACCCGCGGGCTTTGCCCCGGTTTACTTCATAAGTGAGCTCGTTCGCATGGCTCAATCACGTCCTGGTTGAAGTTCGTTCGCTACGCTCACTCACCTTTAGGTTGGAGCTCGTTCGCTGCGCTCACTTGCCTTCAGGTTAGCTCGTTCGCTACCCTTACTCACCTCACCTTTTGGTTGCAAATTAGCTGTTGTCATAAATTTAAAAAAATAATAGTGCTGCACCCTGTTGGTAATCCTTGTAACTTAAATGCTATTGAACATCATAGAACAGAACCAACTTGTTTAATTGAAACAGCTGTTAAGATTCTTTAATTCCATTTAAATATGAGTACTCATAACATAAGGTTAAACATGGGAAACTCCAGAGCCACTGGGGCGGAGCCCGAGAGTCCGATCAGAATAAAAACAACTTAGTTTTCCTATTTAATGCCTAAAGAATCAGTGTACCAAATTTCAGCCTCCTAGGTCAATGGGAAGTGGGAGAATTAGTGATGAGTGAGTGAGTGAGTCAGCCAGTCAGTGAGGGCTTTGCCTTTTATATATATAGATACTTAATTCGCATAAGTGTCATATTAAGGAAAATTTCAGAATGCATTCTCAAAAACTGCCTCATATTTGTAGAAAATGAAGACAAGCAATAAACGCCTGAACAACTACTTCTGGCAATGTTTTGAGATAGTTGAATGTAGAATACCGACTTGCTTGAATGCTTTTCATAATAATTACGTTAAATGTACAAAATTTAACTAAACAAATCATAAGCAACTATTACAACTATTTGTGCAATTCTCTCAAAGCAGGCAAGACTTTCAAAAGTTCTATCTGCTGATTTTTTAGAGGGTTACTAAACTGACTTACCGGATAGTCCGATAACATCAGGCCAATAGCGTAATGCTACCAACTAGTGACACTTAGAAGCATCGGTCCACCCAATGTATGGATCCATGCAGGATTATTTATGCCTGAATTGCAATATCTGGCCAAGATTGAGAAAATGTGATTGGTTTAGGTTCAAGGTTGGGTTCAATGTTCAACCAGACCTGTGAGTTCACCAGATGACATTAGTAAGCAAACACAGGAAAAATACCGACGATACTGTTGGTATTGATATAACCAGCTGATCTCTAGTTGTTGATTTTCATGTTATGCTATGAATTTGTATAATAAACACTATCTTGTTTAGAAATTATTATTTAATTAAAATAGTTTAATTAATACATAAATGAACATGGTGTCAGAAGTGGGATCATCAATTTTCCTTTGATAGTTACTGAGGATGGGCTAAACAAATCAAAGTCAAGTTCAAGCAGCAAAGAATTACCATCAGGCGCTGTATTGGAAACATGAGTGTGGCATGCCACACAATCAGTTAGGCACTCTGGTAGGCAACTACAAATTCTTTCTGGATTCAGCCTATCACTATATGAGATGCCTCTCGAGTGACCAGTCCTTTGATAGGTACACAACGTAGCCTAAGAATCTCTTGACTTCTTCTTTTGAAATAGGAGCTGAAAGTTGGCTTATAGCTTCTACTTTGTTAGGATCAGGACACGGGCAAGACAAGCCTTGAAGATACTCTAATTTGCGACCAACTTTTTGTAGGCATAACCAATACTGAATTAAATAAGACGCTTTTGCGCAGAAAAGACCTAAAACTTAATGAGGCTATAGAAATATGTATGCATCATGAAGCAACTGAAAGGTTTGTTACACAAATTACAGTCAGATCAGAAGAGGAGGCATTTCAAGTATTTTTTGTGTAGACGCCTCCTTTCACCAATTCCTGTAATAAAAGTCCTCGGGCTTTGCCCCACAGGCCATCAAAATTCCAATGTATTTCTCATGAAGAAAAGATTTTGTTTACTTAAACAGACGAATAATTTGTATTAATTACAGCTGTTCATAGTAAACACATGATACACACAAGAGCGAGTCGTTTTCAGTTTTGATAACTGTAGTGGAGTGATTGATTACATTATTTTGGAGTTGATTCTTTCACATCGGAAATTATGATTGTTAGGGTTATTCGTTTTGAAATAACGCCTGTAATACTTTGCAATTGCTCGAATTTGAGCAACAGGTGCACTAGTTACAATAAATTACTTGTAAGTTACCATTGTTTGTTTTATTATTTACCACTTTAATCTAAGAGTTAGGATAATCCATGAAATAAGAGTAAAACAACCTAAATTTTATAAAAAAATATAATTCATTAACATTTTCAGTTCAATTTATATACAGATAAATAACAATACCATGAATTATAAACAGTATTAAATTATCCTACGTACTATTCCCACAATGCATGCAAAAAAGTCATGTATAACATTAATTGATTTCAAAACAAGATTTCACAACAATGGTATACATTTGTCACAGAAGAATATAAATTTGTTTCTTGCCATTATGTGGTTCTATTCATTACCATTGACAATAATTGGGCATTAACTACAAGATGTTTGGTTTTCAGGTATTACGAATGCTAGCAATTCCTTCCATTGAGAAAGGGTTGTAGGTTCTATTGGCTATTTAGATAGTACAAAAACTTCTTTGCTCTATGATAGGAAACGCTAATATTCGTAAAACCGATAGAGAAGAGAAATAATAGCATAGTGCAGGCCCTTTCCTAGAATAACTAGCGATATATTTTACCTCAGAAAAGGAGGCAAGGGTATCCACGGTTGTTTACTATCACAGATATAAATTATGCTAAAACTTTACAGGATAATTTGTCTGATTACCTCAGCAAAAAAATTATTTCGATACCTCACAACTTTACAAGAAAAACCATGATTATGTTAACTTGTGTAAAATAGTCTACTAAGCTAAAGGAGCTCACTTTAATTTAAGAATATATTTATTTGTAGCTACACAAACCAATAATAACGGTATAAAAATTCATATTTTATAAGATTACTGAAATTAAATAATTTTTACAATATGATTAGTGACATTACAATTTTGATTTCTATACTTGCTTGATATCTTGGTCATAAAGGTAACTAATTACTAAAACATTTGAAGGAAAACAAATTTTAGGGTCAACTAGAAACGTAGACTAAAAACTGAAGTTGACTTCCCATCACGATGTCATGATCACAATATCCTTTTGAAGCAGGCTTTACTACTGAGATGAGAGTTGAAATAACATTTTTTTCCGTCATTATTTTATTTGCTCATTGAGAAGCTTTTATGCTGAACAAATATTTTTACTAGCAAAAACATTTATCAAAGCGGGTAAGGGTAGCACGATATGGCTAACATAGTCACAAATGTAACATTGAGATGTTAACCTCAGTTAGTTCTAGTCAAACCATAAATACAATTTAAAAATGAACACATGCACGAATACAAAACAATAACAATATATAAATCTCAGATACAAAAGAGAACTTGCATCACTAAACTCAAGGTACTCTCGCTGCATTCCACGAATCGACCTCGTACGAAGGCCTAGTGAGCGCACTCTGGTTCTGACTTTCTCGCTCCAGTTTCTCAAAGTGTTTTCGAGCGTTGCGGATGTTGATGAGTGTCGCGGCCGAAGGGATGTTGGGATCTGACATGACCACCATCACGTATGTGTTGGACGTGAACACATCAATGAAAGCGGCAAAGTTGGAATTTCGCACCTCCATGCTCTGAAACTGGGCTGCCACTTTACTGGAAAAACAGTTTCGGCAGTATGTTAGAACATTCATTGATTGTTGTTGCCATACCAACACTTAGTATACAACAGTGGGAAACGATCTGGTCTAGTAGTAAAGCGAGGCTTTAGTCTCCCGAGATCCTGGATTCGAATATCAACAACAGTGGTAAAGTGGGCAAAAATGGTGTTCCTACCCTTTTTTGCTAATCCTATTCTTTAAACCTGTGTTTTTTCTGAGACAATGAGCATTACCCGAACTGGAAAATTTACGACTAAACTACTGATTGCTAATGACTTTTAGCTTTATGATGATTCCATGACCCTCTAGGGCTAGCCTCTAACCTCAAATTGTGTGTAGAAAAATTCTAAAGTCTTACGGCCTAGCATATTAAAAGAAGTACATGACAAAACTTTTAAAACAGAGTTTGATTGTAAAACTAAGAGATTGTAAAAGAGAGAGATTCATTAAATTTAAATTAGAGAGCATTATTGGGCAAACATTGTTCAAGAAATCCAACAACTTTGTGTATTAAAATAGATCTAGCTATAAAAAACTTATTTATTGTGAATGTACAAATGTAACACAAAAGGTCACTTTAATATTAGCTGTAACACAATAAAAAAGCCTATAAAATAGCATTAATATAAGTAGGCCTACCATAAAAATGTCTAATTCACAATAATTGAATAATTGGCATTAGTTAACAATAAGTTACTAAAGTAGTCTTAAACAAATAACCTGTTAATGATTTGAAACCCAAAAAAGCAGTCACAGTAATAATGATTAACATCTAGCCGTAATTTCGAAACATGTCAATAATAATACTTGATCATCAAAGGAACTAGGTACTAAAATACCTGCAGCTGAGTTTGAACTGTTTTATGATGTTGGAAACTTTCTCGAAGCGGTGGATGTCTCGGTGAGGTCGTCGCTCGCAGTGTGAGATGACAAGGAACGTCGCTCTCTCAAATAGCAGCACTTCATCTGCGTCGATGATATTAGCGAACTGGTTCAGACTTGTCTCCAACTCCTTCACGTTAGGAATCAACATGTACACGATGGACGACCATGCCTGTTGACACAAATCAGTTGCAGCTTGGTCTTCACAGCTTCGGGCTTCAATTTTAATCCCGCAATTCACCAACCAAGATGTCATTGTTGGAAAATGTAATGATATCTTGAACCTCTATACCTTGCATGAAGAATTGACAAGGCGGTTAAGTGGTAGCCCCTACCACATGTGAGTGTGTGTGGTGCTGCCAGTTATGTGGTTAGGTTGGGCCTAGCCTCCTAAGATAAGGAGGTAGAGGCAATTGAAACAAAATATACATCTCTGCTCTGTCTTTAATTTATTAGTACATTTTCTTTCGCCTGATGGTAAGACATAGGTGTGTATTTTCCAAACAATTTCCAAATATTTTAAATTTGTATTGTAACATAAAAACTTAAAATCCTTCCCATAAAGCCTAAATAAAACTTAAATCCTAATATTAATCATCAATTTATTAATTAAACTTGAAATGTAGATGTTTAAAGTATATAATATAAAACTTTATATCTACTACAGAAAAAAAAACACACAAAAGATTTTAAATACTAGTAGCCTACATTTCTTACTGATCTAGATTTTCTAAACTACCCCCTACAAGTGGTGACTCTTGCATTAATCAAATAAAATAATTTCTTGTATAGAAACTTGTTGGTGGGAAAAACATACCCTGTACAAGGTTTCATCCCATATTGATGTTCGGAAACATGTGCACTCAAGTGGTTTTGATAGTCTTCTGAGGTCTTCTTCCCTTTCTCGAAAAATCTGCAATAATATTAAAGGAACCAAATTATTTTCAGCAGGTTAGATTCAACAAACCAACATCTGGATCAGATTGAAATATTTTTACTTAATAAAAAGAGATTATCTATAAAAATATAGTCATACATAAGTAGTTAATAGAATTGAAGTTGAATACAACCCCATTTTGTATCTCAAACTCGAAGCTCATGACCCGGCTGTCTGCTTTTCTTAGTGAATCTGTCCAAAGAACTTGTAAACAAGTTGGCGGTGTTCTTATGACCCGTTGGAACACAGTACATCTCCTTTGCCATTTGACCTAGTGCTTCTTTGCAGACATTACGAAGGGGACACATTATTCAATAATATCTTACGACAAAAGGGTGTTTGGTCAAAAATTTTCATGTCTGATATTTTGTTATTGTTCACTTGTACTAATTAGAGATACAAATATATAAGAAAACAATTTTTATTTTGAATACTAAGCGAGATATGGAGCTTGAAAGTAGTAAGTTTTTCATCTTTCGTACCAATTCACAGGGAGAATGGGTGATGCGATACTCACCAAAATTGGCATTCAGGTGTGGAAAAATAAGATAATAATCACTAGCTATTTAAAATTAACAATTTTTTTAAAATTTTGTTTTCTATAATATTTTTTTTTAAATGAAAAAATAGCTGTTTGTTTTTGGGGAAAATTTATCTGTATGTTGTAATTTTAACAAATGTGATAAGTCAACTCTTTTGGGCTATAAATTCGTACCTTTGATGCCTTGCGCTGTCGGAGCACTACTCGTTGAGAGTTTGTACACTAACACCGGGGCTGTAGAATACTTTAACATCACGTAATTATTAACATCTTTTAACATTGAAAGAATTATGTTTATCGTTGTATTCTAATGCCCCGGTGTTAGTGTACACACTCTCAACGAGTAGTGCTCCGACAGCGCAAGGCATCAAAGGTACGAATTCACAGCCGAGTTAACATATCACTTTTTTTTAATTCCAACATACAGATAAATTGTCCCTAAACACAAAGAGCTATTTTTAAATTTTTTAAAATTTTATAAGAAACCAAATTTTAAATAGCTAGTGATTATTATCTTGTTTTTCCACACCTGAATGCCAATTTTGGTGAGAATCGCATTACCCCTTCTCCCTGTGAATTTCAGATTTTTTACCAAACACCCTTAAGTAAGCTAGCTAGAGTGTTGTTTGTCTGTGAGTCAGCATCATAACCAAAGTCACTTATTTTCCTTTACAGGTAAAATTTATGTACTCCAATGTTGTGGTGATTTAACTTCGGCATTTATGTATGAGAAATAAAATTAAAACGTATCCAATCTTCATATCTCAAACTCTACACGTACTTTCATTCACTCAATTCAGCACTGTAGTCTACTTGTTGTTACTGATTGCGGATTGTTTTTACGACCACATTTTAACTTTCACATTACAGACCAACAATTTAGGATTCCACGATTGCCATGATCGACTCAGATCTACTCACCGCGTCTCGTTGATCCTCCTGCACCAGATCCATTTTGTGCACCAGACAGAAGACTTTGGCACAAGGAGAGTTCTGCAGGATGGCCTCAAGACAACTCTGATAGTAGTGCATGTCTTTGTCCAGCTCTCGGGACTCTACGTCGAACACATAGATCAACACCTCCACGTTGCGGAAGATGTTGTCTCGCTGACTCGCAAAGTAGTTCTCCATGAAAGCCTCCTGACTGGGCACAGACAGCGTTGAAATACAAACACTCAAGTACAGAAGGTAGTTTTGGAAAACTTTATGTCTACATAATTGTCCTCAACGCATATTGGTATAGTAATTTTTAGCTCTTACGATCATGTTTGTATAGACAAAAGTTAACATTTTCAGAAAAAAAGTTCTGGCCATGCCGGCAGGGCCGAACTTACCTATGGGCGGACGGAGCGAGCGCCTGTGGCCTCCCCTCGTAAAGTGGGTTTTCTTAATAAGTTCAAAAATTAATTATACGCATACCAAATGACCTCTCTCGTTTTGCGTAGTTGAAAATTACAATCGTGGGAAACTATTATGAATACTGGAAATAGGCACAAGAAATCATGACAGCCGTTGCCGCGATGTGTGAAATCATCGCAGCTGTGTAAAATAAAGGGTTTCACATGGTGGCTTGGAAGATAAACGAATGTTGCCGCAATCAGAAGACATTTATCACATGTGTTGCCATGATCAAGAGAAATTTTTGCGGATTTGGCCGTGATCGTAAGTAATGATTACGGAATTGCTGTGATAGCGGGGAATCATCACGGATGTTGACATGATTGTAGGAAATCCCCATGTATTTTTGGGCGATTTTTATATAAGAGCACCAGCACAGATATCCAAACTTGCGAGAAATCATCGTGGATGTTATTGCGATCAGGGAAAGCACCACGGTTGTTGCCGCAAGTGTTCAAGATTAAAGTAAATATTTCAAAATTTTGGCATTCTAACTTATTTTCAGTACTTTAATTAATTACTGTTATTTATTTTTACATGTGTTTTCATTCAAGCTCCAAATAAAGTATGTATTTCCACATATCAAAAAAATTCTTTAATCTATGATATCACAGTGAAAAATAAATTTTAAATAATCATACTCTGTGCTACTTAATTTTTATTTTGACCGAATTTTTGAATTATTTGTTGCAAAGTCTTTAATCTTTGTCTATTGATACAATTAGACTTCAATATCCAATAGTCATTAGTTTATTGTATTCGGTATTGCAAAGGAATTAGCAAGGTACCTGCTTATGTAGTTTATTGAATTTTAATAAATAGGCCTACAGTTACAACAAACCATAAAATTGTACATTGGAAATATTTTGACAGTTTAAATATCATACAGTGTTTATATTAAGTATTGAATTGAAACAAATCTGTATTTTTAAAACCGAAAATAGATATTCTGTTTGTGGAATTTTTTTGTACAGGCATTTTTGTTTACATCAAAAATACTTTTTAACCCCCCTAACAGGGTAGGGGATGACTTGTAATGGGTCAAGGTTTTAGAGGGATCAAGATTATATTTATTATTAATTTATCAGTAGGCCTATTCCTACTATGGTGATAGTGGTAAACCTATTTTGGTAAGGGAAATAGTAGGCTGTCCTAGGGTTAAAGTAGGGATAACCTCACTTTTGGCAAAATCACTAAATACACTGTTTTAGAAGTATACAAGTCACGGAATAGCTTTGTTATGTACAAAACAAGTGATAAACTGTTTTCATTTAACCCCCCCACGCCTATTATAAACCTTTGGGAAGTATGACCAATGTTGTTGTTTAGGCTAGGGTGGTGAACTGCGATCACGAATACACTATCACGTACATAACATGCATACACTTTGTCGAACACTAAGTTACACATCATGGGTGGAAATTATACGTTTTGTTTAAATCAGCGACGATATTAAAGTTCTGCCGTATAATTTCACAGTCGGCGCAGGTAAATAACAACATAACCTGTACCACTAGTCGGCGGTCTTGGCGTTGTGTTGTGAATTGTGACAGCGCCAAGTTTGTAACTTGTGACGTAATCGATCAGCTAGGAATGAATCAGATGATACCCCATCCCTAGAGGATTAGGGAGGGGGAAGGAGAGGAGATCCCTTGTGGGCTAGGGATGCGAGAGACATTCTTATCCTGCGATTTCCAGTGTTAGGACGTGCGCTGTGTTGAGTGATTTTGCCGAGTTGAAAACGTGATTTTGCGTATAGCCAAAGTGGGTTTTAGTGAAGGTCCCTGGATTAATCAGGTAATTCGCCGATATTCTTAATAGTGTTTACTATTATTTCTATTACAGTGACGACTGACGAGGTGTACTAAAATAAATTGACGAGATTCTGTTGGTGTTAAACCGCTGCGGGCAGAGTTGAACCGAAACCGTCTAGGCAGGTGGTGCAAACACAAGGTCGCATGAGCGCGCCAGCATTAAGTTAGAGATTAAAACATTTGAGGTTGACGAAACTACAACATTAATTTGTTTCAAAATTGTATTCGTTGTAAGATTTTTTATTGTCTCTAAATTTAATTTAATTAGATATCCCCAGGTGTGAAGAATGATGATGGTACAGTAGCGCTGTTGGTTACCGGTACTGCGTTCACACCTGATTCACTCTACACATTTGAGCATACAAATCTGTACCAGTGATAGGTGTTAGGACCTGTTTAAGTCCGTGTTAGTGTATGCTAGGGCTTGCACGGGATATGTTAAAGATTTAATACGGTCAAACATATAGTTTTGGATTGTGTTTACAATATATAAGAGGGTGACGAGGTGTACTAAAATAAATTAACGAGATTCTGTTGTTGTTAAACCGCTGCGGGCAGAGTTGAACCCGTCTAGGCAGGTCGTGCAAACACTTATTATTTAATTGATAATTTACGAACCCTGGAAACTTCCCAGCACGCCGACTTGAGTGATCCGCTAGCAAGAGTTGGTGACGTCTTTCCCGCTATAATTACGGAATAGCATATATATTCTTGGTAGAGAAGAAAATGATGATGATATCTTACAGATAGAGAGCCACTCTTTTCAGAAAGTAAATAGTTTTCAGTATCTAGGAGTCCTATTATCAGACAACAATAATGAAGAATTGGAAGTAATAAACAGGTTAAATTCGGCTAACAGGTCCCTCCATGCATGCAATAGATTGTTAAGCTCAAAATTATTATCCCACAACACCAAATTACGTATTTATAAACAACTAGCTGTGTGCCCGTTCTACGCACGGGGATCTTATAGTAGTCAGTTGAAACCTTCTTATATTAAGATTAAGAACAGCAATTAGTTTGCATATTTGCAGATATGCTGGCAAAACTATTATATTATAAACCTTCGCAAATACAGTATCTGACAGTTCAAGCCAAAATAAATGCTTCGCAATTAAATGTCACCCGGATCGTGTTGGTCCATATGTCCAATGATTAAACTAAAAAATCTTTTATAGATCCATGAAGCGTAGCCCTAAAGTAGGCCTATAATTGAAAGTTACTTTCCACATCGGTTAACTTAAACGCATTTAAAGTACTACCTCAACCTCACCATTTAACACTTTATTCCGGTTGACATTTTCAGTATCAAAGGTGCTCTTGTCCATTCCGTGAAACACTGAGAAATAAGGACATTAATGCGTTACCAACATACAACAAAACAACACAATACAACAATCCAACAAAGGCCACGAACTATTGATACATAAACAATATAAAGGCGTAAACAATTCATGATGGTTTGCCCAACAAATGTTTTACTCAAATAGGTTATCATTTTCTTAGCATACCGGGTAAGCTAAGATTTGGAATCCAGACAGAAAAAGCAAAACTTATACAGAGTTAAGACATCACTTAAATTGAATACGGACGGCTCTAATAAATAAGGTGCAACACCAAAGATATCAAATTTGTAAACTACCGGTTCTAAGGAAAAGAACCAGTACCTACGTAAGAACCTACCTAAGAACTATAGTAAATCGGACCAATTAAATACATTAATATCTAGTCCCGAGGTTATTGATCTCTTGCTATTGGATTTTCTCGTAAAAAGTTATAGCGTAAACTTATCGGTGTCAGTTTGAAAAAAAGCAACCTTACCCAAACAACTTTTTGTTATTTAATAGATTACGCATTCTCTAAACAATAATTAGTATATCTATTAACATTAGAAGGAAATGTGACGAAAATCACACAATGTTGGGGTTTTGGTCATTTGTAATTTTATTTTTTAAGTAGGTAGGCCATGTATTCTATGGAAAAGTACCGGTATCAAGGATCGTCGTCAAAAAGGTTGTTATGAATAAATATGTAGGCTTACGTACCCAAGATATGAGCTATGGGCCTATTGGCTGTATGGTCCAGCGATTGCATCACACGGTGAGTAGAAACAGAAAGTGACACATTGGAAAAGCGAGTTTAGCACTTCCTCTGTTAAACCTCTGTTACAATCACCCACTGCAGTTGTGATTTTTTACTTTACACTTTACACAACCGCCATTGAAGCGCCGTCAATGAGTGGAAACCTTTTTTGTAAGCTATTGGCGACGATCATTTCAGTGTCACAGCCCTATACAACACTGATTCAAGGTCTTCTTCTTTCTGGTTGTCAAAACTCAAGAAACATTTTATACTCAAAGAATTTCTGGTTCCGATTTGGACGATGTCTAGTTATTTAATTTCATTTACGGTTACACTATTAGACTATATTATTGCACTTGCGATTAATTAAATCCGTTATGTAAGAAAAACTTTTTTAATCTCACTTGGTTGGGATTTGCTTTCAAAACGTGATTCGAAATAGTTGCGGTATTTGTAAACAACATTTATTTGTAAACATGTCATTGACAGCTAGAAAAAATAATCTTGATCCGAACAGCTGTTCGTTATTTCATAGACGATTATGTGATAAAAATTTGACAAAAATCGCACAAAACTGCATTTTTGAACGTCCGTAATTTTATTTACAAAGTAGTGAGGCTATATTTAAATCACTAAAGACACTCTCGCCAATCCAGTGAATACATTAAAATGACTTGGATCTTGATATGTACTCTGGTTTTCACGGAGAAGATTGCGTAAAATGCCATCTTGAGTGTTACAGACAAAGGGACAGACAGACAGACAGACAGAAATTGAGATAAGACTCGTTTCTGCTTCTTTAATGTATAAAACGTAAAAATAACCTAAAAGTATATAATTCTGAGCAATGTACAGACAAAACTCTAATTTTATTTATATAGATAATAAGACCGGTTTTACTGTATGGAATTGATTGGATGAAAAATTTTGCCAATCCAAATTTAGGGGTGACATATCGACTTGAGGTTTGCACCATTGCTTATGTCTTGACAAACCCTTCAAAATGAGGGGTCACTCAATAGGGGTTGCTATTTGAAAAAAAATAAGTCACCCCCTACCCTGTTAGGGGGGTTAAAAATATTTTTATGTAAAAAATTACGGATCTTTTGTTAAAATCAATGCCACAAACAGAATATTCTATCTATTTCAGTTTAAAAATACCGTACAGATTTCTTTCAATACTTAATTTATATACTGTATAAAATTACTTTATACAAAATGTAGAATAATGATATCCTAACAGGTTTAAATATTATTTCGCCTTTACATTGCTTATAATAGTTGTGTATGTAAGTCGCATTATATTTTGTATATTCATACTGGGAGCCCCATTTTCAAATTTGCCCGGGGCCCTGAAACCCTAAGTCCAGGCAGTTTCCAAGCAATTCCATTCAATTACTTGAGAGTGCTGCTAACCAATATATATTTTTAAAAACAAAGTATCCCACGGCCACACAGTAGAGAATGTCATTTGCATTGTTTTCCTTTTAAAATCTCAATTTCAAGAAATATGACGTTGGTAACATTGTTCGGCGGAGATATTTAATTGACAAATTTATATATTTAGGCCTAATGGTAGCATGGTAACTCAGTAGGCTAAGGCTAGGATTATACTAGGACGCTGGCATCCGGGATGCTGGCGTCTGAGAGGCTAGCGTCCCAAGTCGAGCCTAAAATGACGTGATTTGTGTTGGGATGCTAGCCTCTCGGACTGCCATTATATTTCAATGTTTTGTCACTTTTTGTTTATATCTATTTAAATAAAATTAGGTTTAACGAGTACCCAAATTTGCTGCTTTAAGGAGGCTAATATTGTGTGTTTTTAGTAAAATATTAATAGCTTAGTATGAAACAAATTGGCCAAGTTTGACCAAAACATATCCATACACAAGCAAATTCCAACAGTTAAAAATATTTTCTATAAGAATAACATGGGAATTTTTAATTTACACTTATTTGAATTTTATCCGTAACTAATAACCGTACAAAACACTTCAATATACTTAACTAGGCCTATATGCTTTTAAGCTAATTAAAATTGCCTAGAGAGAAATATGAAAATACCCCTTTTTACCCCATAAAACCCCGTTCCCAAGAAGGCACAAAATCGAGCGTCCGGTGGCATTTTTAGCATCCGACGCTGGCATCCCTAGTATAATCGCCCCCATTTGATTTAATGCCCCGCTAGCGTCCCGGACGCCGGCCTCCCGGACGCCAGCGTCCTAGTATAATCCTAGCCTAAGGCATTGTGCTAACAAGTGTATTGTTGAGAGCTTTCAACATGCACGGGTTCAAATTGTAGGCCTATTTTTTTACGATAATTGTATATTTTTCCCTGATAAAAAGTTTCCTTCCTTCCTTCCTTAATAATTTACAAATTTACTCAAATCAATTTAATTAATTGAATTGAATTTTTCTTACCCTCCACAATCCCACAAATTAAGGACAAGATTTCCTAAGAATCTGACGTGTGAGTGTTCTACATCAACTGAAATCAAACACATCAGGTTAATATAAATATGAATGTATCCAACCAGTTGAATGTTTTAAGAAACTTGATATTTTAAACATTCATGTTTAATTTACCTTGCTCAAAACCAAAAGTGATTCCAATTTTTGGTATAACTATCTCAGTTTTGAAGTCCAGAATGGCTTAGTTTTTAGTCTACAGATATGAAATTAAACACAACCCATCCTCCTCAACATGGACAGAAGTCACTATGAAAGCTATATTGAAATGCACCCGGTAATTTAACACAATTTCCCCAATAAATGATTGAGAAGAAGATAAATCTAAACCCCATCACAATAACCTTAAGTTTAAAATAAGAGGAGTTTTGTAGCTTTCCTACTAAAAGGCGACAAAATGAATTGTTAAAAAAGTTGACTCCAAAACCCACTTTGTCTTTGTTACGCTGCAGTCTAAGTAACCTGGTCCCACTAGGTGCAAAGGTGGAGATGCTGAAAATGGTTAACATGGTTGATTTTTCCCTTAAGTTATTAAAATTTAGGCTACACAAAGTAGGGCTAGGCCTACTTATCAGACAGGAAGAATTAAACCACATTTAAAGACAAAATACTTACTTGTAGCTCCCAAACGACGGGTATCTCTTGCGATATAATTGGCAAATATTATAGACCTCATGCTAGTTTTGCCGGAGCCACTTTTTCCCATCAAAAGTACCTACAAAAGAACCATAATTTTAAAATAATGAGTATCATGATGTCAGTCAACTACCATATGACAATTTTAAATATGATTAGGGTATATACCTGGAAAACAGTTGGTCATACAAAAGGGGCGTAAAATCAGCAATAAGAAGTGTGCACGCTTGATGAAATCTATTGTTCACCGTTTACGCCCTTTTGTATGATGAACTTTTTCGCCAGGTATATGACCTTGATACTGTCGTGTGCCTTAAAGTGTCCTCTATCTCGTGACATTATTGGTATTACCATACGCGGCCGTATTTTTCCGCAAAAAAGCCAGCAATAGATTTTATCAAGCTTGCGCACTACTTATTGCTGATTTTACGCCTTTTTTGTATGACCAACTTTTTGCCAGGTATATCAACCTTGAATCTTTTGTGTGCGTTTATGTGTGGCTCTATCTCGTGACATTATTGGTTTTACAGTACATGGCCGTACTTTCCTGCAAAACAGCCAGGGTAATACCGAACTTATACTACTATGTTATATTGAATTTTTTTTGCTTACCTATTTACCTAAATTAGACTATTTTAAGCACTTTTTACATTCGGCACTTTTGGGGGAAACGCCTATGTTATTTCACCCAGAAAATTGCATTTGAAAATCAAGAAAAATGCTAGAAATCGGCGATTTTAGGTGCATGAAACTTCTTGGGTAGCCTACAGTTTCCTAACTGGGTGGGCTCTGCTAATATCGATTGGAACTATCAAATTGAAAATATCGTTTAACAATCGATATTTTTACTAGGTGTATCAGTTATTTAAAATTAAACTGTCATAACCTAACCTAACTAACCAAACTTGCTGATAGTGAAAAAATCTAATGAAGGTTTACTAATCAAATCGACAGTTTCAATCGCTATTAGCATAGCTAAGTTAGGTAAGATAACTTATATCACCCTGAAAAACGCAATACAAAATTGTGAAAAGCATTAAAAATATTGCCACATTTGACCGGTAAATGTGTCAATAACTTAATACTAACCTAACTCTAACCTAGGTTTAACCAAAATCGGCCATTTGTTAACCTGAGCATGGGTAAGGTTATTCTTATATTTAATTTGGTTTACATTAATTTGCCGTTAAGCACTTTACTATTTATTAATATTTTTCAAACCTGTTTTTCTGGATAAAAATGGCATTTAAAATTGACTAAATAACTTAATAAGATAAAACACATTTTTAACATAGGCCCTATGCTAAGTAAAAAAAAAGAAAAATCAAGCCCCAAAAATCATTGATTTCTAGCGCTTTTTGCAATGTTCAAACGCGATTTACAGAGTGAAATTGTTGTTTTCCCTAAAAGTGCCAAAGGCAAATAGCCTATAGTGCTTAAAATACGGGTGTACACTTCCATATCTTTTGGCACAAACAACCGAATGAAAATATCTATTGATACATCAATTTTTCGATATATCGTTTGGTTAGTTAGGTAAGGTTAATCTGAGCCAACAGATTGGTGTGAACCTGGCAATAAGTAGTGCACACACCATAAAAAATCTATTGCTGGCCGTTTTGCGGCAAAATACGTTCGGAATCCATATTACCGATGATGCCAACAGATAGAGGACACTTCAACGGACACGACAGTATCAACATCATGTACCTGGGAAATAGGTTAGGGGGGGGTAAAATCAGCAATAAGTTGTGCGCGCGCCCGCTAAACTCTATTGCTGGCCGTTTTGCGATAAAATACGTCTGCGATCCATATAATAAGAATAAGAATAAGAATAAGAATCATTTATTCCATTGATTTTTTTACAAAGAAATAGGACACGTCATATACATTACAAAATAATCATCCAAATACAATCAAGTTTCTGATACATCCAAATAATATAAAAAGTACAACTAATTAGGTATAATAGCTTATTTTAATTAAAATTTACATCAAAATTACACTTTATAAAGTCACTTATGCTGTAGAAAGGATTTTGAATTAGCCAATTATAAATTCTATTTTTGAAAATATTGTAATCAACAAATTTTGCACTATCAGGTAGTTTATTAAAAAAGCGAATTGAGCTAATTTTGAAAGTCACCCGTTTTAGCCAGTCTATGAGGTTTCATGCTGAGCTTGCCTCCACCCCTAGTATTGTACTCATGAGTGTCAGATCTAAGGGGGAAAGAATGCAAGTTTGACTTGGTGTAGAGTAAAACTTGAAAAATGTACAAATTAATTACTGTTGGAATTTTTAATTGTATGAAAAGAGGTTTACAATGAGATAGGGATCTTGAATTAGCAATATTACGAACTGCCTTTTTTTGAATCGTCAAAATATCAGCTACATGATGATGCCAACAGATATAGGACACTTTAACGGACACGACAGTATCAACATCATGTACCTGGGAAGGAGGTTAGGGAGGGGTAAAATCAGCAATAAGTAGTGCGCACGCCCGCTAAAATCTATTGCTGGCTGTTTTGCGGCAAAATATGACCATATCCATATTACCAATGATGCCAACAGATAGAGGACACTTTAACGGACACGAAAGTATTTTGCCAGCGGACGTATTTTGCCGTAAAACGGCCAACAATAGATTTTAGCGGGCACGCGCACTACTTAAAATTGCTGACTTAACCCCCTCTAACTTACTCCCCAGGTACATGATGTTGATACTGTCGTGTCCGTTAAAGTGTTCTCTATCTGTTGGCATCATCGGTAACATGGATCGCGGACGTATTTTGCCGCAAAACAGCCAGCAATAGATTTTAGCGGGCGTGCGCACAACTTATTGCTGATTTTACCCCCCTAACCTACTCCCCAGGTACATGATGTTGATACTGTCGTGTCCGTTAACGTGTCCTCTATCTGTTGGCATCATCGGTAATATGGATCGCGGACGTATTTTGCCGCAAAACGGCCAGCAATAGATTTTTTGTGGCGCGCACACTACTTATTGCTGATTTTACCCCCCCTAACCTACTCCCCAGGTACATGATGTTGATATTGTCATGTCCGTTAAAGTGTCCTCTATCTGTCGGCATCATCGGTAATCTGGATCGCGATTTTGATATTTTGCTGCAAAATGGCCAGCAATAGATTTTTTATGGCGCGAGCACTACTTAGCCTACTTATTGCCTAGATATTGCCAGGTTCACACAAGTTGCCAGCAGATATGGAAGTGTACCCATAGTCTAAGTTAATTTAGGTAGATAAGGCAAAATATTCAATAAGTAGGCCTAGCCTAGTATTTCAGTTCAATATTGCCACGGCCAGAAATAAGAGTTTAACAAGTGTGCACACTCCTGATTGCTGTGTTATTGCCAGTTTCACAACAATGGCGGTTAGGCCAGAGGCAGACAACAGGTGTATTCAGCCTATGGGACAAGCTCAATAAAGATGCCGAGTTTGGGTTAGTTTGAAGTAGGATGGATAAGGTTTTTATTATTTTGGGTTATTTAATGACACATTGTTTGCCATACTTTAGAAGTGAGCGTTAAACCTTGGTCAGAATCCAGTTAAGTTAATTGGTGTGAACCTGGCAATAACTCCAGCCATAAGTAGTGCGCAAGCCCGAAAAAATCTATTGCTGGCCGCTTTGCGGCAAAATACGTCCGCGATGCATATTACCGATTATGCCAACAGATAGAGGACATTTTAACGGACACGACAGTATCAACATTATGTACCTGGGGAGTAGTATAAGGGGGGTAAAATCGGCAAAAAGTAGTGACGTCCCCGATGCATATTACCGATGATGCCAACAGATAGAGGACACTTTAACGGACACGACACTGTTGATACTGTCGTGTCCGTTAAAGTGTCCTCTATCTGTTGGCATAATCGGTAATATGCATCGCGGACGTATTTTGCCGAAATACGGCCAGCAATAGATTTTTTGTAGCGCGCGCACTACTTTTTGCCGATTTTACCCCCCTTATACTACTCCACAGGTACATAATGTTGATACTGTCGTGTCCGTTAAAGTGTCCTCTATCTGTTGGCATAATCGGTAATATGCATCGCGGACGTATTTTGCCGCAATACGGCCAGCAATAGATTTTTTGTAGCGTGCGCACTACTTTTTGCCGATTTCACCCCCCTTATACTACTCCCCAGGTACATAATGTTGATACTGTCGTGTCCGTTAAAGTGTCCTCTATCTGTTGGCATCATCGGTAATATGCATCGCGGACGTATTTTGCCGCAATACGGCCAGCAATAGATTTTTTGTAGCGCGCGCACTACTTTTTGCCGATTTTACCCCCCTTATCCTACTCCCCAGGTACATAATGTTGATACTGTCGTGTCCGTTAAAGTGTCCTCTATCTGTTGGCATCATCGGTAATATGCATCGCGGACGTATTTTGCCGCAATACGGCCAGCAATAGATTTTTTGTAGCGCGCGCACTACTTTTTGCCGATTTTACCCCCCTTATACTACTCCCCAGGTACATAATGTTGATACTGTCGTGTCCGTTAAAGTGTCCTCTATCTGTTGGCATCATCGGTAATACGCATCGCGGACGTATTTTGCCGCAAAGCGGCCAGCAATAGATTTTTTGTAGCGCGCGCACTACTTTTTGCCGATTTTACCCCCCTTATCCTACTCCCCAGGTACATAATGTTGATACTGTCGTGTCCGTTAAAGTGTCCTCTATCTGTTGGCATCATCGGTAATATGCATCGCGGACGTATTTTGCCGCAATACGGCCAGCAATAGATTTTTTGTAGCGCGCGCACTACTTTTTGCCGATTTTACCCCCCTTATACTACTCCCCAGGTACATAATGTTGATACTGTCGTGTCCATTAAAGTGTCCTCTATCTGTTGGCATCATCGGTAATACGCATCGCGGACGTATTTTGCCGCAAAGCGGCCAGCAATAGATTTTTTGTAGCGCGTGCACTACTTTTTGCCGATTTTACCCCCCTTATCCTACTCCCCAGGTACATAATGTTGATACTGTCGTGTCCGTTAAAGTGTCCTCTATCTGTTGGCATCATCGGTAATATTCATTGCGGACGTATTTTGCTGCAATACGGCCAGTAATAGATTTTTTGTAGCGCGCGCACTACTTTTTGCCGATTTTACCCCCCTTATACTACTCCCCAGGTACATAATGTTGATACTGTCGTGTCCGTTAAAGTGTCCTCTATCTGTTGGCATCATCGGTAATACGCATCGAGGACGTATTTTGCCGCAAAGCGGCCAGCAATAGATATTTTGTAGCGCGCACACTACTTTTTGCCGATTTTACCCCCCTTATACTACTCCCCAGGTACACAATGTTGATACTGTCGTGTCCGTTAAAGAGTCCTCTATCTGTTGGCATCATCGGTAATACGCATCGCAAACGTATTTTGCCGCAAAGCGGCCAGGAATAGATTTTTTGTAGCGCGCGCACTACTTTTTGCCGATTTTACACCCCTTATCCTACTCCCCAGGTACATAATGTTGATACTGTCGTGTACGTTAAAGTGTCCTCTATCTGTTGGCATCATCGGTAATACGCATCGCGGACGTATTTTGCCGCAAAGCGGCCAGCAATAGATTTTTTGTAGCGCGCGCACTACTTTTTGCCGATTTTACCCCCCTTATCCTACTCCCCAGGTACATAATGTTGATACTGTCGTGTACGTTAAAGTGTCCTCTATCTGTTGGCATCATCGGTAATATTCATCGCGGACGTATTTTGCCGCAATACGGCCAGCAATAGATTTTTTTTAGCGCGCGCACTACTTTTTGCCGATTTTACCCCCCTTATACTACTCCCCAGGTACATAATGTTGATACTGTCGTGTCCGTTAAAGTGTCCTCTATCTGTTGGCATCATCGGTAATACGCATCGCGGACGTATTTTGCCGCAAAGCGGCCAGCAATAGATATTTTGTAGCGCGCGCACTACTTATTGCCAAGTTATTGCCAGGTCCACACAAGTGTTAAGTTAGGCCTAGGCTAGGCCTACATAAGTTAATGTAGAATTGTGAGGTCATTTGATGCTAATTCACTAAGAAAAATGTAAGTTCTTGCCTATGCCTGACAAAAGTTAACTTACTAGTAAGTTAGGGTACAGTTTCTTGATATTAGCATAGCCCAGTTAAGAAACTGTACCCGTAAGGTATCATAGAATAAGCTTACATTTAACTTTCTTACCTTTTTCTTCATTTTCACCCAGATGAATACAACACCACGTGATGGATCTATCTATAAATAAATATTTTAAGTATGTTAAGCAGATTGTGCAAGACGTGTAGCCTATATAAAATTTAAATAAAATAAACTACGGCCAATTAACTACGTTTCAACAAATTTATAAACACAACATAACCAAACCAAACCATCAATCTCTGACAATCAGTATTTTGTATTTGTATTTTACTTGACAGACACAATGATTCCCAATTCCCACTCCCAGTATTTCCACTTTGCGTCGAGCAAAGCAACTCACTTGCCTGAAGCGAAGATAGCTGACGCTGACGGACGATCCTATTCCTGTCCAAGATGTATGGAGTAAAAGAGGTGGGCCAGACAGAGCGGACTGCGCGCGGTGACGTCACTGCAGTCCCGGCAGCGGCTGCCTCGCCGCTAGATACATGCTAAACGCACAAAACTTACTTTTTCAGGCACGATTTAAGCTGGTTTGGAGGAGGTATTTCCCGTTATGATACAAATATATTTGTCTACTAAATACAGATTTTTATGATTTTGAACTAACATGAATTATGAACAGTTTGACAATAGTAAATCACCAATTAGGCCCGTATGTTGCATAGAAAGCGATGAAATGCGGGCCGTCTACCGATTCAGATGGAATAATAATTACACTTTAGAATAATTTTAGAATAAGATATAACACTCTCCTTTTTCAGGTTAGTTAATAAAATATATGTTTTAGCACTAGGTAAAAAAGTTGCCTGTTTAAAAGTTACTTCAACTGCTTTTTGGTATTAGTTATAAATGAAACGCCATCCTTTTTCATTTTTAATTTCTTCTTTTTCTATTTAATGTTAAATTTATTTGGGTTTGTTGATACAAAAAACAACAACCAATTATACATGTAATATATTCCATGAGAAACATAAATGTTGCTTACAAATCAAAGTCAACTACGATACTGTATTACTATTTTAGAGGAATTAAATAGCTAGGCCACAAAAATCTGTTTGGATAAATGGCATTGACCAAAGAATACTATCAGAGAATACTAATGATTTTCCCCGAGGAAAGCTTGGTTCACAGGTACTTTTAAAGAAAAAATATTAATTACGTATGTAAATACATATATTTCATTTTAGACTTTGTGGAGATCTTTTAAACTGTGTTAAGAGGATTTTCCCTTTTATGTAAGTGCACATTTATTTGTTCGGTGTTTTTATACGAGTTTACTTTACTTTCTGAGATAAAAAATGCTAGGTATGCGGTTTGCTCTAGCAATATATAATGACAGTTACCTATTGTAAGACTAAAACTCAATCCGACATAAGAGTCATATTTTATTCGCAAAAAAATCGCTTTGTCTTTATTGAAAGGTGCAAAAGAAACGATTTTTGGATTGGATTTCAAACATTTTTATATTTGTTTATTTTGAAGATGTTTAAAGGAATTAATTTCATGATTATTGGGTTTGGGGAATGTTGGGACTATGTTTTATCTATGGTTAAACATTCGCGAGCCTGGTTATCGCAGTGATGTGGAGGAATGTTCTACAAAATGAAAATTCAGAAAACTTTACCAGGGAAACAAAAAAAAAAATGTGCAAGCTGTTTTGTAATAATAATACACCGTAATGTAGGCTAAATGAAAATCGAGAGTTTGGAAAAGGAATTTTTAAAATTGAAATTTAAATATTTAAAATGAATAGGCCTACATGACCCTGTGAAGAAAGTAAAGACATTAAGCCATACGCCATAAAGTTAATTGTTTACCTCTAGACCGTCTTGAGCTATTTGCTCAAAGAAGAATAGTAGAGTCTAATGATATTGAAGTTTTTTTTTAAACAGGAACAAATGAACGGCAACGAAAAATCAAAAACAATCAACTGTCACACCCGCCCCTCCTTGCATTATATTAATATTCCATCAGCAAATTTGAGGGATAGTTTGGAATATGTATTTATTATAAGATTATTGACAACCAATAATCACAAGCTTTTTTTGGCGGCTGTGACTAATTAAAAATAAGCCAAACAATACTCCATAACATCAGGAAGCATCGCCAGCCCTTCGTTGATTTCTTCCGAGCCCCAAAGACCGAAATCAAATTATTCTCTTACTAGCTGTACCCGCGGGCTTTGCCCCGTTTAACTTCATATGTGAGCTCGTTCGCATGGCTCAATCACGTCCTGGTTGAAGTTCGTTCGCTACGCTCACTCACCTTTAGGTTGGAGCTCGTTCGCTGCGCTCACACGTCCTGGTTGAAGTTCGTTCGCTACGCTCACTCACCTTTACGATTGAAGTTCGTTCGCTACGCTCACTCACCTTTCCGGTTGCAGCTCGTTCGCTGCGCTCACTTGCCTTCAGGTTAGCTCGTTCGCTATGCTAACTCGCCTCCGGGTTGAAGTTCGTTCGCTACGCTCACTCACCTTTTGGTTTGAAATTAGCTGTTGTCAAATTTAAAAAAAAATAATAGTGCTGCACTCTGTTGGTAATCCTTGTAACTTATAATGCTATTGAACATCATAGAACAGAACCAACTTGTTTAATTGAAACAGCTGTTAAGATTCATTAATTCCATTTAAATATGAGTACTCATTAGGTTAAAATGGGAAACTCCAGAGCCACTGGGGCGGAGCCCGAGAGTCCGATCAGAATAAAAACCACTTAGTTTTCCTATTTAATGCCTAAAGAATCAGTGTACCAAATTTCAGCCTCCTAGGTAAGTGGGAAGTGGGAGAATTAGTGATGAGTGAGTGAGTGAGTCAGTCAGTCAGTCAGTCAGTCAGTCAGTCAGTGAGGGCTTTGCCTTTTATATATATAGATAACTGTGAGCAAAGTTATGAAGCTGGAATAGCTTTTAATATGTATTGAGCGGAGCGAGCGAAGCGAGCGAAGCTCTTATACTACACTCCTGCTTTTTTATTACAAATACTCCTCCTGAACGGCTAAAGCGATCTGCATGAAATTTAACACAGTCATAGTAACCAACCATGGGAAGGTATAAATCTGAAACGGTACAAATCGGACCATAGGACTTTTCCCTACATGAATGCAAACTTTTGGAAATTTAACATGGGCCTTATGGGTTAATTGGTCGCCATGTCATTATTTGCGAGTAAACACTAAAAAGTAAACAAGAGCCTCAACATTAGTCAACAAATCTACCACATGATAAATACAGTACAAAAGAAAAAATTGGATAATACTAAAGAGCATATTATAGTATATTGTATGTAATACGAAATGATTAACAATCAGTTCTATATTGAGTGATTAAACTCCATGCCGTTTATATTTAATTGTAAAATGGTTCTGTTCTTTTTAACAACAATGAATAGTTAACTAATTAGGCCTAAGTTTATGTTGCTTGGAGAAGGAGAAGATAAAACGAGGTCATTAAAAAAACACTACAACATAATTATACCAACAAAAATCACACCGCCCTTGATTTGCAAGAAACTTTGTAAAAAATGTTCTTGTAGCTAAAAATACAAAATCGTTTTACGAAATGAAATCACAACCACGTGGTTTACAGGTAAGGTTTAAGACTAAATGGTGTAACTTAGACAATAAAATAGTTGTATTGATAAATTTTATTGCACAATAGGGAAATTTTGAAAGTGGTTGACGACAATTTCTTACTTTTAACTGCTAAAATAAAACTAGACCTAAGTTATAGGCCTATACTAAGTGAGGCTAACCCCAATCCCTCACAACAATAATACTGGTAAACAGTTATTGAGGTAATAGAATTGGTGAGTTTTATGAATGTTCAATGCAAATAAGTCTTCTGTACAAATAAATGATTCTTTTTTTAATAATGAAGAAAGAAGACATTGAAAAAAAATAAAGAAAAGCAAATTCTACATACAAAGGGTAATAATAATATAATAATAATCGTTATTGCCTTTTAATAATACAGGTATTGCTTAGGCCTACCATGATTCATTTGCAGTATCGAAATTATTGAGCGGAGTGAAGCGAAGCTCTTATACTACACTCACTGCCTTTGTTTTACAAATACAGGTCAGGCTCCACCTGACAGGCTTAAGCGATCTGCAGGAAATTTGGCACAGTCATGTAACCAACCATATGGGAAGGTATAAATCTGAAATGGTAATATTCGGACCACAGGACTTAAACCAATAATAAGGGTTGCCGGAATTAGGCTGATGCACCATATTGCGTTTGGAATCTGTAAATAACTTACAGCATTTTATGTGAGCAAGACGTGCAATTAATGTAGACTTTGAATATCTATCTGATTGGAACATGTTCAATTCCTATTTGCAGTCTACAAATAGGAATTCCACTAATGTGAACCAAATATAACACAATTCGTTGACTTGAACCCGACGTATCATTGACTTTGAATACTGCACATAGACATCCCATATAAGTGAAGCAGAAGTAGGCCTAAGCCTACCATTGACTTCGGATACTGCAATTAGGCATTTTATTTATGTGAACAAAATAAATGGAACATTGATTTATTGAGGATACTGCAAGTAGACTATTCATTTACATGTACCATTGGGTTTGGATACTACAAGTAAACAATCCGTCTACGTGAACCATACGTACTATTGACTTTAGAATCTGTAAATAGGCATTCCATTTATGCGAACCAAATATATCATTGGCATTGGATACTGCAAGTAGACATTTAATTTATGAGAACCAGATGAAACATAGAATACGGTTCCTGCAAGTAGACGATTCATTCACTTAATCCTGACTTATGATTGACTTTGGATACCTCTGCAAATAGGCATTCTATTTAAAATGCAAAAAAATCATTGATATTGAATATGCTGGCTCCGCTCAATATTGCAAGCAGACAACTGCATTGTACACCTAGCCTCGGACAATGTACGTCTTGCGGACAATGTACGTCTTGCCGACATCAGCACGGTCAACGGCACTAGCCTCGACCAAATCCGACGCTCTGATTGGCGGAGACACCTCAGGCCTTCAGCATTGCGTCGGTTTTTGAGTAGTTAGTTGCGCGTGAGATGTAGAAGTGTTAATTACGCAGTAGCTCGTCCGTCCGCTCGGCCATTTTAAATAATGTAAATTTTGTATTATCATAACCAGATCGTAAATCTAAATTAGTAATCGTAACCAAATTGCAACCCTTGTGATATGTTGTGAACCCCAATTGTCGAATATTTATCTAATTGATGTTTCTGTCGTGTGTGATCTAATACAAAAATAAATTAAGTCAAAGCTCCCAACCAGCAGTTATTAATTTTTCCTTTAACTCGGG